TGTCTCTGTCTCTGTGTGTGTCTCTCTGTGTGTTCCTTCTGGGTATGTCTCTGTGTGTTCCTTCTGTGTATGTCTCTGTGTCTCTCTCTGTCTGTCTCTCTGTCTCTCTGTGTGTCTCTGTCTCTCTCTGTGTGTGTCTCTCTGTGTGTTTCCTCCCCTGATACTGCTCCGCTACACCTCACACGTTGCTACAAATTGACCAGAGTGGTGGTTTCCATGGCGACGGTGTTGCTTCTGCCTCCAGACCCATGTCTCCGGGTCTCTGCTCCATGTTGTGGCACTAATGCTTCCAGCTCAGGGCAACAACAACCTGATGCACATCTGCAACCCCTGTAACCCTATACCCCTGTCCCCCAAGTACCTTTGTCCTCCAAGTACCACTGTCCCCAGAGTACCCCTATCTGCCAAGTACCCCAAGTAGACCTGTCCCCAGAGTACCCCTGTAACCCTACGCCCCTGTACCCCTGTCCCCAGAGTACCCCTGTAACCCTAAACCCTGTATCCCTTCCTAAAAACATGTCTGCCAAAGATAAGGAGTGTCCAAACATGTCCTCAGAATAAGTATTTTTTTGCCGCTGTAGGAACAGGTTGTCACAGACTAGGACTTCTCATGGTGCAAACAAGTTGTAAGAGTACAGGGCTAGCTGGGGTTTCCCTCAAGAATGAAGGAAGGCATCTGATTGGTCAATCCTCACGGCTCATATTTGCATTCACATATACTATATTACATTTAAAACCCTAGGATCATAAAGAGCTCTAATTTATGTTTTTTTTAAGCCCACGTCCATAGGAGCCAGGGCGAGTTGGAGCAAAACTTCACCATGACCACTTCCCTATTGGGCTTCGTTGAGCTAGCGTGTTAGCATCGTCCATCTGTACACAGTCTATGCTAGGCACTAAAACTGACATCTACGTGGCTGCATTTCCTCTCCGTTTCCACTGCTATTTTCTCAGCCCTATGCAGAAAAAGCTTTCCAGATTTCATATTTGGGCCTATTGTTTTTGCTCGAGAGATGTCAAATTCTGCACTTTGAGACTTAATTTGACCCCCTGAACATGCATGAAAAGTTGTAACATTTTGCCCAAACATCAGACCTGGTGAAACATTTGATATTTTGGTGTTTATTTTTATGGGACTAAAAAAATGCCAGAACAGCACCACCTACAACAGCCAATGAGAGTTTCAGAGGTCAAGTTTGTCATAGTGCCATGAAATTTGGCACACATGTTCAAGTCAAGACATGAAAAAAATGTTATTATGGCCCCGCCCTCTGACAAACAGGAAGCCCATAGATTTCACTGCGAAATGAAAAAAATTAACAGCAATAATTTTCATACATGTCGGTTGGAAAGCGGCGACTCCTTGGCCGTTTCACCGATTCGCCTCAAAATTGCTTCACATCATCTCAACACATGTACCTTCAAAATGACCTCAGGGATTTTTGATCAGTGAAAGGTTGTTTGAGCAGCGGAGCGGCAAAATTTGACCTTTTTTTGGCCGTTTTTGACATCAAATTGGCTCCCGTTTGCACAAACAAAGTCTGATTTGCACAATACTTCAATACATTGTTCAACTCTAGGGTCTAGGTCATTTGAAAGTGAAATGTTTCAAATTGACACATTAGCGCCCCCTACAGACTATTTCAAAGTTTTATATGGGAATTTTCACATTTAGTTTTTTCAAAATGTTTGAAATTTTGCACATACATCTGTTTTGCCCTCTTGATTCAAAAAGTTAAAAGGGACCAAGGCTTATTTTTTACCCTGTTGCCGTGGTGATGACAAATTCTCCCCCTTTCATTGTCTATGGCAAATGTACACCTCGCACAAACATCAAACCAGCCTCGGCCGTTTCACAGATTTGGCCGAAAATCGCTCCACATCATCTCAACACATGTACCATCAAAATGCGTTCAGGGAATTTTGATCAGTGAAACGGTTGAGCAAGCAGCGGAGCGGCAAAATGTGACCTTTTTTCCCCATTTTGACGATAGAAAAATGTGCCCTTTGCACAAACCAAATCCGATTTGCACCAAATTTGAATCGGTTGTTCAACTTTTGGGTTTGGGTAAACTGAATGTGTAAAACATTAAATTGCAGCATTAGCGCCCCCCCTACAGACTCTACACTGTTTTACATGGGTGAGAATGGCATTTACTAAGTCTGATTTGCACTAAACTTGACTCAGTTGTTCAACTCCTGGGCCTAGGTCGCCTGAAAGTTTGAACAATTACATTGTCACATTAGCGCCCCCTACAGGCTAAGTAAAACTTTTAAGGCAAGGCAAGTTTATTTATACAGCACAATTCATACACCAGGCAATTCAAAGTGCTGAACAAAACAAGAAAGAATTAAAATCATAAATAATCACAGAACATTAAAAAGAAAGCTAAAAGTATAAAATCCCTCAGTTGTATGCACAGCTAAACAGAACTGTCTTTAACCTGGTTTTAAACATTGTCAGAGAGGAGGCCTGTCTCACATTTGTCTTTTACATAGGGGACACAGCGCATTTAGTTTTTCTGTTGTGTGATCTCATATTCGACCCACTGAACATGCACGAAAACTCGCCATATTCTTTTATATAATTTTTCTGACAACAAATGAATTATTTTTCTTTTGGTATAAGACTAAAAAAAAATATTCGTAGGGGGCGCAATTATTCAAATTAAATGACCGATGTTTGCACATGCAAAGTCTGATTTGCTCAAAATTTGATTTGATAGTTCAACTCTCGAGCTTGGGTAAACTGAAAGTGTAAAACATGAAATTCCTGCATAAGCGCCCCCTACAGACTGAGTCCAGTGTTACACTGAATAAGGTTTAGTTTTTTGATGGAGACACACAATCATTAATCATAGACATTCAAAATACACAGTGTCGCTCCCATCAGGGTTTTAGCAAGATGGTGCGTCACATGGTCATCCAGTGGAGATATATATATGGACACACTCACTGATTGTATGTGTAAACAGGAAAACATGTATGAAGTCTGATTTGTACCCCGCAACTCACGCAGCTCGCTTGCGGCTTTAATTTAATTTGTATTTTGTATATCTAACCAAGCCTCGACCCAAAACCAGGTGGTGGTTGTGGCAGCATTTTGACCAAATCATAATTAACTAATCTGTTTCTTTATTGAGCAATAACCCTTGTATTTTATTGATTTTGAGTTTGATCCAAATCTAATTTCTGAACCACAGTCAGTTGGATAGCATTAACCTAAAACCTGTGTCACTCTTTCTGAACTTACTCCATGTTGTGTTTACATGAAGGGCCCTGGTTTTCGTCTCCATGAGTCGTGTTTCCTATTGTACATATTGTTCAGACCGTCTCTCCGGGCGACGCTCTGCAGGAGATTAATGTTACCGTGTTTTAATCCGTCCTAAGTTTGACCAGGGAAAAGGATATAAATATGTATCAGGGCTGTGCATTAGCTTGTAGCTGATGATATGTAGGTATATGATACGATATCCTGGAATACTAAACTGTACACGATAGAGAGATTATATACTAGCTTCTTTATTATGCTAAAGCTAGATATTTTACTTCTTTTATCTTTCCTCTTTCCTACTGTCTTGTAACTGCTGACACAACACTGAAATGTCCTGACTATGGGACGAATAAAGGATACTACTACTGCTGCTGATGCTACTACTGCTACTACTTCTACTACTGCTACTACTAATGATGCTACTAGTACTACTACTACTATTGCTACTAATGCTGCTTCTACTACTTCTACTACTATTGCTACTAATGCTGCTACTACTACTTCTACTACTATTGCTACTACTGCTGCTACTACTTCTACTACTATTGTTACTAATGCTGCTACTACTACTTCTACTACTATTGCTACTACTGCTGCTACTACTTCTACTACTACTACTATTGCTGCTACTACTACTACTACTACTACTACTGATGCTACTACTGCTGTTACTGCTGCACTAGCACCACTGCTGGCAGGGATCCTTGCTTCTTGTACAGTGTGTTTTGAAGCACATTGAGGGTTTGTTTGGATCCGGACATTGATGGTAAACAGCTTTTTTTCAGCAGGTTGTTGTTCCGCTCCCTCCCTCGCTCTTGTTATTACACAACAGGAAGTGACTCCAAAAACCCTGCGCCTGCACCCACCCCGGCCTGCACCCACCCCGGCCTGCGCCCACCCCGGCCTGCACCCACTGGAACTATTTCTATTCCCTTGTGTTGCCTAAACCTGGTCACCCATACCCATATTTACCTGAGAGCAGAGCAGAAAGGCCATAGAGGCAAGAACTCAAAGCTACAGAAGCACACATTTCTGAGCTTTTCTCTGTCGTACAGTTACAGATGTACAGGAACAGACTCTAGCATGTATCAGGGCTCTGCATTAGCTTGTAGCTGATACCATGTTTGTATATGTCGATTTATAAGTGTAAATACAGGGTTATACAGTATCTTGGTATGTTGTGTACAGCACTTACAGGACTATAAAGTGCACCTGTGTATAAGGTTTTCATGCTAATTTACCGCAACAACTGATGGAGAGACAGACCAGCGTGGGCGGGTCCCGGCTCAAAAACGTCCATAATGACGTGCGCTGACATGCTGCATTACCACCCCAGGCCAGTGGGGGTAAACCTGGAATAAGAATTATTCAACGCTAATGTATAGCAGCTTTTTACCTCTTGAAAACGTCTTTACAGGATGGTCCAAAAGTGGCTCTTGGTCTAAAGCTCCGTTCCACATGTGTCAATGTTGAAGGGAGTGTATGTTTTTGGATCAGTCTAGTTTAGTCGCTGTGGACTTCAGAATGCACTTGTCAAATGAATGGGGCTAATGCAGCTGACGCATGCACAGATGTGTTTTTTTGACATTTTCCAGCCCCACGCCATTTTTAAACTGCCCATAGACGGCGGAAGTGATGTCACATTAGTTTGAACAGAAGAGATAGGTGTGACTATGACTGTTAATATTTACAGTTTATGATTCTAACTGAACCATGTTTTTTTCAGTTCGAGGATGTCGACCCGGGAAGATCGTGCAGATGTCGGAGGCCGAGGTCCGAGGGCTGTGCATCAAGTCCAGAGAGATCTTCCTGAGTCAACCCATCCTGCTGGAGCTGGAGGCCCCGCTCAAAATCTGTGGTTAGTACTGATGCTACTGACGCTACTGCTGCTACTGATGCTGCTGCTAATGCTACTGATGTTACTGCTAATGCTGCTGATGCGACTGCTAATTAGGGGTGTCAAAATTATCACGTTAACGCACGTTAATTAATTTGTTTCCTTAATTGATGACGCATGCCCATTCATCCCATAATAACACTCAGAATGCCGTGGACACATGCGCGTGTGAGTTGGCAACAGAGCAGGTAGGCCCTCTGGGAATCCACGTTTTAAAAGAATACACACGTGATTCAAACAACCATTTACAGAAAAATATGGCATCATTTTGCCGATAGTTTGAAATGTGCTTACCACTAGGAGCGCCCCTAGCGGTCAACTGACCGTCACTCACTTTAATATACTAATTAGTCTATTCAAAACAAAACGCCATAAGTTGAAATTTCATGACTTTTATTAGGTACTTGTTGTTTATATTTTGGTGTGTTTTGGTTTTGGAAAAAGTAAAGAAAACAAGATTTACACGCATTTTAACTTTTCTAATCCACAGCCCTTTCTGCTGCCCCATATAGGGATACATGGCGCAGGGGCGACTGTTGTCATAGTAACCTTTCCCGGGGGTTTTTCGCGCCTTATAAAAATGTATCAATATGTTGTCATTAGACTCTAAAGGGACTTGAGTTTTTTTTAATTATTATTTGGGAGAGAGAGAGTTTTGAATTAAGAGGAGTACAACATGAATAGAGCTGCAAGCACAGCCCTGACAGTGCTTCAAGACATGTCACATTTTGAGGTGGAAAGTGACAGCGGGGAGAACACCTATAATATTCTAAATCTGAACGTAAACCCATAGTGCATTCACGGCACGGACAGCAGTGTTGTAACACGTCCAGAAGCAATAACTCACATGACCCGCGTAATGCCAGCCATACGCAGGTGTCTGTGTGCGCGCTGTCGCTCCATTCTGCCTTTTCATTCGTCATCAATTACATTATTATATTTATAAAGCAGAATACAATATCGCAATAAAATAGAACAATTAGATGAACTATCAAGGCAGGAGCGCGGATGGAGCGCTGTGAGGCCTCTCGTCACCCGCGGACACTGCAGGAGGAGAGCTACTGTGGGGCAGAGGCGGCCCTCATATCATATCAATAAGGATATCATTCTTATTTCATCCGGATAACACTGTGTGTTATTCTGCACAGCGTGCACTGCAAGGCAATGATTATAATGTTGTTCTGATCATAAAGAGCACTGCTTGTCTCTAATAAATACACATATATATTTGTCTTTCTAACGTGTCCCGTGTAAAATTGAAGATTTTACATTGAAGATGGTAGCCTAGCTGCTGATCTCGTGTCAATACGAATACTATTATTATTATCTAGATAATATTTCCCACGGTGATTTCAGCTGGAAAGAGAAAACAGTCTGGAGATGACGTAAATAGCAGACGCATATAGCAGCGCGAAGACGTTATGGTCCCATGCTTTTCTAAACTATCATTTCATATCATATTTCATATATCATATCATATTGTTGCTGAGTCAAATTTAACATATAGTGACCAACCTTTTAGGTGTTCGCAAAGTTACAAAATAAATCTAGCCTGAAAAGTCATCGTAATTTTGATGGATCAGTACACGCACAATGTGTCGTCTTAGCTTTTTATTTCGGCTAGAATTACAATTACTTAGTATATTTAGACAAATAATTTACAGTTTCATTATGATCACGATTTCCTTGCAACATCAAGTTCTGGTTTAGTGAACAATCAATTTGGCAAAAGGCTGTATCAGCGCAAAATACATAGCGGTCAACTGACCGCAGGGGGCGGTGCAAGGTATGTTTAGAGCACGGCGGCCCTAGTGTTAATTAATTAATCGTAATGAATCGCATTTCAAACTATCGGCAAAATGATGCCATATTTTTCTGTAAATGGTTGTTTGAATGGAAAGATAAATGACAGCATAGTGAACATATGTACTGTATTTGTTTATTATACAAATAAATCCATATAAAATGGCATTAACATTATTAACATTCTGTCTTTCTGTTTAGACTCAGACCAAAACTATTGTTTGTTACAGATGAGGGACATTTCAAAACAGTCTGAAATGCAGAATGTCATTAAATCTGTCATGAACTGGTAGTGGAAGGGAAAATTATGTACCCCAGCTTTAATTTAGCGAGTGCGCTTCGGGAGAAGACACGGAGGAGTCTGAGGCTCCGCAGTCCAGCTTCAGCGCTGTTGATATTGTGTTCACCGGTTACTAGGGGTGGGCGATATGGCCTAAAATTCATATTGCGGTATAATTTGGTGTGTGAATTTCAATATAGGTGTAGCAGGTTCTTGCATAAAATAGTCAGCTCTGCTGCTCTGTCACCATCTTATATACGCACGTGTCCACGGCATTCTAAGTGTTATTATGGGATGCATGGGCATGTGTCAATCAATTTTTTTAACACAATTAATGAAACAAATTAATTAACGTGCGTTAACGCAATAATTTTGACAAACCTCTATTTATATATATATAAAATAATAAAATTGTCCACTCACCTTTGGCCCTCCGCGGGCGGTTATCCCTCTCTAAGCTCGGGTCCTCTACCAGAGGCCTGGGAGCTTGAGGGTTCTGCGCAGTATCTTTGCTGTTCCTAGCACTGCACATTTCTGGACCGAGATGTCCGAGGTTGTTCCGGGGATCCGCTGTAACCACTCTTCCATGCTTCGGGGTCACTGCCCCGAGTGCACCGATCACCACGGGCACTACTGTCACCTTTACCCTCCAGGCCCTCTCCAGCTCCTCTCTGAGACCTTGGTATTTCTCAAGCTTTTCATGTTCTTTTTTCCGGATGTTACCATCGCTTGGAATTGCCACGTCCACCACCACGGCTGTCCTCTGCCCTTTGTCTACCACCACGATGTCAGGTTGGTTTGCCATTACCATTCGGTCGGTCTGTATCTGGAAGTCCCACAGGATCTTCGCACGCTCATTCTCCACCACCTTTGGAGGAGTTTCCCACTTAGACCTTGGGGTTTCCAGCCCATACTCTCCACAGATGTTTCTGTACACTATGCCAGCCACTTGGTTATGGCGTTCCATGTAGGCCTTCCCTGCCAGCATCTTGCACCCTGCAGTTATGTGTTGGATCGTCTCAGGTGCCTCTTTGCACAACACCTTGGGTCTTGTCTGGTGTGGTATATCTGGGCCTCTATTGCTCTGGTGCTCAGTGCCTGTTCCTGTGCAGCCATGATGAGTGCCTCTGTGCTGTCCTGTGTATATATATATATATGTGTGTATATATATGTGTATATATATGTCATATCATACGGTGGTGAGTGTGTACATTATCCTGACATCAGTCACAGAAGGCTGTGGAAGGACCTCACCCTGATAAGACTCTGCTACTCCTGTCTTTGAGCTTTGTCTTGTGAAAATACAAATCTATATACATAATATGCTCTTTCTTCTTCTTCTCTGTCTCGTAAAGGCTGTGGATCCTCTTCATTATTGTGCCTTTACAAACTATTGTTTGTTACAGGGATGTGGGACATTTGAAAAAGTCTGAAATTCATGTCAGCCAATGGCTGTCATTAAATATGTTTGATTTGCTCACATTTGATTTTTGGGCACAAACAGGAAATGGTAGTGCAAAGGAAAAGTTAGGTACCCCAGCTTTAATTTAGCGCAGGGGTGCTCACACTTTTTCAGCATGCGAGCTACTTATAAAATGATCAAGTCAAAATGATCTACCTACTACAAAATTGCAAAACATGTATTTGATTCTAAAAATGTTTTTTTTAATATCTACAATGTATGTTGATGTACATACAAAACCGCATGATTTATGAAATAATTTGCATCCACACATAACCGAACATCTCATTTTCAATGACATTCATAACAAACATGTGCGTCCTTTGACGTCCTGCGTTGGGGAAAAACACAGAAGTGGACGGAGCTTAGATGCAGATGCCGGTGCTTTTGTAGCAGGACTTACAGTCGTAGTATAAACTCCGGGTGAAGACATATTATTATAGATCCACGGTGAAGACGTATGTTTACAAGCACTGACCCCCGTCCTCAGCCCTGGTTTGATCCTGGTTTAGCTCCTGTTTTGGTTGTTTTCGAGCGTGCCTGTCAACTTTGCTGCTCTTGATGTGGAGGATGATATATATATATATATATATATATAGTAGGACTGTCAAAATGATCTAAATATATAAATCTAGTATAGCCTGTAACATTGTGCTCAAAAAGATTAATAATTGAATATATAGCTTTTATAATTAGAATGTATTATTTGTGTGTGTGTGTGTGTGTGTCTCATAGGGGTGGGAACCTAAGGGTACCTCACGATACGATACAAAGCTCACAATAACGATATCACGATGTTTTATAACAGTAATATATATATGATTAATATATACTATTTAACATTTTTGATGCACTTTAGTACTAGTGTTATTTGACTGAGTTTGATTATTGTACAATGGGATGCATTCACTGTTTTATTTAGTGCATATTGCATTATGTATTATGAATAGTGTTTGTAATGGTTAGATTTCGATTATGTGCACATAGACTTTTAATTGAACCTTGGCTCTACTTAGGCCAGGAGGTTCCGGATGGCGAGCTTAGTCCCGAACCAGAGTTGAGCTCCAAGAGAGGAACTCAGTCCAGTTAGACAGCTGCATCCTCCTGCTCCGGTCGGGTAGGAGGCTCCTGTAGCCGGCCTTTTTCCCTTTTGATTTGTCCTCGTGTTCGAAGTGAGGGGCTCACTTCATATTGACTCACATTCACCCGTTAAAACTCACTCTTTGGAATATCTGAGCCCAACCAAACAACCGCTCACCGAACGAGTACTTGGATTATATTTGTGTGTTTTGTGCACTTCGCGTACACTCTGGCATTTGTGCAACCGTTGAAGTGGACAATTCCGGAAGCCAAACAGAACTCATTGTCTTGTCTATATATGTAAATTTGTTGTATGTCATTGTTTGTTGTTTGTCATAGTCTCTTTAAATTCAACACATGTGGTGGTGCCATCTGCAAAATTCAAGTGCTTAATTGTGTCTCTCTCCACTCTTAGAGCCGAACTGGGACTTCTGAATTTTAGCCCAGAACTCGATAGTGTGTGTGTCAAATTATTACCTGACCTGTAATAGTTTAGCGTAGCCACATGCTACATAATACATTTTGCTCAATCAGGTCAGGATTTTTTGCTACAGAATTTTTTTTTTAATCAATTTTGCGTAAAAAACTAATTTCTGCGGATCATCAGCTGAGAAACCCTTGACGTTTTTTCCGTTTTCCTCAAGAAATAAAAGTCAATGTATCCAAATTCATTCAGTTTTTAATTCATAATATTAGTAAAACAATGAGCGTTACGTGACACAACATTTTAGAGTTCACGGCATAAATCGGCGTTTCTTCGATTCCCGTGTGTGAGCAGCTGCTGGGTTGTCTCTCTTCAGCGACCAGCAGTTGTCTGCCATCATGACTGCGTCCCACCTTCCCTGGTACCTCTCCTCCATTTGGCGCATGTCCTGATGGAACCTTTCTTCTAAATTTTGCAGCGCGAATTTAGTGATTGGGTGCCCTCTTTAAGTTATTCTTCCCGGGTGTCTGGACAGGGAGGCTATAAATAGGGAGTATCTTGTTGTATAGCAAATTATTTTTTTGTGTTTAATTTGTACCCTCTATGATTTAACTGGATTAGTTTGTTTATAATAAAATATCTCCTCGTAGCCACGGATTTGTTATTGAAACACACCACACACGTAAAACGTGCACGTACGTAATCCGTAACACAATGGCTGTATCTCAAAAAGTTGACCTGATAGAGCAAAATGCATGTGATATTCGGACTCGGAACACCAAAATTAGTCTAAATCATTTGAGAAACCCCTGACCATTTTTTGGCTGTCAACTTGTGTTATTGATATATTGGTCAGAAATATACAATATGCCAATTTATGGCATAAATAAAAGAAACAATACTCTTTATTTCATGATAAATAGAATGGAGATGCAAAATGTAGTCATATATTAAGTATTGATACCAATTCAAAAAAAAAAAAAGTGTAAAAAAAACCAAATTATTCAAATATATATATATATATTTTTTTCTAAATCGATATGGATACTTGGCAAATGCATATCGATAATCAAATCGCGGGACAAAGTATCCCCGCGATCGTCACACCCCTACTGTCTCGTGTATGTCTTCTCTCATGTGTCTCTCCCCTCATGTGTGTGTCTCATGTGTCTCTCCCCTCATGTGTGTATCTCTCATGCGTGTATCTCTCATGCGTGTGTCTCTCATGCGTGTATCTCTCATGCGTGTATCTCTCATGCGTGTATCTCTCATGCGTGTGTCTCTCATGCGTGTGTCTCTCATGCGTGTGTCTCTCATGCGTGTGTCTCTCATGTGTGTGTCTCTCATGTGTGTGTCTCTCATGCGTGTCTCTCTCTCTGTCTTCAGGGAACATCCACGGCCAGTACACAGACCTGCTCTCGTGTGTGTCTCTCTCGTGTGTGTCTCTCTCATGTATGTGTCTCTGCCCTCATGTGTGTGTCTCTTGTGTGTGTCTTCAGGGGACATCCACGGCCAGTACACAGACCTGCTGCGTCTCTTTGAATACGGAGGATTTCCTCCTGAAGCGAACTACTTGTTTCTTGGAGACTACGTGGACCGAGGGAAGCAGTCCCTGGAGACCATCTGCCTCCTGCTCGCCTACAAGATCAAATACCCCGAGAACTTCTTCCTGTTGAGGGGCAACCACGAGTGTGCGTCCATCAACCGCATCTACGGCTTCTACGACGAGTGTGAGAACCCGCTACACAACAACACAAACACACAACTTTACTCTCTTTTAACCCAAGCTTCTCAGCGACTTATATGACTCTGTGCGATTCCACCTCCAGGCCGCTCTGTGTGGAGTTTGCATGTTCTCCCAGTCTCCCGTCTCTTTGTAGGTTCTCTCCGGGTGCTCCAGTTTCAGGGCATTCTTTGGAAATATATGTGACTCCACTCTGTCTCTTGAAGGTTAAAAACACCTCTCCTCAGAATTGGAATTATTTTATCACAATTGTAAGTAACAGGAAGATACAAACAAATTATAGGAGTAAAAATAGACATGTATAAAATAAAATCTTAACATTTCTAGGACACAGATGTGCACTAAGTAAAAACTGTAGACATTTAGCATGAGTTTGTGTAAGCCCTCAGTCGTACAGGGATTAGTCAAAGCAAAGGAAGGTTTCTCACCCAACATCTGTACTTCTTAGTAAGTTTTCCCGACGTTTCGTCCTCAACCTAGCGGACTTCTTCAGGGAATGAATTCTCGGACCGCGCGTTGGAGATTTATAACCTATGGGTGTGGTAAGCCACACCCTAACCCTGATACTAACTCGTAAACAAACTAAGGTCTGCTTGACTAATCCCTGTACGACTGAGGGCTTACACAAACTTATCGTTGCCAACTTTGGGAGAGACGCCCTGGTCTTGGCACGCGGGTTGGAGAAAATCAAAAGAAAACTAGCAGACGCCAGAAATCATCTTAGGTTTAATCTTAGGTGTAGCCAGAGTAAACTTATCCCAAAATGTTTAAAGCAAAAAGCATTAGAAACAGGCCAGTTGGCAAGAAAAATACAACAAAACTACTGTATGAAGATTCTCAATTTAAGAATTCGACGACTTAACATAGAGATTATTAACCTAAAGCCTGGTTCACACGGCAGGATATTTAGGCCGATTTAGACCCGATTTACCCCTTACGACAATCTTAAACGCTCCGATTTCCGTAACAAAATCTTACAGATTATCCTGCCGTGTGTGGTGTGTTAAGACTGCACTCGTCGCTCGGAAGGACATCGGGACTGCTCCCGATCTCAAATCGGGGATATCCAACATGTTGGATTGTTTTGGCCCGATTTCTTGTCGTGTGTGGTGTCCTCCGAGGACAAGCGAGCGCGTTGCCATGACTACGGCGTGTAGCCAATAAGAAGACGAGGTGACAAGCCGGTGAGGAAACACCGGAAAAAAAACAAAACACAGCAGCATGGCTTTTCTTTGGATTACGTGTCTTCTCTGTTAACAACAAACTGCACACTATCGCCACCGCATCCTCTTCGTCCGCCATGACTGTTTACTGTGAAGTCACGCTTGATCTCGAGAGATTTTGTGAGATTTCCGTCTGACCTGGGAATGCTCGGGGGGGGGGGGTGTCGGTTCGTGTGTGATGTTTGTGGCTTGCGTGATCTTGCCGTGTGGCTACGCACCACACACTGCACGACCAAAGTGGTTAGACGCAGGATTTTTAATCTCCCCGTGTGGGGTCTAACACGGAGAAAAATCGGCCGACAATTTTAAAATCGTCTCGTGTGAACCAGGCTTAAAGGACGAGATAGAGGGCCTTAAGCACAAACTGGAATTAGCAGTCTCACCAGAGTTTTTTCAGAGGATTTGGACGTTTACGGAAACTGCCCAACTGAACCATCACAAGAAGGCCAAAAAACGTCAGATAGGCAAATTTCTAAAACTCCAAAACCATAATTCTTTTCAACATTCTAAAAGTGAAATTGGACAAGGCTGGGACAGGGAGAATTGGGTCAAAAATCTGTCCGATCGGCATTTATCACAACCGGAAAAAGATGTTCTTACTAAAGGCCTAAATTTTGCAATAACCCCAAAAGATATTCCTACAATTGAATACATCACAGCAGCAGAAGCAGCCATTAGAAACAACAAACTAACTGAGAGTGAGGCAGGGGCCCTCAGACTAAGAGTCTCTGCAACACTCAAAAGTGCGAAGCCACCACAATCCAATGTCTCATTAGATGAGCAAAAAGCATTATTGGCATTACAAAAGGATGAGAGTATAACTATTTTACCAGCTGACAAAGGCAGATGCACAGTTATCCTCAACACCTCAGACTATGAGGCCAAAGTTAATCAGTTACTCTTAGACACCAACACGTACCAGCCATTGAAGAGGGATCCTACCAGTGGGTTTAGGAAAAAAATTATAGACTTCCTTCAGAGCTTAATGAAAGAGGGCATTATTGAAAAACCACTATATTAGAAACTTTACCCAGGAGACACCATTCCCAGTATTTATGGACTCTCAAAAATACACAAACAAAACTTTCCACTTCGGCCTATTGTATGTAGCATAGACTCTATCACCTACAACCTGGCTAAACACCTCAAAACCATTCTGGCTCCGTTGGTGGGTAACACCCACCATCACATAGAAAACACAAAAGAATTTGTCAATAAAATCAAACACCTCCAGTTTGACACAGATGAGACAATGGTCTCGTTTGATGTGACATCGCTTTTTACGTCGGTCCCTATTACAGAGGCGGTGGAGGCTGTAAGAGAAAGCCTACAGAAAGACGCCACACTAGGGGAGAGAACGAAACTAACAGCTGACCACATCTGTGAAATACTTGAAATGTGTCTTAACACCACGTATTTCCAATTTAGAGGCACCTTCTTTAGACAGATTCATGGCTGTGCGATGGGCTCCCCAGTCTCTCCTATAGTGGCCAATCTGTATATGGAGAAACTGGAGGAACAAGCCCTAGGGCTCTTACCAAGGGACAGCGCCAAGCCATTGGTTTCGATATGTAGACGATACATGGGTTAAGTTAAAGAAACAGGAAGTGGAACCATTTTCAGCACACATTAACTCGGTGGACCCTTTTGATCATATGAAGGAGCACCACCTGATGCCCAACACTACGACGCTTCTCTCTTGGTTCATCTTCCGTTCAAATCATCCTTGTAGTATCCTCCTCTCGATCGACCTCCTTACAACAGTCGCTACAGTCAGTTTACAGTCCAACAGTTACAGTTACTAAGTCAGTACAGTTACTACAGTCAGTACAGTTACTAATCAGTCACTTACGTCACTCACAGTTACTTCAGTTACTACGGTCTAGACAGATGCTTACAGTCAGTACAGTCGACTACAGTCAATACAGTTCAGTACAGTCAGTACAAGTTGGGGGATGCACCGATGCATTGGCTGAACATTTGTATCGGAAAGAGTTTTGTCTTGTTTAACTAACATCGGGCACATACGATTGACATTTCCGCCCAGTTGGTAGGTGCAGTGCAATGAGATATCAATAAGAGGGGGTTGTGTAGCATATATTACCAGTAACAGAAAATAAGATAGCGTAATGTAGTTTTCCGAATAGTGTTCCAGTGAATTATGAGTGACCGCGATGGCACTTGCTTAGTTGGCTGTAAGTACTCGATAACTGGATTCCAACATCCTCCTGCAGCGTTCTGACCCCAACTGCCGGCCGGCTTTGTAATGACAGTGGTCTCCCGTATCCAGCGACTCTATGAAGTGCTTGACAACAGCTCAGCGAACGCTGTAACGTGGCCATAACCTGTCAGGACTCAGCTCTCAAATTATTTTGGGAATTATGTTTCTATCTTCCCACAGAAGATGAGAAATGAATGTTGAATATTCAGGAAACTTAGGTTTTACGGGAGGTAGTTCTAAAAGTTATAATACAAGGCGGTTTTTAGGCCTAAATTGGTTAAACCAAAGAACTCTTCATTGGACTTTTGAGTAAGGCAAGGCATGAGGCAGTGTACAGCCACAGCATTGCATTGCTGAAGAAAAACAGAAAGCTGCAGCCCCCAATGTTAAACATCTGTTTCGGCCAAAATTTCCAATGATGCTCCCTAACATACTACAGATTTGTTACTACAGTCAGTACAGTTACTACAGTCAGTACAGTAACTACAGTCAGTACAGTTTCACAGTCAGTGCAGTTTCTACAATTAAAGTACTACACTACTAGCAAACAGTTTTATTTACTACAGTTACAGTTCTACAGTCACCACATGTTACTAGTTACAAACAGCTACAGTTATTCCTTGACAAACAATCCCTGTACAGTCTCGCATATACCAGACTGTAATCCAGATTATATCAATTCTATTCAGGTTTGATCATATAATTTCAGAAAGATGATGGAGGACTAAACTCGCATGGCAGAGAGCACGATAGAGAAGAGAAGAGCACGAGGTAAAGCACAGTGTGTGTGAGTGGAGTAGTGCAGAAGAACACATATTTTGTGATTATACAACAGGTCTCTGAGTGTTTTGGTGTGAAAGCACTGACCCGTGTGGGGAAGCTTTTTAGGAGCCTTGCTTCATCTGCGCCTCCCAACTTGATAAAAAGGGCCTGAATCGCATACAGCCCTGGGGAGTAGATGTACATTATCTGTGTTAATTTTGTATGTATTATTATATATTATATTTGTGAATATGGAACCACCTCTAAAAAATGTGTTCATATCATAATAGATTATCATTAAGTCGTTTACCTTCTGAGCTTTAGAGAACTTTGAAGTATGATTTATGGTTGTATGAACGGTCTGAGTTTTTTAAAAGAAGAATCTAGAGTTACGTATAGTTGTATTTCCATCTTTACTGCAAATCCAGCTGCGAGACAGAGCCAGTTCCAACAGCCACCGCGGAACTGGCCTGAAAAACATAAACTATTTTTAAATCTGTGCGGTTTTATGTATTTGATTGTTGATTTCATGTTGTGAGATAGTGTAATGCCTATCAAAAACGGAGACTAACAGGACATGGTTATAATCATCTTAATAAACCAAGAAATACCCCAAAAATACGTAAATAAATCAAATCCCCGTGTACACTTAAGTGCTGCCCTGGGCTTGTTACGCAAATGAAAAGACAAAACTCACCAAATCAGGTTCTTTTATGGTCCTGTAGTCGAATAGTTTTTCCTGGCGCGAGGCGAGCGGTGTCCCTCCTGCTTCTCGTCAAACGCTAAGTGAGGTAGGGAGGCTGGTTTTTGTCCCAGGTCGGCCAAACAACACACGATCGTCTCCACGCCGAAAAAAAAATCCGACATAGAACGTGTCAGCAACGCCAAATTGTCATGGAAGTTTCTATCCACAGTAAGGAAAAAGCTCAAAAGGTATTTGTCTTAATCAGGAGCGTAAGTTTATTGTAACACACGTGCGGAGAGCTCACATACACAAAAGCAGCGTACATCAGCTCTGGCGCGGCCAGACACAGGTTCCTGTTTACATAGACAACACATGAAAGACAGTCACGCCCACAAAAGATGGGAGGGGGTCACAGTTTGAGACGGGCATCCGGAGGCGAGGCGCCATGCCTGGGGAGAGACACTCAGGTTGTGCCATGGGGATGCAAACAGAGGGACAATAGACATGCAGGATGTAAAAGGTCGATAGAGATGCAGACATACGGACCGATACAGATGCAAGATGCAAAAGGGGCAAGGGTGAGATAGTAATTTGCGTCATTGTCTGTCGGTGCGGGGGGAAGCCCGGCTCCTTCCTGCAGGTTAATTGAATAGAGGAGCGGGGGGGGTGAGTTGGCGTCCTTGAGGCTAAGCAGCTTGCCATAACAAGGACCAAGGGACAAGAAGGGGGGCTTAGAGTTGGGCGTGGTCTGGGCTGTGATTGACAGCTCACTTGTCACACAAAAAAAAAGCAGACAGTTGTCATTGCTGCTTAAAGCAATAGTTTACAGACCAGAAAGTCTCATTCCACCCTTGTTTACACACTAAGATAATTGTAAAGCTACACACCTGAACCTAATCACATTCAATAATCTCAGAATGACTCATGTAACTTAATTTTAATCCACTAGATGGCGCCAGAATACTCCAAACTGCAGCTGGGGCGTGTGTGAGAGTTGGATGGGTTTATATCACTGGCTCTGACAGACTGACGTCACACAAAACAACTGATGTCATAGAGAACTTCAGAGTCAATGGAGAGGCCAGAACCAAATTCAAATGTAGTACCACCAAAAAGGTAGAGAGGGCACCACACAGCGTTTTTTTGGCTCAAAAGTGATATTTTATCCAATTTGAACTAAAATGTCAAAAAAATGACCAGGATATGTAGACAGCACTACAATAAACATACTTATGCAGTTTATGAGTTAAAAAAAGTTGATTTGGTGTTTAGTCGCTCTTTAAGGGTTAGCCTGTCCATACAGCTCACAGTGCTGCCTCTGAATGTCATAGTCATCACTGAGGTCACTCCTGATTACGTGCCCCAGGTATTTGGTCTTCTCTACATTCAGAAGCTCCACACCAGACAAATATGTCCAAAGTACAGCTTTGGGCAAGTTTATAAAGTTTGCGTGTAAGCATTCGATCCTCGTAAGTAGCTCTATAGTCAGTCGGTTGTGTTTACATCTAAAACCACAAGAAAAAAAATGCATTGCTGTTTTGTTACATGAAAAAATCTTTACCTTACCTTCTAAATGTCTGAAATTGGTGATTTTTGTAGCGATTAAAACAATCGATGGGCTGGAAAAAAGAGGGACAGATCACGCTCGTAACAGGTCATCTACATGTAATAGGAGAGTGTGATTTCATGCCCACTTTTTTGAGAAGACTACCCACAATGCCGTGCGGTCGAGCCGGAAGCTCGGAACTCTTGATCCCGGTATGGCAGAATTGGTGATGGGCCGATAATTATTCAAGCCTAATACTGTGGCATCTGGCTGCTCTTTTCTTAGGAATGTTAAATTGTATGAATGTTCCTGTCCAGTGTGATCACATTTTGCTGGTGAGTCCTTTCCGTGTCGCTAACGATGTTCTGTGTTTTATGTTGTAGACGGAGGAGAACATCCCTCTGCGGGTGGAGGGCACTCTGAGGACCAGCCTGTCATCACTGGGGGTTAGTCCCTATGTAACTGTAAATATGTAACTGTGTCTGTGCATGTACAGTACAGACCAAAAGTTTGGACACACCTTCTCATTCAAAGTTTTTTTCATGATTATGAAAATTGTAGATTGACACTGAAGGCATCAAACCTATAAATGAACTCATGTGGAATTTTGTACGCACAAAAAAAAGTATGAAACAAGTGGAAATATGTGTTATATTCTGGTTTTTCAAAGCAGCACCTTTTGCTCTGATAATGCTTCACTCTTCGCATTCTCTTGATGAGCTTCAAGAGGACCTGAAATGGTCTTCCACAGTCTTGAAGGAGTTCCCATGATGCTTAGCACTTGTTGGCCCCTTCACTCTGTGGTCTAGCCCCAAAACCATCTGGATTGGGTTCAGGTCCGGTGACTGTGGAGGTCAACTGGCCCAGCACCATCACTCTCCTTATCGGTCAAACAGCCCTTACACAGCCTGGTGTGGATCTACAGGCAATAGTCATGAAAAGACACTCATTGAATGAAAAAGTTTGTCCAAACTTTTGGTCTGTACTGTAGGTCCAAGACAGAGGACAGAGGCCAAAAAGCCAAATCTTTGTAAATACAGATATAACCCTATATTAGGATTGACCAATCAGATGCCTTTATTCGCGGGGCATCTCTAGCTTGTCTTGGTAACACGTCCACATGAGATAATTGGCCCCAGCTAGCTTACGTTCAAACTGGCTTCTTCTGCAGGAAGGTTAACGCTCTGGTGACGTCAACACCATTTAGTCTACGGTGAAAAATAGTGATATCGTTTGAGAGTAAGGAACTAGGTAGACAGATTTAGACAGATTTGACTCCACAGTTATGTATTTTGTGAATTAAAAGTGATGTTCTTGGGTTCCAGTCTTATCCGAGAGTCCTGTACTAAAAGTTGAAATTAGTTTTCTATAGAATTGTGACTTCTTTTCTGTTATCAACATGAGGCATACAGATTCCCTCTCTCATCTTTACTGGTACAAGACTGAGACTGTAAACATAAACAGAGCAGTGTGTGTCGTTCGTAAAAAGCCGTAATCTGAGATCAAGGAAGAACATTTCTGAGAGTCTGAGAATTTAAAGTAACCAGTGTGCGTTGTCTCTGACCCCCAGGAGCAGGCCTACTACCGGGACAGCCACTCCACCATCTCCGGTCGGGGCGGAGGGGGCGGGGCGGTCGACTACCTGGGCAGACCGGTCCTGAACAACAACTCACGGCGGCTTCGAGAGCGGCTTCTGCACGACCGAGACGAGGAGAGCCGTCTGCGAGTCGAGAACTATGTCAGGAACAGCAACATGTCCCTGGTCAGAGGCTACACACACTTATAAACACATATACACACACACACACACACACACACATACAAACACTTATACACACATGTATACGTATACTCACACACTTATACACACAATAAACACACACTTGTACAAACAATATACGCACTTATACACATATGCACATACATAAACAACATACACATACATAAAGTATACACACAATATACACACTTATACACATTTATACACACACACTTATACATACACGTATACACTTACACACACTTATACACACATACATATACACACAAATACACATACATAAACAAGATACTCATACACGCATTTAGACACACACACTGACACACACACACCTACAAATACACACACGCATATAAACATACATTTACACATACACACATGTACTGTATATACAATATACATACATACTCATATACTTACACATACATACACATACACATACACGCATATACAGCACACATACATACTCATATAAATGGTTTTCCATCACGTGCTTATTACCCATAATGCTTTGCGCGAACGCCATACTGTTTGTCTGGCTTGCACGGATCATTTGTCATGGATAATTTGTCACGGATAGATTGTCCCCATGTCATCTAAAGCCACGAATTTGGCCGACACTGACCACATTAAGTATATTGATACACTGGAGTAATCTGTGAGGCAAGATCCTTCGAGAAATTGAGAGTGATCGTAGATTTGGATCCATATGAAACTCGGCGAGACCAGTGGACTTTACTTTCACTTAACAGGTTTACAATTAAAAAAGATCATGATGTATATGATGCAATATTTATTTCAATCAATAATACAGTATATTTTGAACAACGCAGTTGATATCACAGGCCCTAAATCACTTCTGTCTACCACCCTTTCCCCTCCTGCTCCTCCCCCGCTCATTCATTTAGATGGGATCGCTTGATGCCCTTATATGCATGTTATCACAGTCAAATCGCAGCTCTGAATATAAACCACACATGCACAGATTTAGCTCATACCTGTTATGAAATGGTCAGAACAGACCTTATAGTGCCGTTTTTCAGGGGGTTAGGGTTGAATCCCTCTCGCCAACTAAAGGGTTCTTTTCTCCGTCGAGAGTCGCTCCCCTGGCTTGTAATGACCTTCAGAATGTCCCCCACATAAAAATACAGTGGTAAATATAGCCCTCTTCCTTTGTGTGTGTATGAATGCATATTATTCAGATTCAAGAGATCCTTGATTCGTCCCAGAGTGGGTAAATTTCAGTGTTGCATCGCTACAGAACAGTAGGAATGAGGAACACACAACACAAGATAAATGAACATTAACTCTGCACTAAAATAAAATATAATATTGAACGAAATAACGTGTGTGTATAAATATTATGAAAATGAGAGAAAAGTACACACCTTCAGAATACGACAAAACAAACAATCCCTTGTGGGTAAATAACAAGGATACAGCGACTGGGGAATCAGAAATGTTTGTATTATTACACAATTACTGCAGTGTGAACAGAAGTTTCTGTTTTGCATTTCAAACTGGTGAGACCTGCAGCCACAAGTCTGAGCAGGAAGAAGCTGAGTCAAACTGGATCAGTAGATTTTATACAGAGAGGGACTTCAGGGCTGTCCTCCTGGGTTCACATCCCCCCTCATTTCAATGCAGGCACTTTATACTTTTCTTGCACTAGAATAAACACATTTGTAGATTTTATTTTATTATTAGTGTAGAGTTATTGTTCATTTATCTTACGCTGTGTGCTCCCCATTCCCACTGTTCCGTAGCTAGCGATGCAACACTTAAATTTCCCCATTGTTGGACAAATTAAGGAAGTATTGTGTAAGTTACAGGAGGTGGGAATGGCAAAGATCACTATTGTTTCTGGATCAAAAACACAAAAATATTCAACAAAAAAAATCAAGATATGTCAACTAAACTTTGTAGAGGTGAGTTTTCTGTCTGGTTCAGAAGGTTACAGTATCTCAGTTACAAAAGGCAGCAAAAATTACAGAATATTCAATTCATTTCTTCTCAGATTTACTTCATGGAAAAACTACCTACACACCGACATTATGGTTAAATATTGCCAAGCAGACATATAGGCAGTCCTTCAGAGTCCCAGTTGGTCCATACTGTACATTAGGGGTGGGAACCTAAGGGTGCCTCACGATACAATAGGGCTGGGCGATAAAACGATAATGATATATATCGCGATAGACATGTGTTCGATATCAATAGAGAATGGGGTCGATGGAATGTTCGATAGTTTAACTTAACTCCGTCAGGAAAAACAGGAAGAAAACACTGGAAGTAAAGCCGACTCATAAGCGCATGGCATTGTGGGGGATGTAGGCAGAGGCTTCTCGACCAATAACAGCCGAGCAGGAACCGCAAAACTTTCTGGGAAATGCAAAAACGCCAACAACCGCACCATGCGTAGCGTCCATGGATCTATAGCTCGTGTTTCAATGCCGTGTCAATGGTTATGCACGTACGTGCGCGGAATAACATGTGCGGCGGCAGAGGCAGTGGACAGACCCGATGTATTCGGCGAAAACAAGAGATTAACTTTTTCCTCGGGAAGCATGTGCGGCACAGAGAGCCGCACGGAGCGGTCACGGGGACACAAGACCCTCAAACAGCTAAACCAGGAGCTAAACCAGGATTAAACCAGGACTAACAACGAGGGACACAGTGTGAACATATTCCTCCAGCCTCATTGCCCCGTGACTGTAAACAAGGCTGCTAAGGTTGGTTAGCCCACACAACAAATATATTTATTTAGGTAAAAAAAAAAAACTCAATATATATCGTTATCGACCGATATGAATGACTTATATCGTGATATAGTTTTCAGCCATATCGCCCAGCCCTACGATACAATACGATACACGATACAAAGCTCACGATAACGATAATATCACGATAACGATTTTATCACGATATGACGTTTATTGATATATTGGTCAGAAATATACAATATGCCAATTTATGGCATAAATAAAAGAAAAAATACACTTTATTTCATGATAAATGGAATGGAGATGCGTAATGTAGCCATATATTAAGTATTGATACCAAAAAAATGTTTTTCAAAATCGATATTGATACTTGGCAAATGCATATCGATAATCGAATCGCGGGAGAAAGTATCGTCACACCCCTACTGTACATGCAGATGCAGTATTTCAATGACATTTATAGACTTTATCAACATCTATGGACATTGGTCTCTGTCCCTTATGGACCAATGACTGTGTTTTTATCATAGCATTTTTTGTGTTTGAACTTTTTGATTCTCTGATCTGTGTTGGTGCCATATTGTGGGAAAACGTCCCTAAACCTAAAGTATCAAGTAATCATGTGTTTTCAAATAGTAATGGAATTGACCAGATTTCTATAGTCTCCAAAAAATGGAGCGGACAGATAAAAATAAACCAATGAGATTGGTCCACAACGAACCAATGAGATGCGTTTACCCCCTTCACCCTCTTCCTGTTTCTTGCGAGTGCACCTGAATTATCGGATTTTCTAAAATCTAAAGGGGCTGAACAGAAAAGGCCTATTTCACGTTTGCCACCCACTCACCCTGTTGTGACAAAGAAAAGAAAATTCTGGATGTTTGGTTTGGTGAAGAAGAGAGGGGAGGGGGGAGTGGTTTGGTGGAGAGGGAGGGGAGGGGCGAGTGGTTTCCAATCGGTGCTACGTCTAAGCTAACAAAATTGCTTGTGGAACTGCATATTTAAATTAGAAATAACATGTACCTTTCCCACAGCAGGAGACCCGGTTCCAGCCGCCTCTGATGCCCTCCTCGTACCCCATCCAGAGCACGGAGGTGGTGCGCCACGTGAACGGCAGCCTCCACATCGTCAGCAGCAGTGAGGGAGGCGGGTCCCGACAGAGCAGCCTCATCAAGACCCCACAGCTGCTGCCCCCCATGAGCAGCTGCCCCCCAGTCATCCTCGTCGAGGAGGAGGTGGACGAGGGTCTGGGAGATCCCGCCAACGGCCACAGCCCCCAGGAAGACCAGTACAGTGAGACCAGCAGCTCTCAGGTGTCCTACCCCAACAGCAACGGATCCCTGAGACCCAAAATACGACCTCTGACTCCCATCGTTAGCCCGCATGCTTCGCTAGTTCACAAAGCGCAGATTCTGACTTCCTGATTGTTTACATGTGTGCGACTGGTTTGCATAAAACCTCAGACTATGGATGTTTCCACATTTGCCCTGGACCTCATCAGTGGAGTATCTTTTTGCGTCAACAAGGCACTAGTCAAGGTTGTCCAGTTTCCCCCATTAACCTTAAACTGGAACAGTCACCTTAGTCTCTGTCTGGGTCTGGGGTATGAGCAAGATGATTTTCCTATATCTGTAACTTTGCTAGCAAGCCATAAATGTGTAGTGCTGAAAGTCCAGACCACAGATTATGAATGGAGACTACTTGGTTCGACATTTGCCCTGGACCTCATCAGTGGAGTATCTTTTTTCCTTCTTTGTCGACAAGGGACTAGTCAAGGTTGTCCACTTTCCCCATTCAACTACTTGGGTCTGAGTTTGGGTCTGAGGACTATAATCAAGACAGCAGCAACTGTGCAGCAGTTAAGCTAGGAAGCTACAAACGTGTAATACTAAAAATAGCTCATATTGTACGTGTATGAGTATGTTTTTTCTTCTGCGTCGACATGGCACATGACAAGGCGTTTGGTCTGGGGACTGATTAAGACAGCAGCAACAGTGCAGCAGTTAAGCTAGCAAGCTACAGATGTGTAATTTTGAAAGTGCGTCCAGTGAAGATGTTTTAAATATGAAAAACTGAGAACCCTCAATGAATGTCTGGATTTTTTTGGACCTCATCTGTCTCTGAGTCTGGGTCCAGGGACTGATCAAGACTAGAGTTTTCCATTTCAGCGTCTCAATAATAGGACTTACATAAACTTATCCTGACTTCCGGATTGTTTACACGTCTGTTACAGATTTGCGCCCAGAACCTCAGACTATGGACGACCCGTGGATATTGTTCTATATTATCTCTTTCGTTGCGAGGATGGCACAGTGAGCTTGTGTTTATGATCCTAAAGACTACTTTGGGTTAGCAAGGCAGAGGGCCACATAAAATGACACTTAGGGCCGCAATTGGACCCCGAGCCTGAGTTTGGACATGCCTGAGTCAAGCTATAGCAAGCGGTGGTTTTTTTAATCTCAGCTAAAAGGAATGAGATGAACATAAAAAAATCCAAAAGCTGAGGAAGTTTTTGGTATGTGTGCAGCGTGGGAACAGTCAGACATTTCCTGCTCGACGGGTGAAACCTTAGACTGTCAGCAGGAGGAGAAGATGCCGCGACACGCTTTAGTTTGCGGAGACCATCTGTCATCAAAAATGCTTCATCAGAAAGTTGCGCCACCTCCGATGTTACTGTTACTGCTGCTGCTGCTGCTGCTGCTGCTGCTGTGACGCTAACATGAACCGATGGAAGTCTTGTTCACACAGTGGTTTTGGGATCGAGTCCAAAACACCACGCCTCATACCTCCATAATGTCCTCGTGACGTCGCCCAGGGCATCAGGAGCAGAGAAGATCCACCTAAAAGCTCCACGTGCCACTTTGATTCTACTTAAGGCGGATTTGAATCTGCAGTAACTCTCAGTATAGTACAATGATTGGCAGAGACCCAGGACTGTCTTAATTCGGTTGATTCACTTTTTTTACTACGTATATTTTTTTACTGGTTTGTTTTGACAATGGAAGCTTCATATGAACGTTCCTGATTAACGAGTGAACTACGTCATGTCATCATTTTGTTTAAAAAAAGTTACATTTTCTTCCTGTTTCTGCAATTTATTGTCAACATAAACTCTCAATTTTGTCCCTATTTTTATGTAAAAGATGATTTAAAAGTGTAATTCATGATAAGGCTAAACTTCCTTAAGGCTGTGCTAAGTATTTGTATTGCACAGTTCATACACAGGGCAAAGTGCTGAACAAAACAAAATAGAAAACGACACAATATTAAAGCTGCAAGCGGCGTCAAATGGCCCTCGCCGCACTGCATAAAGGAGGTGCAGGTCTTCACACCTCGCTAAGAAAATTACAACCATTTTTGAGTCTGCAGCGCGCACACCATTTGACTAAAAATGTGCAGCTAACCTTTGATCCTTCACTTGTTGAGACGACGTGGAGCGACTTTGAGCCCTGTTGCTTTAACGACCAATGCTGGTTCGTTAAAAATGCAAAGTGTGAGTTTGAGATTTTGATATTGACACAGAATGGGGAGTGTTCGTCATCGCCACGGCAACAGGGTAAAAAATAAGTCATCGTTGACTTTTTGAATCAGGATGTCAAAACAGAATTATGTGCAAAGTGATTTTGAGAAAACTATACAGTATATATATATTTTTTTATCCCCATGTAAAACCTTTGCTAACTCTGTCGGATGCGCTAAAGCTGACTTGGTGCATCCTACAGATTCAAATTTAGTGCAAATCTGACTTTGTTATGTGCAAAAAGAATGAATCACATATTTGTTGAAAAGTCTCTGTGTATGAACAATGCAAAAAGGAAATCCACACTGCAAAAAATGATAAAATATGAGGTCATAATTGCTTCAATGGAGTGGTTTTTATCTTATTTTGAGAACATTCTGACTGTTAAAACAACGGGACAAATCCATTTAGTCTTCATTCAATAACTTTGGCTTTATATTCTCATTCTAAGGGAGACATTTCTTGTATCTTTTAAAACAAGATCGTTTTGCTTTGTCGGAGAATCTTGTTTTAAGGCTCAGTCAGAATGTTCTCAAATTAAGGAACATTTATTTTTCATCAATTTTTTTCTGAGTTTGGTTCCAGTCCTGGACCTGGACCTGGACACGCCCTAAACACCCGGAGAACTATTAACCATTCTTTGGTAATGAAGTATTAAGTTGTATTTTATGTGTGCGTGCGTGTGTGTGCTTGGGCAGGTGAGACACACAACAGGTCGGACTGTACAGGCAGTATTCTCTTTAAACAGCGCCCCCCTGTGGGCAGTGCAGTAACAGCATTATTCCACTGTGATGAGTTTGTATGGATGGTTTTGTGATCACTGTGTATGTTTTGTGTTGGGGGCGAAAATAAATATTTCCTCAAATTAATAACGTGGAATTCTGTATTTGTGGTAAAGATGGTGAGAGGAGAAAACATAGTAAAGGAGATAATAGCATTTGACACACATTAATAAGTTTGAGATTAGGCAAGTTTATTGGTATAGCACAGTTCACACACACCTCAAAGTGCTGAACAAAACAATATGGATATAATACTTTCGCAACATGCCAAGGATCCGTCTGGAGGATCTGCTTCGGAGCCAAAGTCAGACTTCTATTTCAGGAAAGTGGAGTCATTTGAGCTGTAGATACAAGAACAAACCATGTGTCACCACTTTCACTTCCTGGTTATTATGATGTACGGACAATGTGACCCTGTCGATCACTTTAGGCGTCAGCGTTTATTTTCATGGTTGATGAATAGATTTTAAAATGGACAAAAGGTGGCAACTTGATAAGAGATCGAGGACAACTCAAATCAACTTTCACACAGAGATAGGTGCAAGTTACATAAAGGAGGCACATGGCAGACCTATTGTACATGTTTTTAGTGGTAGGGGAGGCCAGAGCACCCGGAGGAAACCTAAACAGACACGTGAGGCACCAGGGTTAACCACTGCACCACGTGACACTTTCAAAACAGGTCAAAATGTTAAAGTCAGTCAAACTTTAACACGTGTTTCTGTTGGAGCCACACAAATGTTCTTGTGAATCTATGTGATTTTTTTTAAATAACAAGATCAATACATTTACAGTGATAATAGTCACAGAATGTTTTTTGTCAGTAATAACAGACTGTCATGGTTTAAAGGACAACTCACCCTGTCTCGTTCACGCCCCCTTTAGTCCTCCAGGCTACGCCCATTTAGAGGAAGATTTGAACAGGAAATGTGAGTGACGTAAGCTCCGAGGAGCGGGGGTGAGAACCACTTTAAGTTTCCATCCATCCATCCATTTTCTTCCCTTTAATCCATTTCTGGGTCAGGGGGGTGGCAGTCAGTTTCCCTGTGGCTTCTTTAGATCTACTTCCTGTTTTGTGTTTACCTGCCCCTCCCTCATGTGTATCACCTGTGTAGTCGTGTCTCGCCTATCTGAAATAGTTGGAACTAATGTTCCACCACATTATTATTATTATTATTATTATAGATCCATGGCCACCACTTCTGCTTTTGAGTGGCCCCTCCCACAGAAAAATGTGAAAAAAACGGTTGAATCTGAGTTTTCAGTGACGTATGAGCGAGGCATTTAGCATTTAGCCTAGCTTTAGCCATCTCCTTTGCCACTAACGGAGCTGTGGTGCGTAGAGCCAAGACATCTTTCACAGCAACTAGAAACGCGTGCTGAAGCTGCGTGCTTCAATTGCTCGTGATCAGTTGGAGCCGAAGGAACTGTCTTGGTAGCATCGATCCTGTACTGTGTCCTGGCAGACACTTCACACACACTAGAAGATCTGTGCACCGTGATGCTGGTGGTCAGAGGACTGAATGCACTGACTGGTGCGTCTTTGAGGTCTGTGTACAATGTGTTATCACATCGACTGTGATGCTGATGGCCTGAGGTCGCTGCTATGGGCCCCGGGGCACTGTGGCTACAATAGTAGTTTTATCACCATCATGTGTTGGGAGTGAATGAATAATGACTGAAGCGTCTTTGAGGTTTTTTTAAAACTTATTTCTCATCACTGTCTGCTCTTGAGAGTAGTTTTAGCGACAGACCGATCCACCCTCGCTGTGTGAAGGAGAGGTTCCGCAGGTATTTCCTTCCTACTGCTGTCAGACTGTACAACGAACAATAATGAGAACTAACGAACACTGCCGACCTGACCTCACGTGTCGTGCATTGGTGCAATAACTTCAACTAATGTCAGAATGTGCAATACAGAACCACATGTGTCATTAGGGGTGGGAACCTAAGGGTACCTCACGATACGATACACGATACAAAGCTCACGATAACGATAATATCACAATAACGATATCACGATGACGATATCATGATAACGATATTACGCTAACGATTTTATCACGATATGACGATTATCGATATATTGGTCAGAAATATACAATATGCCAATTTATGGCATAAATAAAAGAAAAAATACACTTTATTTCATGATAAATGGAATGGAGATGCGGAATGTAGCCATATATTAAGTATTGATACCAATTTAAAAAAACAAATGTAAAAAAATAAATACATAAAAATTGATATCGATACTTGGCAAATGCATATCGATAATCGAATCGCGGGAGAAGGTATCGCGATATCAATATATCGATATATCGTCACACCCCTATGTGTCACTGTCACTTCTTGTAAACATACAACTATATATTTCTGCTTTAGAATATACAAGATTATATACTTACTTTTTCATTAGGCTAGAGTTGGAGATCTTACTGTATATTTTCTCCTTATTATGTTAAAGCTAGAGATTTTATCCTTGCTTCTTTTTATGCTCAAGTTAGAGATTATTTTATTTTTCTTGTGTTTGCGCCTCACTCCTACTGTTCTATAACTTGTGATGCAACACTGAGGAATGAAAAATGACCTCTTTCCTTAATCAAAGACATGCTGTTGTACATTGAGACATATTATCACTTTGTATCAGACCTTCCTTACAGGATCAAACTTTCGAATAAGAATATAAATAATGTAACTTCTGTCTCCACTGCGTGTAACTATCCTTGTGGTTCACGTCTTATTGTGGGTAAGAATGCCTTAAGATAAGTGCCATGTCAACACCCTTTGGGTGTGAAGACATGCAGGTTTCACAGAAGAGTCTGTGAATCTGTGTGAAGAAGATTCACAGACAGTCTGCTTTGGGGCAATGGAGTAGCAGGACCTCTGGGCTTTGCCCAGGCAGCAAAGGGGGTCCTGGGCCTCATAGATCGGCTCAAACCTCAGCTCCAGGTTTGAGAGGACTTCCACAACCCTTCAATAGCCTCCAGCTTCAACCTGGAGACGTTGCTGAACTGTGGCTCCTAGACTGTGGATCGTGGGAGGACTTGGTTCAGTCACATGATGCACCGCATGGTCCAGGCCCCATGAACAAGGGCTGGCCCCCCATTCATCGGCATCAAGACCCAACAAGGACCGCCATCGACCAAAGGCCCATTCTGGTTGTGTGATCTGCTCTTTGCTACACACCTACACTTCAAAGAACACTTAGTCTCTTACCAAGGCTGCACACATGCAAGCCCGGGCCGTCCAATCCATTCATGGACAAAGGCCTTGCTTTAGCCTTAGCTCACTTTAGCCATAGCATTTTAACCATGTATCTTGCAATCAATGTTTCCTTTATGTTATTCTTGACAATCTGCATATTTCATATCTACTCTGTACTATATATACTGCAATAAATCTACAAAACCATCGTTGTCTGAAAGTGATATTTGTACTGATTAACTCCAGAAATTGGGTCACTGATTTGTAAAAGAATTCATCACCTTCAGATTCTATTGAAAAGAATTGGACTAATTAGCTAATTGAATAATTAATTAGTCATATGATTACAGAATCAATAAATGAGCCAATGAGTCGTGATTTATTCCCTGGTGCCCCGAAATATAGCTATTATCAATGATTGTATTTACTACATGATTGTTTTTGATCCAATTCTCCGATATCAAATAAATAACTGAAGTTATGTGTGATGTCGACTTCAATAACCCCTACAACTGACATTTCCCCACAGTGGGACTAAATCAATTCTCAATAGGATCTCTTCATCACAATCATATCAGTGGAAAGTACAGTAAATGGTTGATGTTAGTCTGAACTGTGACACAGATGTCTTCTGGGTAATCAAATCTACAACCTCAGCAAAAGCATCAAACCTCAGACGTTTCAAAACTAATCCCAGTCACGGGTCATTCATCAGAGACCACTGTTGCATTACTTCATTTGGGAATTCCTTGAATAATGTAACACAGTTTGTTTCAATCCATGGCACATAATCGGTATTTTGTAACTGAAGACAAAATCAGTTACAAACCCAGGGGGGAATTATAGAAGCTTTTTACCTTCTACAAACATGGCCCAGGATCAAAAACATAGTGTCTAAAGCAGACTTGGAGATTCTTATCCATGCATTTGTCTCCTGTAGGTTAGACTACTGCAATGGCCTGCTCACAGGTCTGTCCAAACTTTGTTGTGAATTGACATTTGCTTCAATTGAATACTTATCTGTGCAGTCCTGCTATGTCCCATTGGCAAATCCAGTTTAAGGCAGTCAGAATCAAAGGAAGAAAAATTTAAGCCATTTTTGGACTGATTTTGTGTGACTTTTTGCTGTGTATAGACCTGTCTCTGTACAGACACATGTATCTATGGTCCTCAGCTGGTGTCTGGGACCATCTGAGAGCGGTCACCTGTGTCTGTGGCTCCCCTCCTCTGGTGCAGGGCGGTGACAATCAGGGATAGGAGAACCAGAAAGCTCAAGACCAGGCCCACGTACAGCCACACGTCTGCAACAACACACAACATTAAACATTGTTGTGTGTGTGTAAAATATTCAGAATACAGTACTCTGAATTGACCAATAAACATATTTGGATTTTTATTGCAAGATGTGGTCAAATTTGTCAACATTTTACTCACACACATTAGTAAAAAGCCTGTTCTCGGCTGCATACTCTTAAGAAATGTCCCTGTGAGTCACTATTTGACTTTTTGGACTGAGACTGAGGCTGGTCCTCTCTTTCTCACTTTTCTGCTGATCCAAAGATGTGATACCTGCGCTGACCACTGGGGGCAGGCCACGAGAGACTATCTTGAGAGCGAGGAACTAGTTTGATTTGAATATGTATTTTAGTAACTTATATTTTAATGTTCTTTTAGTAACCTGCACTTTTCTGAACTGTGTATTATTCTGCAAGTTTAAGTATTGAATCGTCAAGGGCCGCAGGTGGAAAGAAGCTGGTGCTAGATCTGGAGCCATCTTTTATATACGTATGTTTTTTTGTGGTTGGAAAGTTGTGTACCCCAGCTTTAAGCAGAGAGCTACCTGACTGTGGGAGGTGGTCGGGCTCAGGAGTGCTCTGGTCCTCGGAGACTTTGTGACTCGCATCTGCACACACAATATTATTTTTATAACTGGCATAATACAACTTATTATAGTTTTTCATCAAATGTAACTTATATAAAACCAAACTACTAAGAGCTGAGTGAGGGAGCTCCTCTTTGTCACTTTTCTGTCTGAAAAAGCATTGAAAATGAAATCTTACCACTTATAACATAAATGTTCACCTCCTGGATCTCACTCTCAGTCGCCCGGAAGGAGTATCTCTCCATCAGACAGCTGTACAGTCCTGCGTCAGAGCTGCGGACGTTTTTTATTGTCACATACACCAAACTTGGCGGAAATGAACGCTTCTTGTACTCGATGCTGTATCTGCCTTCCTCCATTTTTAAATTCGGGAAGGCCCATAACAAATACGTCCCTTGTTGGTCACAACGATCTTTACAGAACACGACCGAATTGCTTTGTTTGTAAAAAGAGAATTTGAATCTGAGGTCTTCTCCTTCTCTGACTTCCAGGGTTTTGGCCGCTCTGCTTCTGCCGCTGAGCACTGGTCAAAGAAACCAACAGGTAAACAATCAGTTGTTCTTTTACCAGATGGAATTTTACAGAACATGGCAAAAAGTGGTGGAAAATATGGCAAAAAAGGCTCAAATTTGGCCAAATATATCTTACACTGCAAAAAGTGACAAAATATAACTTAATAAATGCTAGAATCAAGTCTTGCTTATCTTAAAGGTCCTATATCACGCTTTTCTTCATGTTTCACACTCGATCCTAAACACATGTGTGATATTAATGTGTATGATACACCACACAACAACCAAAGTTTGTGAGATTAGAGCCATCTCTTGTATGTGACGTCACCTCGACTCAAACGAGCTGATCCAGAGAAGAGTCTGCTCCTCTGCCTGTGAGCCCGCCTCCCCCCGCCCGCACGGTGACGTAGCATCACGCTTTTGTCGTTTATCACCTGTACTTAGTAATTTCATACATAAGAATAAACTTTTTCCAACAATGACAATCCGTCACATCGAGCCCTATGTCCTCGATGCACAATCAGACCCTAGTTATTTAGTTTACAGAAGTATACAGCGAGTTAGCGTCACTACTTACAGATCGAGGGGGTCCGAGTTACGTCTTTTACCTTGGGAATAACGTGTTTCCAGATCAGCTTTTGAGTAAGTCCAGTTCCATTGTCCCTGTAGTTCTGGAACAGTCTCAGTGAAGTGTCGCAGATGAACCGGTTTATAATAGATCCATGAGATGAACAGATGAAAAAAGTCGAGCCGCTTTCTTCCTCTTAGGGCCAAATAGTGTGTCACATATTTACACCCATAACACACTTCATTCAAGTTGACGTGATCCTAACACTTTTAGTTGCTGACAAAAGCATAAAAACAGCAGCTCTATGTGGTGTTCGCGAGACCAGACCACAGACGCTGGACTCGGGAGCCGGAGCCTGTGCGCTCTGATTCGCTGTTTTGATCCGTCAATCACCTCCCGCCGGCTTTTAATTTATTTTTATTTTTATTATTTTTGACAAAAAACAGCATACTAATTGTGTATTGTTTACCCCATTTGACAAAAGTATTTAACAACTATTTTAAATACAAAGCAAACGGGGTCATGCGCGTCATTAGTGTGGTTTTTGTCACTGAAGTGGACCCGAGCGTTTCTGTGCCTCACGCTGGGGAAGGAGACAGATTGCTCTCTTACAAAAGATTGACAGAATCAATGAATAAACTACTGTGGGCTTGTGTATGAAGGCCAAATAGCATTGTAATCATGTTTAAAGCAGAGAAAAGTCAAAAACCGTGATATGGGCCCTTTATTTGAGTATATTTTGACTTTCTTAAAACACGATTTGAGAGGAAGTTAGTCCTCTCAGAGAGCGACTAACTCCTCACTCGGAGTCTTAGCTTAAAAGTAATTCCAGAACACTCTTAGAGAACTCTGAGCAAGGAATGGACCAAAACTTTTATCTTAGTGAGGAGGCGTGGCCGACCCCGTTGCTAGGTATGAGTCATCATTTCAGACGCTGTGATTGGTTGATCCTAAAAGTTAGAGAAAACATATTTTTGGTGATAATGGGCAGAATGAGGACCCTCAAATGATTATTATAAATATTATATGGATAAATGATGATAATGATAACGTTAGGATTAAAGGCTGTGATACTGAAAGACGTAAAAGGTATTAAGGACACAATATTAATATAAACATAATATACATACACTGTACAAATCAAGTATATATTAATGTGGATGTCACTGTTGCATAACTGTAAATATACCACGGAATAAACTAAGCTGTAGCAACCACATCATTTAACTTAAGTTCATTTAGAATGATAAATAGAGGGGAGTTTAAAAGTCTAAACTTCTTCCCTCTCCTTTTTGAGCTGGAATGTTGTTAATAAACTGTATATTTGTACTTTTTCTATTCTGTTGTTTTGTTTGTTGTTGTCCTTTTTTCCTGTTTGCGATGGCTCAAAATAAAGTATTCATTCATTCATACTGAATGTGTGAAAACGTAGGCACACTTGCACAGTATTAACACAATAATAGTTATATTTACTTGCTTTTATTAATTACCATGCTGGTCATTTTTTCTCTTTCAACTTTTACAATTTCTACCCTTAACAAGGGAAACATGGATGAGCTGTGATCACTGACCAGTCAATAAGAAGCTGGTCACATGATTGACTTAAATACACCACAAACATGATTCCTGCACGACTCAATCTGCGTTTCACTGATTCACTGTCATCCAGTGAATAGAATATCTCTCCTGCCTCCACCGTCCACCATTTTGTCTCTTAGGGAACTTTTAAGTCACTAAAAGTCCTCACCGCGAACTCTTAAGGGATCTCCCCTTAGGAGCTCTCTTAAGAGCTAGGATTCTTTAGGAATAGCTTTTTTCTTAACTAGGATCTACTCCTCACTTTTAGGGGAAATTCTAAGAGTAGGTCAACATTCTAAGAAAATTCTTAGAATTTGGCCACTAGGAGCAACTTTTAGCACTAAGAATCTTTAGGAATACGGCCCCTGGTCTTTTTCCAAGTGCTGTTGTGATTTTTGTCTCATTCCAAGTGAGACATTTCTTGATTTGTCTTGTATCTTGTCCCAATGGAAATATCTTAGACTGTCAAAATCTGCGCAATTAAGATGAAACCACGTGATTCAAGCATTTATTATCTAATATTTTTTTTTAATTACAGTGTAGCGGCAGCACATTTTGACTGCCTTAAAACCTGATTTGCCAACAGTTTTTAAAATAAGACTAAGTGGTTTTGTACCATTGGAAAATCTAGTTTTAACACAGTCAGAATGTGCTCAGAATTAAGCTTTTATTACCTCATATTTGATCACTTTTTGCAGAGTACCAAAACAAGATGTAGAAATCAGAGAGGACTTACCGAGCAGCATCACGGAGACAGTGTAGAGTCGCAGGTCCATGTCTAAATGTGTGCGTCACTTCTTTGTGTGTGTCACTTCTTTGTGTGTGTCCAGTCTTAAAGTGTGTGGAGGAAATTCATCATCGAACCGTCATTCTAGTTTGGCAACATTCTCTGAAAAAAGTAAAATCTTGGTAAGATTTATTTACTGAAAATATCTCAAATGATGCGTATTTTTCATAAAGTTTTTTTTTGCTTGAATTTTTTTTGTCATATAAGATTATTTTACGAGTTTTAAGATACTTCATAATCTTTTTACGCCCCGAGAGCCAAAGCAGTTTCCTAGTTTGTGACTTCTAATTCTGATTATTAGAGAAAAAAGTCTGAGCAGTGAGTTTTTGAAGCTTGTTTTAAGATTTTTTTCCAGAATTTTTTCTTGTTTAGATAAAATAAGTTTTTGATGCCATAATTTAAGAAAACGTTTGTCAAAAATGTTTAATAAATAAGTAAATAATACGTGAAATGTATGTTTTTATGCTTTTCTTATGTTCAGAAATCTTGTCAAGTCATTTTTCTTTTTTTAAGCAGCAGTTTACTTATTTTCACTTTTTTTTTTACAGTGTGGATCTCTTATCTTATCCTACTTCCAGCATAACATACAGACAACTAGAGACGTAATACTTGTTTCTTTAAATGCTAAAGATAGAGATCATTTTCCATCCATTTTCTTCCCCTTAATCCATTTCTGGGTCGGGGGGGTGGCAGTCAGAGCTGCACCCAGTCACAGAGCACCAGCCCCTCACTGATCCTCCTGCAGGTGGTGAGTCCACAGGAGCTGAGATCTTTGAGCGGGGGCTTCAGGTAAAGTGGGGTTAAGTGTCTTGCCCAAGGATACAATGGGCCTCATTCACGAATAACTTCGTAAGAAACTACTCAACTTTCTTCTCAAGTTGTCCTTAAGTAGATTTCTAAGAAGTCCCCACGTGGGATTCATCAACGCACTCGTAAGCCGCTGAATTGTTTGCAGCTGTTCTCTCAGATTGATGAATCCCATTTCCTCGTAAATACAGCGCGCGTGCCAGGTGCTTCATTAGCATAGGTACTTAGCATAAGTAACCGCCCACTAATGCCCATATAAGGGACTGCAGGGCCGTGTGCAGACGGCAGAGGAAACAGCAACAGGCCTTTACACGGAGCAAAAGAGTCACCCAGACTGAGAATAAAGTTATAAAATTTTGACTTAAAAGTCGAAATATTATGATAATAAAGTCGAACTAGCAAAATTATGAGATTAATCTAAGAATATGATGAGATTAATCTCAAAATGTTATGAGCTTAATTTAAAAATATATTATGTATTATTTTAAAGATGAATCTCAAAATGTTTTGAGATTAATCTCAAAATATTTTGGACCCTGGGAGGAGATCCAGCGCGGACCAGCGCTGAGACCAATGCAGACCCGAGGAGAGACTGGAGTGACCAGCACACAGAAACCAGCGCGGACCTATAGGAGAGACCGCATAGACTGGAGTGACCTGACTGGAGAGACCGGTGCGCAGAGACCAGCGCGGACCGAAGAGAGACCGCATAGACCAGACTTGAGAGACCAGCGCGGACCCGTATGGATCCAGGAGCATGCAGGAGCACCCGTATGGAGAGACCAGTGCAGACCAGTATATGGGAGAGACCAGTGCAGACCCGTATAGATCCATGGGAGACACCAGCGCAGACCCGTATAGATCCATGGGAGAGACCAGTGCAGACCCGTATAGATCCATAGGAGACACCAGCGCAGACCCGTATAGATCCATTGGAGAGACCAGCGCAGAGACTCAGCGCGGACCCAGTAACCTCCTGCAGCAGCAGTATATATGCCGTTGTTCTGTGGCCCGTGAATAAAGAAATGCCCCCTATAAATAGGAAGGGGTCACTAATACACGGCAAGATTTCCAATGTATTTGATAAAGCGTTGGCACATTTCATTTCAAAATGAATTAAAAAGTAGGCCAGATCTGCAGTGAAAAAGGCGGTATATAAATAAAGATTACTAATAAAGATTACTACAAATAAATAAATACATACATCGATATGACGGACATATCACTGGAATGTTGTATTTTTATTCAACTTCACCAAAGAGGACAACCCCGGCGTGTGAACATGTCGGCACTGAATGCGTACGAGTGCTCCTGAGGACTCGTAGGATTTGTACTTGCCCAAGAGAAATTCTGGTTACCAGAAATATTCGTGAATGCCACTTTCTTCGTAAAAACCGCGTAAGTAGGATTTACGTACAAATCTGTTCCTAAGAACCGTTCGTGAATGAGGCCCATTGATAGCAGACATCAGCGGGAGTCGTGAAGTAGGTCTTATGGTGGGCTTGAACCCACGACCTTCAGGCTCATAGGCCAATGCTCTACCACCTGAGCCACTGTCGCCCCTAGAGATAATTTATTGTTCATTTATCTCGTGCTGTGTGCTCCTCATTCTTATTGTTCTGTAACCGGTGAAGCAACACTGACATTTCTTTACATTCAGCAAAAATATGTGGCTTGGCAAGATTGTTCAGCTCCACCACGATTTTAAACTACAGACTCTTTGGAATGTTTGTGATGTCACATGAACGCACGGCCGTCAGTTATCAAAGACTGCAGCCACCGCTAAAGCTCAGAAACTCAAAGGGCCTGCCGTCATAAACTGGCATTTGGATCGGCAAGAAACGGGTAAAACCTGGGACCGTGTGTCTAAAGATTCTGAGAGTCCTCTCAGAGAGCTCCTGACTTCACCTAAAAACTCCTCGCTTGGAGTCTTAGCTTAAAAGTTATTCCAGAACATTCTCAGAGAATTCTGAGCAAGGAATGGACAAAAACTCCTATCTTAGTGAGGAGGCGTGGCCGACCCCGTTGCTAGGTATGAGTCATCATTTCAGACGCTGTGATTGGTTGATCCTAGAAGTTGGAGAAAACATACTTTTGGTGATAATGTGCAAAATAAGGACCCTCAAATGGACAAACTCAATCATGGAATCTGAATCTGATCTTAGGAAGACTGTTATTGTAAATAATACGCTGCATAAAAGATATGTTAATGTAAATAAAGAATGCTGTGAAAAGTAAGTTATACTTTTAAATTATCAAACAGAATTTGTAAAAACGTGTGCACAGTATTAACGCAGTGATAGTTATATTTATTTGCTTATATTAATTGCCGAGCTGGTAATTTTTTCTCTTTCAACTGTTACCATTTCTACTCACTTCGGTGTAACAAGAGTAAAATGGCACAGCTGTGATCGCTGACCAGTCTATAAAAAGCTGGTCACATGGTTGACTTTCAGATTTACCACAAACAAGTCAACAGCAGAGAATAAAAGAGGAAACCAACTGGACAGAGGAACAGTGTTTGCTTCTAGCTCAAATGAGAATAACAGTGTTTTGAGAGGTACATTTGGCCCCACAGTCATCCAGTGTTTGTGGAATATCTCTCCTGTCTCTTCCGTCCTCCATTTTGTCCTCTTAGGGAACTCTTAAGTCGCTTAAAGTCCTCTCTGCTCTGAAGAGATCTCACCTTAGGAGCTCTCTTAAGTGCAAGGATTCTTTAGGAATAGTTTTTTTCTTAACTAGGAGCTATACCCGTTTCTAGAAGAGTACGTCAAGATTCTAAGAATAATCTTATAATTTGGTCACTAGGAGCAACTCTCAGCACTAAGAATCTTCAGGAATACACCCTACTGTAGGTCTGAATCGGGTTTCTTGGAAAAAGGAGTAAAAGCAGGAAGTGATGCTCAGACCATTTCCAGTAGTAAGTGAGGAGTGGATTGTGTAAGTGACCAGGACTGTCCTCAGATGTTTGCTTGTCCCATTAGCATGTCTTGTTTAAAAAAAAAAAGTGTAGCAACCGAAAGCAGTTGTTATGTTACTTAGAAGCATGGCTAACCACTCCAAACTAAGGCCCAATCTCAATACCCACACTGCACCCTACACTCCGCTACGAAGTGTGCATTTGTTCGAAGTGCACACAAGGGTTGCGCAGGTTACAAGCGTGCCAAAAGGCGGAATTGGGACAGTGCACAATGAGTGCAGGTTACGTCATCGACTCGTCAAGAGATGGTCATTTTCAGACCTAAACTTTATAAACATTAAAGGTTTTTGTCTGACCCTGTGGGAAACAAAATGAGTTGCTCCACACAAGTTAAAATAAATGTATATCGGTTATTTGTAATTTGAGATAGCTGTAGAATTTTAAGTTAAATGTGGGTAACTAACTGTTATCTGGTCAGTTTTTATACATCCTAAGATTATTGTACTAAGTGTAAAGTTTAAATTGAATGTTATATGAATGCTTGCTTTAAAAAGTTATTAAATTGTTAAAACACAATGTCCGTAATTCTTCATCAGACGTTTATGCTTCTTTCCAAGTAACATAGCAAAACTTATTTACACACATACTGCATATATATTTCAAAATTTATATTTAAATGCATTTAAGTGTAAGTACACACGTTTTGTGTGCCGCAAAGAATTATGGGCAATATCCTTCGCCAGAGTGCGCATAGATGCAGGCTACGGCGAAGTGTGGATCAGGGGCGCAAAGGGGGCGGGGCCAAAGACGTCCCTGGAGGATTGAGACACCCTATGCACTCGCACCCATCATCGGGAACACACAAATGAGGGGCGCGAGGGTGGAAGTGCCAGTATTGGGACGGGGCCTAAGACTGGACTCACCTGAGAAAATGGGAGGAGTCTGGTGTGCTCCTGCTTGGTTGGAATGAAAACCTGCTGCCACACCTGCCCTTTCTGGAAGCGGTTTGACACCCTTTGATAAAAGGACAAATATTGTGGTGGTCTGTTTGACATATTTTTATATAATATTTGTTTATTAATTACTCTCTTTGTTTAATGTAAGACTAGAAAACACAGATTTGTCTTCGAAGGAGTAATTGTAATGTTTAATTTAGTGAAAATACTTGATTTGTTGCCCGCTTTGACCACAGGTGAGTCCAAGTATCACATCAAAAAAGGGACAGACACAGATCTGTCTTTTATTGTATGTTTTTATTCATGACAATGATAAGAAATGCCAAACGTGCACGTTGCCAGAGAAATAACGAGTAAATCAGATCAAAGCCTCTTATACGTCACACATTTCACACATGGTCTCAGCCGCCATCTTTGTAGTTTAACACTTTTAACACAACAATTAACAATAAAACTCCCAGACCAGTCAATTTGACGGCTTTCACTTCTGGATGTGTAATTACTTGGCCATTTCCGGTTTCTCGGTAACCAACTTTCTATGGCAGTTGGAGCTGGTTACCGTAGCAACACACTGTTGATAAGATAAGAATTCCTTTATTCGTCCCACAGTGGGGAAATTTCGATGTTGCAGCGCACATATAGGACAGTAGTAAGAGCACACAGGGAGCACACACAATATATACACTATATACAAATAAGTAGTAGCTATGTTTCTTAACTAACATAACTAGCTGTAGATGCTGAAAATGCTTCAATACCAGTCAAAATATATATATGTAGTAGTAGTGCAGTTATATACTGTACAGTTAAATAGTGCAGGATAATAAGTAGATAAGTAAAGTGACATGAGGTAAAGTGACATTGTTCAGTGGACATTCTGAAGTTGCAGTATTGCACATTGCACATGATTTAAGAATTTACTTATTTACAGATGAATGAAATTTACAGGCTGTCAGCAGTTCTTATTGTACAGTCTGACAGCAGCAGGAAGGAAAGACCTACGGAACCTCTCCTTCACACAGCGAGGGTGAATTAGTCTGTCACTGAAGCTGCTCTCCAGAGCAGAGAGAGTGTCCTGCAGGGGGTGACAGTCATGGTCCAGCATAGATGTTAGTTTGCTCAGGACCCTCCTGTGCAGTTAGCATTTGTTCTTTAGCATTAGCCTTTCAACTGTTTTGATTGTGATATTTAACCACTTTTAGAGCTTAGTAAAAGTGAGTAAAGGTAAAAATGACTAAGAATTCCGTGGCTATGAATTTGGGAGTTTTAGTAGTTTCAGTTGAGTGTTAAAAAAATTACACTAAAAAAGGAAAGCGAAAAAGTGATGACACCGTTTTACTACACTACATAAGAGAGAGCTACTCCTCACTCCCAGAATTCTGAAACTGCTAGAACTCCCAGAGCCGTCATTTTGACAGCTCCTATTCAAATCAATGTAAAAAAAAAAAAAAACAAGTTTCCACCAGTTTTAGTAAAATAGTAAATTTATTAGGTTTTTTTTGTTTTGGTTTTTTTAAACATTGAATCATCTTTAATTAGAACTAAAACTGGCAAATCTTACTTAAAACACAGAAAAAACAGTTTGGTGAAAGGCTAATGCTAAAGGCTAAATGCTAACTGCTGACCGTAAATAGTGTGTTGCTATGGTAACTAGCATTGCTCTTCTCTGGTGGGAAAATGACAGTCTAAGGTAGAACTACTATGAATTAAAAAATTAAAAGACAATTTGATAATAATGACAGAAATAAACTACACATGGAAACTGAAAATGTCACAAAGTTAATCCAGGTTTGTTGTCGGCAGAATTGAACGATGAGCCAGAAAGAGAGAAGTTATAATGCCTCAGCAGCATTTATTTTGTATTTATTTGTTTAACTTTAGAACAGTACATATTAATCGATGTGTCGGCAAACAGTGTCAACATAAATATACTGGAATTAGCACAACATCTAAATCGTGCTAACTTAAAGATCACATATAAAGTTACGTTACAGGGATAATACGGAGTTCAACTGTAGTCTTCCTCTGTCTTAGCTGCTATACAGAGTCAGCACTGACAGATGTAGATGCTGCCTCCTGGATCTTCATCAGCAGTGCTTTTCTTTACAATATTGTCCACTTTCTATACAGCAGAAATACCATGGAAGAGGCTGTGTTCCTGCTGAGCTGTTAAAGATGCTATACCCAATTTATTTTCTAAAGAGTTCATAAAAAATGCTTATTACTACATACAAGTTGTATTATAATCCGAGCTCATTGATTCAGCTTGTGTATTAATTCAGGCTGTAAAAAGTGCTGAGTAGAGACTTAGCGTGACACCCGCTCTCCTCCAATCACAGAAGGAGGCTGCGTCTTGTAGCTTCTATAGCGCTGCTAAACACAGTAGCATGTTACAGAATTGGCTATAACTCCTCTGGCTGTAACTGCAGACACAACAAAACAGCCCAAACGACACAACAGTGAGGAAGAGAAGAGGGAACTAAAACCAAAAAATGATCAAAGAAGAAATCAAGCCCAGAAAAACATAGCTAGCTTACGTTGTATCCTCTGGAGAGACTTGTCTATGGGAGAGACCCGCGGGACCGACTCAGACTAGCTATGCTCGGACTACATTTGGACGCGAAACTAGCGGCTCTTTCAGTAATATGTTTTGTTAGCAGTGCGTTGCTTTTCATCGGTGATTGTTGTACAGTTTACAAGAAGTTGAGCTAATGCTAATGTTAGCATATAGATGGCAAATAAAACTAGATGGCTCCGTGGGATGAGAGCGTAGGGGAAATGAGAAACCTCTGAGCGAGTTGGGGGGTGGTGCTAAACATTAAAACTTTGCAGAAACGGGTATAGCTCCTTTAACCTACCATAAGGGGAGTGTGTAATCTGACGAGCACATTTTGTCTGGTGGACCTCTGTAATATCTGTGTTACTGCTAATTTAGATGTATCTCTATCTTATGTATGACGTCTCTGTTCTGATGCACATTGATAAGATAAGATAGACTCACAATGGAGACATGTACAGCACCAGATACACAAAATAAATAGCTTTGTCTTCTTTTGTTCTTTCTGGAAGGACTCGAAAAATAAACAGGGCTCAGGTGCGATTGCTGCTGCCTGGTTTTCATTTCTCGACAGGAGCATTGTTCACTGAATATGTCCAAACGTATCAAAATAGAGAATCAAACCTGTTACTGTAAGCATGTGTGGGCCTAATATCTTACACGAGCTGAGTAAATACACTTTGTCTATGTGAAGGTGCTCCGGTGCGGTCTTCAGATCCATGCGACAAAGTTACAGAAGATATTTCAGATCCTGAGATATCACAAACACAATATGAGCAAAAACATTTATTTTTATTTTTTATGAATAAAGAGCTGCAGAAGTGTCACCTGCAGAGAGCGTCACTGGAGTCTCTGGAGAGGAACTGGGAGAACATGCAAATACAGTTAGACTATGGAAGCCTCTCTGTGACACATGTATCTATGGTCCTCAGCTGGTGTCTGGGACCATGTGAGAGCGGTCACCTGTGTCTGTGGCTCCCCTCCTCTGGTGCAGGGCGGTGAGGATCAGGGACAGGAGAACCAGAAAGCTCAGGGCCAGGCCCACGTACAGCCACACGTCTACATACCATACAGGCAAGTTTATTCGTATAGCATAGCACAGCTCATACACAAGGCAACTCAAAGTTCTTAGCAAGATTTTCATGTCAAGTCATCATAGGGCCCTTATCTGTCATAATAATAAACTGCTCTTTACCAATACTTCTTTAACGAATAACAGTAGTTCAGAGATATTTGATTTTATAAATTACTTTTCCAGGCCCTAAATCTTGTTATTGTTTTCATTTGGATGTCCCGCCCTCCACCGTTTCACCAATCAGAAAGTCTGTGATCCGGGCGCCAGAACTCACCGCGTGGAGCTAATCTCACTGGTAAAGTATCATGTGGCGCAGAACTATAAAAGGTCTTGTTATGATTCTCAAATTATTAACAACAAAACAAGGAATAAAACTAGGATTTCTATCTTTGTGAAAAAGGTGTGGGTTATAGATTTGTTGTTGACAAAACTCTATTCAGCTGTTATGGTCCCATGCTGGATTCGTCTGCATATCTGGCAACCTGAGTCAGGGAGAGTGGGAGAGGCTGCAGTACCACTTTTGGACATATGTTTACATACTACTCCTTTAACTTATCCAAATCATAATTAATCACCGTACACTAAAAAGAGTGAAGACACAGAACTGTTTTTAACCTGGATTTGAACATTGTCAGAGAAGAAGCCTGTCTCACATTTTCAGGAAGATTTTAGCTGCATGAATCTGAAGTGCTACCTCCTCAGCTTTTGAGAACTGTAGCGAGGGTTGCGTAGCGTTACCTTTTGAGTCTGTGATGTCCTGTTTGGATTCACTGGAGGGCTTCGAAATCACTGCATCAGATCCACCACTATCAGCTGGAGGAAGGATTAAAGACATAATCATTGTCATAAACATTTGAGAAAACACTGCAAAAAATTATCAAATATGAGGTAATATGAGTGGTTTTTACCTTAATCTGGGTTCATTCTGACTGTGTTCAAACTAGATTCTCCAATGGAACAAAGACATTTAGTTGTTTTTTTCTCATTCCAAGGGAGAAATTTCTGGTATCTTTTTAAAACAAGATCATTATGTAAGTAATTTAGTATGTAAGTAATGTTTATTTATATAGCGCATTATACAGACCAAGGTCTCCCAAAGCGCCTTACACACGGTGATGACAGAAGCGAGTCGACACTGGCGTATCAGCCCCAATCAACACCATCCATTCACTCTCTCATTTACATTCATACCTATTGTACATGTTTGTAGTGGTAGCGGAAACCGGAGCACCCGGAGGAAACTTACGCAGACACGGGGAGAACATGCAAACTCCACTCAGAAAGGCCCTGTTCCGCCCGGGATTCGAACCCAGGACCTTCTTGCTGAGAAGCGAGAGTGCTATCCACTCAGCCCAACTCTTGTCTATTCAGCTGTTATGGTCCCAGCTGGATTCGTCTGCATATCTGGCAACCTGAGTCAGGGAGAGTGAAAGAGGCCGCAGTACCCCTTTTGGCCAGAGTTTTACATTGCTCCTTTAAAGGAATAGTTCACCGTTTTTACATACTGACATATGTTCTTACCTTACCTTAGACTAGTTAATATGTACCTGTCTGGTCTTAGTCCGTGCGCTCTGTCATGCAAACAGAGCAAAAACGGGAGCACAACCGCAGCCTCCTCTGTATACTGTGTAGGACCAAAAGGTAGCTCCCGCTAGAAGCTACCAAACTCTTCCAAGTGTTCCCTATTAAATGTATATAGTTACGTGACGTGTTACACTGCAAAGTATAGTAACACAGAAATGTAACTGTCAATTTTCTCAGCGGATAAAACGGGTACTATATTGTGAGGCGTAGTAATCTGAGGAGCGCTACGTCCGCGCACTAACTTCTCTCCGGAGACTTCTCTCTCGCTCACTTCCGTCTATTGAGAATGAGGAGTTGACGTCACGGCACAGAGTCCCCCCTCCCCATCCCCCCTTTGCCGACATATTGGCTGCGCACCGGTGGCGGCAGTACAGTTTGTTTACGTGTGTTGTGAACGCGGTAGTAGCGGAGGTTCTTGCTATTCCGCACTGTTTTATCATGCCTGGAAATAACTGCTGCGTTAAAAACTGCTCCAATACCTCCCACGATGGATATGGAAAACCTAGTAACAACGAGATACAGTTTTTTAGGTTACCGAAATGGAAAAAGCATCAAGGGGAGCAATTCTCTGACCTGACAAGGAGACGTCGGATTGCTTGGTTGGCTGCAATTAGAAGAAAGGACCTTACTTTCGATCACACACCCCTGTCGACGAGAGTGTGTTCTCTGCATTTTCACTCTGGTACGTTCTGTAAAAATGTATTTATGTAGTTGTCTCTTAAAGCTAGGAAGTGTAGGTTAGCATATGTTATTATGGTTTCTGTAGTGCCTTTGTCTCTGTGTCTTTGTTACCCTCTCAGGCTGTTTCTTACTTAGCACGTGTTCTGCGAGGTCTTTGCCAGTGTAAAGCATAGATTACATAGATTGTACACATAATCTAATTATTCTGTTGTACATAAACCTTCATATGACATTATGAGGTGACCTAAAAAGTACTTGAGATGCTGTTCATGACATAGTTGCCAGTTTAAAGCATTGATTACATAGATTGTGCAAATTATTATATTAATTATATGTTGTTATTATTCTCGTGTAGGTAAACCAGCATATGAGATGTTGGAGAACCACCCTGACTGGACACCATCCCTGTTGTTAGGCCACAATGATGTACAAAAAACAGATGAAGCGAGATATCAGCGGCAAGTAAGGCGCAGGTCCCTGCCACTGGAGCGGCAGCCACCTCCAGCCCAACACCAGCCGCAGGCGCCGCCGCCTCCAGCCCTAGACCAGCTGCAGCCGCCACCAGCCCTAGACCAGCTGCAGCCGCCACCAGCCCTAGACCAGCCGCAGGCGCCGCCGCCACCAGCCCTAGACCAGCCGCAGGCGCCGCCGCCACCAGCCCTAGACCAGCCGCAGGCGCCGCCGCCACCAGCCCTAGACCAGCCGCAGGCGCCGCCGCCACCAGCCCTAGACCAGCCGCAGGCGCCGCCGCCGCCAGCCCTAGACCAGCCGCAGGCGCCGCCGCCGCCAGCCCTAGACCAGCCGCAGGCGCCGCCGCCGCCAGCCCTAGACCAGCCGCCAGCTGACCCGGACATGGAATGTGGACTCTGCACATCTAGACGAGATGTTATCAACAATCTTCTTGAAGAAAACAGACAGCTGAAGCGTGAGCTTGATACGTACCGGATGAATGAGAACTTTCTGAGTGGTGATGATAACACAGTGAAGTATTACACGGGGCTTCCAAACTTTGCATTGTTCCAGACACTTCTACTCTACCTAACTCCAGATCTGCCTCAAGGTAGAATGAAGAAGCTCTCACCCTTCCAGCTTGTCCTATTGACTTTAATGCGCCTCAGATTAGACCTTCCAATCCAGCACCTCAGCCATCTGTTTAGAGTACATAGGACAACAGTCGCCGATGCCTTTCACCATACCCTTGGTGTGATGTACGCACAGCTGTGTCCATTGGTGCACTGGCCAAGTAGGGAATGCTTATTGACCAGTATGCCACACCAGTTTGTGGAGTCATTTGGGAACAATGTGGCTGCCATTGTGGACTGCTTCGAGGTGTTCATCGAGAAACCTTCCAATGTACTAGCAAGGGCACAGACTTTTTCTCAATACAAACACGCATACACTATGAAATACCTAATCGTGATCACGCCCCAGGGTGTAATTTCCTTCATATCGAACGGGTGGGGTGGGCGCACAAGCGACAAGCATATAACCGAGCAAAGTGGTTTCCTGAACAAGCTGTTACCAGGTGACATTGTGCTGGCAGATAGAGGCTTTAATATAAGAGAACATGTGGGCATGATGTGTGCTGAAGTGAAAATACCTACATTCACCAGGGGTCGTGCTCAGCTTGAGGCGAAAGATGTGGAGGAGACTAGGCCCATAGCACATCTCAGAATTCACGTGGAGAGGGTGATCGGTGTTGTGCGCAACAAATTCAAATTCTTACACTCAACTGTACCTGTGCACATGCTTGTCAAATGTGAGGGTGAAAACCTAATGCCTTTGGATAAGATTGTCATTGTTTGCTGTGCCTTAACGAACATGTGCAAAAGTGTTGTTTGAGTACCTTATTCTTTACTGTATCTTTTATTTTTAAATAAATGCATGAAACAACTTGATATGGTTTACCAATATTTATTGAGAAATGAATATTTTTTTTGTTACAAACGTGTGCAGTCAAAGTACTGTTTCCAGCATGTAAACATGCCCAACATAGGTAAAAATGATAATAAGAGTCATACTTTTCTTAGTGCAAAGGGACACAAAACACTGCAAAACAACGTGTGCATTCAAAGTACTGTTTCCAGCATGTAAACATGCACAGCATAGGCAAAAATGATCATAAGAGGTCATACTTTTCTTAGTGCAAAGGGACACAAAACACTGCAAAACAACGTGTGCATTCAAAGTACTGTTTCCAGCATGTAAACATGCACAACATAATAAAATAAATTATAACATAAATAATAATAACAAATAAGACTGTTATTAGTGCAAATGTACAAAAAAACACTGCAAAGGCACACAGCAATAACAATAATACAATTTTAAGAAATAGGAAAAACCTATTCTGCACAACAAGGGCAAAACCATGGCGTGTCACCAGAGGGTTTATTAACAAGCCCCACACAACTGAAGTGAAACCACTGGCAAGCTTCTCCAAATACCTCTGTTTTGCGCTTGGTATGAGCTTGTTCCTGTACGGTCCCTTCTCTTTCGCCTTATCTCTAAGCATTGTTTTACTGTCTTCCTTTCCCTTGTTGTATCAGTAGATCCGTCTCTGTCTCGCCGAAAACGTAAATGCGTATAATTTAAAGTGCTCTGGAATATGAGGAGCGCGTGAAATTCTGGGGGCGTGCCCCCGTTGCGCAGCCAATATGTCCGACAGGCTCAGAGCCCCCCCCAAATCACCCCAACTCGGCACGTGACTCCTCACTTCCGTCTATTGAGAATGAGGAGTTGACGTCACGGCACAGAGTCCCCCCTCCCCATCCCCCCTTTGCCGACATATTGGCTGCGCACCGGTGGCGGCAGTACAGTTTGTTTACGTGTGTTGTGAACGCGGTAGTAGCGGAGGTTCTTGCTATTCCGCACTGTTTTATCATGCCTGGAAATAACTGCTGCGTTAAAAACTGCTCCAATACCTCCCACGATGGATATGGAAAACCTAGTAACAACGGGATACAGTTTTTTAGGTTACCGAAATGGAAAAAGCATCAAGGGGAGCAATTCTCTGACCTGACAAGGAGACGTCGGATTGCTTGGTTGGCTGCAATTAGAAGAAAGGACCTTACTTTCGATCACACACCCCTGTCGACGAGAGTGTGTTCTCTGCATTTTCACTCTGGTACGTTCTGTAAAAATGTATTTATGTAGTTGTCTCTTAAAGCTAGGAAGTGTAGGTTAGCATATGTTATTATGGTTTCTGTAGTGCCTTTGTCTCTGTGTCTTTGTTACCCTCTCAGGCTGTTTCTTACTTAGCACGTGTTCTGCGAGGTCTTTGCCAGTGTAAAGCATAGATTACATAGATTGTACACATAATCTAATTATTCTGTTGTACATAAACCTTCATATGACATTATGAGGTGACCTAAAAAGTACTTGAGATGCTGTTCATGACATAGTTGCCAGTTTAAAGCATTGATTACATAGATTGTGCAAATTATTATATTAATTATATGTTGTTATTATTCTCGTGTAGGTAAACCAGCATATGAGATGTTGGAGAACCACCCTGACTGGACACCATCCCTGTTGTTAGGCCACAATGATGTACAAAAAACAGATGAAGCGAGATATCAGCGGCAAGTAAGGCGCAGGTCCCTGCCACTGGAGCGGCAGCCACCTCCAGCCCAACACCAGCCGCAGGCGCCGCCGCCTCCAGCCCTAGACCAGCTGCAGCCGCCACCAGCCCTAGACCAGCTGCAGCCGCCACCAGCCCTAGACCAGCTGCAGCCGCCACCAGCCCTAGACCAGCCGCAGGCGCCGCCGCCACCAGCCCTAGACCAGCCGCAGGCGCCGCCGCCACCAGCCCTAGACCAGCCGCAGGCGCCGCCGCCACCAGCCCTAGACCAGCCGCAGGCGCCGCCGCCACCAGCCCTAGACCAGCCGCAGGCGCCGCCGCCGCCAGCCCTAGACCAGCCGCAGGCGCCGCCGCCGCCAGCCCTAGACCAGCCGCCAGCTGACCCGGACATGGAATGTGGACTCTGCACATCTAGACGAGATGTTATCAACAATCTTCTTGAAGAAAACAGACAGCTGAAGCGTGAGCTTGATACGTACCGGATGAATGAGAACTTTCTGAGTGGTGATGATAACACAGTGAAGTATTACACGGGGCTTCCAAACTTTGCATTGTTCCAGACACTTCTACTCTACCTAACTCCAGATCTGCCTCAAGGTAGAATGAAGAAGCTCTCACCCTTCCAGCTTGTCCTATTGACTTTAATGCGCCTCAGACTGGACCTTCCAATACAGCACCTCAGCCATCTGTTTAGAGTACATAGGACAACAGTCGCCGATGCCTTTCACCATACCCTTGGTGTGATGTACGCACAGCTGTGTCCATTGGTGCACTGGCCAAGTAGGGAATGCTTATTGACCAGTATGCCACACCAGTTTGTGGAGTCATTTGGGAACAATGTGGCTGCCATTGTGGACTGCTTCGAGGTGTTCATCGAGAAACCTTCCAATGTACTAGCAAGGGCACAGACTTTTTCTCAATACAAACACGCATACACTATGAAATACCTAATCGTGATCACGCCCCAGGGTGTAATTTCCTTCATATCGAACGGGTGGGGTGGGCGCACAAGCGACAAGCATATAACCGAGCAAAGTGGTTTCCTGAACAAGCTGTTACCAGGTGACATTGTGCTGGCAGATAGAGGCTTTAATATAAGAGAACATGTGGGCATGATGTGTGCTGAAGTGAAAATACCTACATTCACCAGGGGTCGTGCTCAGCTTGAGGCGAAAGATGTGGAGGAGACTAGGGCCATAGCACATCTCAGAATTCACGTGGAGAGGGTGATCGGTGTTGTGCGCAACAAATTCAAATTCTTACACTCAACTGTACCTGTGCACATGCTTGTCAAATGTGAGGGTGAAAACCTAATGCCTTTGGATAAGATTGTCATTGTTTGCTGTGCCTTAACGAACATGTGCAAAAGTGTTGTTTGAGTACCTTATTCTTTACTGTATCTTTTATTTGTAAATAAATGCATGAAACAACTTGATATGGTTTACCAATATTTATTGAGAAATGAATATTTTTTTTGTTACAAACGTGTGCAGTCAAAGTACTGTTTCCAGCATGTAAACATGCCCAACATAGGTAAAAATGATAATAAGAGTCATACTTTTCTTAGTGCAAAGGGACACAAAACACTGCTAAACAACGTGTGCATTCAAAGTACTGTTTCCAGCATGTAAACATGCACAGCATAGGCAAAAATGATCATAAGAGTCATACTTTTCTTAGTGAAAAGGGACACAAAACACTGCAAAACAACGTGTGCATTCAAAGTACTGTTTCCAGCATGTAAACATGCACAGCATAGGCAAAAATGATCATAAGAGTCATACTTTTCTTAGTGCAAAGGGACACAAAACACTGCAAAACAACGTGTGCATTCAAAGTACTGTTTCCAGCATGTAAACATGCACAACATAATAAAATAAATTATAACATAAATAATAATAACAAATAAGACTGTTATTAGTGCAAATGTACAAAAAAACACTGCAAAGGCACACAGCAATAACAATAATACAATTTTAAGAAATAGGAAAAACCTATTCTGCACAACAAGGGCAAAACCATGGCGTGTCACCAGAGGGTTTATTAACAAGCCTTCTCCAAATACCTCTGTTTTGCGCTTGGTATGAGCTTGTTCCTGTACGGTCCCTTCTCTTTCGCCTTATCTCTAAGCATTGTTTTACTGTCTTCCTTTCCCTTGTTGTATCAGTAGATCCGTCTCTGTCTCGCCGAAAACGTAAATGCGTATAATTTAAAGTGCTCTGGAATATGAGGAGCGCGTGAAATTCTGGGGGCGTGCCCCCGTTGCGCAGCCAATATGTCCGACAGGCTCAGAGCCCCCCCCAAATCACCCCAACTCGGCACGTGACTCCTCATTCTCAATAGAAGCAGCGTGACTTGTAGTACACACAGTAGCAGCGAGAGAGAAGTCTCCGGAGAGAAGTTAGTGCGCGGACGTAGCGCTCCTCAGATTACTACGCCTCACAATATAGTACCCGTTTTATCCGCTGAGAAAATCGACAGTTACATTTCTGTGTTACTATACTTTGCAGTGTAACACGTCACGTAACTATATACATTTAATAGGGAACATATGTCAGTATGTAAAAACGGTGAACTATTCCTTTAAGGGATACCTTTCTTGTGTCTTTTTAAAACAAGATAATTTGCTTTGTCCCATTGGTCAATCTTGTTCCAAGGCTCAGTCAAAATGTACTCAAATTAAGACACAATTTGCCAAATTTGAGCAATTTTTACTTATTTTTCATCTATTTTTGAAGTGAAATGAGGGAAAGCTGATATGACATTCTGACTGAAAAACAAGACAGAGAGAGAGAGAGACAGAGAGTGACACAGACAGCGAGACCAGAGAGAGAGAAAAACAGAGAGACACACAAAAAGAGAGAGAGAGCGAGAGAGAGAGAAAGACCATAGAAGTGAAAGTGAGAGTAAATGTAAGTAAGTAAGTATGACACAGAGACAGAGACCAAAGAGAGAGACCAGGGAGAGAGTGACCGAAAGAGAGAGGGAGAGAGAGTTTGGACCTACCACTGATGACATAAATCTCAACATCCTTGATTATATAAGCGGGTTGTGTCGTGTGCTTTTCCCAGTCGTACAGTATACAGCTGTAGGACCCAGTGTCAGACTTTTGCATGTTTTGGATGAAAACCCGCAGTACATAGTGGGATGAAGCCCTCTCCTCCCACTCCAGCCGGTATCTGCCCTCGCTGGCCCAGTCTGAGGAGAAAGTTCCTATCAAATATTCGCCCGACGCCTCACAGTGATTTTTACAGAATATCCTTAAGAACGAGTCTTCCTGAAAGTAACAGTTGAATTGTAGATCTTGTCCTTCCTTGACTTGGATGACTTGTCCAGCTCTGGTGAATGGCCCTCCAATGGTGAGACCTGAAAAAAAAATCCCCAAAAGATATTCAATATGTTTTTGCATCGTTCTAAATTGCTACAGCGCCCCACCATGGAGAAATATCAGTACTGCATCAGCGGTTACAGAGCAGTGGGAATGAGGAGCACAGCATGAGATAGATGAATAATGATTTACGAAATACTCTAACTATACTAAATAAAATGAAAAAAGTCAATCAAATCAATAAAAATAAAAATCCTAAAAATATACAATAAAATGAATAAATAAAACAAAATCTCTAGCTTTAGCATAAAAAGAAGCAAGTATAAAATCTCTAACTTTAGCATAACAAAGAAGCTAGCATAAAATCTCTAGCTTTAGCATAATAAAGTAAGTAAGTAAGTAAGTAAGTTTGTATTTATATACCGCCTTTTCACTGCAGATCTGAGTCTCAAAGCGGTTTACAATTGTTAATTTTGGGCATTTGTCTCTCACTCCACACAGAGATGGGAGCGGGGTCGCCAGTACAGGAGGCGCATGCCAGAACTATTGGACATATTTTTAGTGGTAGGGGAAACCGGAGTACCCGGAGGAAACCTACGCAGACACGGGGAGAACATGCAAACTCCACTCAGAAAGGCCCTGGTCCGACCGGGATTCGAACCCAGGACCTTCTTGCTGAGAGGCGAGAGTGCTATCCGCTCAGCCACCGTGCCGCCCTAATAAAGAAGCCAATCTTATTATACTAAAGATACTATATATACTTTTACATATGTTCTTGTTAATGTTTTGTATTATTATATTAAACTTACAGATCAGCAGCAGCACTGAGCCGTGGGGTCTTGTCTCCATGGCGACGGTGAATCTAAAACTGCAGAGAGAGAGAGAGAGGGTCCAGTCTTAAATACTCATGGATCTATTATAATGACGTAAATACTTCATAACTTACTTCCTGTTTTAAAATACTTCTAATAATGTGTTAGTCAGAATGTTTGAGAAAAGGAACACACTCACCGTTACTGTCAGGCCGTCACTGGAGGTCAGTCATAAAATGGATTTCAGGGAAAAGACATTGAGTAAAGCAAAGTGGCAAGGCAAGGCAAGTTTATACATAGTTCCTACATGACGTCACTACATACGGGGATTTGCCGACCCGGCGCCATTTGTGTTGGCATTCTGTGGGCAAAACAATAGAAAAAGAAGCTGAAACGTGTTAATGTCGTGATAAAGTTGAAAATGGTCATCTCCTGCTGGGTCAATGGATGTTCAAATCGTGCCGGAGGTTCCGTTAAACTTGGATTTTACAGTATACCCATCATTAGACTTCATGAATGTGAGAAGACTAAGCTTTTGTCAGAACAACCACGGAGGTTATGGCTTGCGAAGATAAACAGGCAAGAAACTCCCTCAAAACACGCAAGAATATGCTCGGAGCACTTTGTGTCAGGTGCGTATCGTATCTTATAATGTGTTGACAGACGTAATTTACTCAGTACTAACTTGTGTATGCTGATATCTGGTAACTTGAGAGTTTCATTATTTAGATTACTTTATTATGAGGAGGATCGGTGTCGCGTCCGAGGCTCTCGAGGGCAACGTAAATGTATTAAATAGATAATAATAGTTCTATGGTGGGCTAAAACAATGTTCACAAACAGCATTGCTTCTGTAAAAAGATCTGTGTCATAAAATAAACTGCTCTTTACGCCTGGAAAAATCAGTTGCCCACCATTCACCAAAACATACGGTCAAAAACGCGGAAATAAACAATAACAGCAATCCAGAGTGTCCGTGTGACATTAGCATTAATTAAATTAATTGTTAATATAATTAAAATAATTAAATGGAGCTCCAACTGGTATTAAATCTAAAGTTTTGTTTGCATTGCTTGTTAATTTTTGCTGCATAATTTGATCAAATATGTAAAACATGTCCGTAGCACGTTAAACTGTGGTGCCATTGTATTAATATACAATTATTTGCTCAAAAGTTGCCCTTTTTTTTCCAATTTGCGTTTGAATATCTACATTTATTCTCATTCTTCTGTTTAATGAAATGCACAAACACAGCAGCGTGCCATCAAAGATGGCGTCTCCGAGGAGGTCATGTGACATTCATTGGTCTGTGGGAACTATGTATTTGTCTAGCACAATTCATACACAAGGCAACTCAAAGTGCTGAACAAAACAAAATGGCATTAAAATCATAAATAATCACAGAACATTAAAAAGAAAGATAAAAATATAAAATCCCTCAGTTGTATGCACAGCTAAACAGAACTGTCTTTAACCTGGTTTTAGAACTTTGTCAGCGAGGAGGCCTGTCTCACACTTTCAGGAAGAATGTTCCAGATTTTTGCAGCATGAATCTGAAAAGCCTCCCCATGTTTAGTTCTGACTCTGGGACTAGCAGGAGTCCAGTCCCTGTGCTCCTCAGAGTCCTCCTTGATTCTCATATGGTACTAACATGTCACAGATGTACTTTGGTGCGAGGCCATGGAGAGACTTGTACACAAGCAGAGCTGTTTTAAAGTCTATTCTCTGAGCCTCAGGAAGCCAGTGCAGAGACCTGAGAACTGGACTAATGTGATCATACTTCCTGGTTCTAGTCAGGACTCTGGCTGCCGTATAAAGTGCTAAGTAGAGACTTAGCGTGACGCTGCTCTCCTCCTATCACAGAACAAGGAGCGGCACTGTTACGAGCAGCCGGCGTCCCAAACTTTTGTACCATTTTATCAGTGATAGTTGTACAGTTTAAGTTGTGCTAATGCTAATGTTAGCATATGTATCAGATCGCAAATAAAACTAGATGGCTCCGTGGGATGAGAGCGTAGGGGAAATGAGAAGCCTCTGAGCGAGTTTGGGGCGGTGCTAAACATTAAAACCTTGCAGAATGTGCAATGCATCATGATAATGCATGACTTCATGCCTTGATGCCTTGTGTTGTTTACGGATGCTGACTTGGCAATTGATCTAATTGATCTATTTGATCTATGCTTTTAACATTATGGTAGTGAATTAATGTATTGTATTGAATAATGTACTGTATTAATTAATGTATTTATTTTTTGTATTTTAATTTTTGTTGTTGTTGTAATACACTCGTCTTAACTGGGACCCCAGGAAGATTAGCAACCACTTTGGTGGAAGCTAATGTAGATCCCCAATAAACAATAAACAATAAACTCTCGCTTCTTGGCAAGAAGGTCCCAGGTTCGAATCCCGGTCAGTACAGGTCTTGGTCTTGGTCACTAGAGCAGCGTGTTGAATATGCCTTTTGCGTGTGTTGTTTTAAGTTTTCTAACCAATCGAATCGTGAAACCTTTAATGGATACTTTTGGATTCCTCGTGAAGAGATTCATAAAGAGCCTCACACTAAAGACTTTACGAACAGACGCAGGAAAAGTGTCTCGCTAATATTTCACTAGCAAAGGATTATTTATTTACCCAGCTATGCAGTCACAATGCACAGTTATTACATCCCCATCTTTATTTAATCAATTGTCAGCACTGTAAAAACGAAAAAGTTAGTTCAACTCAAAATTTCAAGGTGACTGGCTGCTCACGACTTTTGAGTTGAAGGCATCAAATTAATTCTTTACGTTTTGAAGAGCTACAATCATTAAGTTGTGTCAGCTAAGTGTTTCTAGTTCTGCCAACTACGTTTTTGTAATTCAAGTTACTGAAACTTTCAAGTCTGTAAAAACTTGATTACAGTCCCCTACAATAACTTACTATTTTGAGTTTAAATTACCCCCCATATTAAATCACCCCATTTCATCCTCATGTTTATTTACATAGCGCTTTTACAGACCAAGGCCAAGACCAAGACCTGTACTGACCGGGATTCAAACCTGGGACCTTCTTGCCAAGAAGCGAGAGTTTATTGTTTATTGGGGATCTACATTAGCTTCCACCAAAGTGGTTGCTAATCTTCCTGGGGTCCCAGTTAAGACGAGTGTATTACAACAACAACAAAAATTAAAATACAAAAAAAAAATACATTAATTAATACAGTACATTATTCAATACAATACATTAATTCACTACCATAATGTTAAAAGCATAGATCAAATAGATCAATTAGATCAATTGCCAAGTCAGCATCCGTAAACAACACAAGGCATCAAGGCATGAAGCCATGCATTATAATGATGCATTACACATTTGATATTTGAGTTTTCTTTTAAAAATATATACAGAAGTTTGATCTCTCATCTCTCTAGGAAGCTCATTCCAAAGTTGTGTCGCTCGGAAAATAACAGTCTTTTTCAATTATTTTGTTCTGGGCCGATAGTCAGCATTTTCAGCCTGCCTAGTAGAATGGGAGTGAATCGGATGTACATATGTGATTTTTTCAAACATTGAAATTGGTTCACCAGTCAGTATTACTTTTTTCAGAAATATTAAAAGGCTATACTGTAGCTTATTGTGAACCAAAGGCCAGGATAAAATGTTATGCCGTCCATCCGTCCGTTTTCTTCCGCTTCATCCGTTGCCGGGTCGCGGGGGCAGCAGTCTAAGTCGAGACGCCCAGACTTCCCTATCCACACACACTTCCTCCAGCTCGTCCGGGGGGACCCCAAGGCGTTCTCAGGCCAGCTGAGAGACATAGTCCCTCCAGCGTGTCCTGGGTCTTCCCCGGGGCCTCCTCCCGGTGGGACGTGCCCGGAACACCTCCCCAGGGAGGCGTCCAGGAGGCATCCGGAACAGATGCCCGAGCCACCTCAACTGGTTCCTCTCAACGTGGAGTAGCAGCGGCTCTACTGCGAGCTCCTCCCGTGTGACTGAGCTCCTCACCCTATCTCTAAGGGAGCGCCCAGCCACTCTGCGGAGGAAGCTCATTTCGACCGCTTGTATCCGCGATCTCGTTCTTTCGGTCATTACCCAAAGCTCATGACCATAGGTGAGGGAGGGAACAAAGATTGACCGGTAAATCGAGAGCTTTGCCTTTCGGCTCAGCTCCCTCTTTACCACAACGTTCCGATACAGAGACCGCATCACTGCACACGCTGCACTGATCCGCCTGTCAATCTCATGCTCCATCCTTCCCTCACTCGTGAACAAGACCCCGAGATACTTGAACTCCTCCACTTGAGGAAGGACCTCTTCGCCCACCTGCAGAGGGCAAGGCACCTTTTTCCGGTCGAGCACCATGGCCTCAGATTTGGAGGTGCTGATTCTCATCCCAGCCGCTTCACACTCGGCTGCAAACCGTCCCAGTGCATGCTGCAGGTCCTGGTTCGTTGGAGCCAACAGGACAACATCGACCGCAAACAGCAGAGATGAAATCCTGTGGTCCCCGAACCGGACCCCCTCCGGCCCCTGGCTGCGCCTAGAAATTCTGTCCATGAATAGAGTGAACAGAACCGGTGACAAAGGGCAGCCCTGGCGGAGGCCAACATGCCCCGGGAACAGGTCTGACTTACTGCCGGCAATGCGAACACAGCTCTGACTCCGGTCATACAGGGACCGGATGGCCCTCAGCAGAGGACCCTGGACCCCGTACTCCCGGAGAACCCCCCAAAGAACACCCCGGGGAACACGGTCGAACGCCTTCTCCAAATCCACAAAGCACATGTGGACAGGTTGGGCGAACTCCCAAGAAACCTCGAGTATCCGATGGAGAGTATAGAGCTGGTCCAGTGTTCCGCGGCCGGGACGAAAACCACACTGCTCCTCCTGAATCCAAGATTCGACCATCGGCCGTAGCCTCCTCTCCAGCCTCCTCTCCAAAATGCATAAAATGTTATGCATTTTGTTTATACTGGTAAAATAAGAACAATTTAAAACCAGTCTTGCAGCCTTGTTCTGTACAACTTGCAATCTAGATATATCTGTGTTGTATGCAGCAGACGATATAATGGAGCAGTATTCAAGATTAGATAAAACGAGGGATTGGACCACCTGCTTCAAAATTGTTGTAGGTACAAAATAAGAACACCTTCTCACCACACCAATAGTGCTACCCATCTTACTAATCACATGGTCAATGTGCGGTGACTATGAGAGATGGTGATCCACTATAACACCTAAAAGTTTAATTTGCTCAACCTGTTCTAATTCTCCTCCCTCCATAGTCAACTTTAATTGACACTTTTCATGTAGACGTTGTTTACTTCCAACAAGCATAGATCTTGTTTTAGAAATATTTAAAATCATGTTGTTGCTTTTAACCCACTTGAGGACCTCGGCCAAATAATCTTTTAATACATTTGATATTTCATTCACATTTGAATTGGAATAATACATGGTCGAGGAGGAAAATTAGTCCAGACAATATTGCAAGTTCAGTTGATTTGTCCTTTCTAAATCCTATTGATTGTTAGGATGTTGTGTTTTTCATAAATGACCCATTTATTTACAAGAGGTTTCCAGTATTTTGGAACATAGAGATAAGATAGAGTTGGGATCTAGTTAGAGCAGTTTGTCTCTGGTTTGTGAATGCAGTATGACTTCGGCAGTTGTCATTAGACCCCCAGAACACACCTCCCCCAAAGGGGAATGATCCAGTAGGAACGTTAGCTTAAAATATTTGAGTTAAGGGCCGGGAAATGTCACTGATGACTTCTTTGTCGGCAGACGGTCAACTCATCGTATCGATTTGTGTACCTTTTGTTTTAACATGCTTTGAACAATTGTCTAGGACTTCTTTTTCAGTGTTGGACTCAGAACCTGTGAGAGTTGTTGTTGTTTAGATGGTTGATGCAGCTTGGCCCCACATGGATAAAGCAGTAGTTTAGTTATTTCATGTGTGTTATTTCTGCTCCATGACTTTCCACAGTATTGAGGCAGGTCTGCTCTTTCTGATGCTTTTTTGTGGACAGTGTTCACTTCTTCCACGGCCTTTCCTCTACTTTGTTTTTCCAAGAGCCAACATTCGATGTTGTTATGTCACGTCCCAATAATGTTGTTCATGTATGTTTATATTAGTGTTTGCAGTTTCAGATTCTCACTTCTTCTTTTCTTTTTTTGAATGTGGGAGCTAATGTGTGTTTTCTTCTTGCAGCTTGTCTTAGGTCCTTTTGTCGTTGGGCTGGATTTTCCTCTGTGTTTGTGAATTAAACACGTTCAGGGAAGAAGGGCGGCGAGGGTGAGCATGTAAGCACTATCCCCAACTCTTTTCCAGCAGGGAATCCCACTGAAGCAGAGGAAGCAGCTGTTAAGTGCAGAATCAGGAATCTGTATGCCTCATGTTGATAACAGAAAAGAAGTCACAATTCTATAGAAAACTAATTTCAACTTTTAGTACAGGACTCTCGGATAAGACTGGAACCCAAGAACATCACTTTTAATTCACAAAATACATAACTGTGGAGTCAAATCTGTCTAAATCTGTCTACCTAGTTCCTTACTCTCAAACGATATCACTATTTTTCACCGTAGACTAAATGGTGTTGACGTCACCAGAGCGTTAACCTTCCTGCAGAAGAAGCCAGTTTGAACGTAAGCTAGCTGGGGCCAATTATCTCATGTGGACGTGTTACCAAGACAAGCTAGAGATGCCCCGCGAATAAAGGCATCTGATTGGTCAATCCTAATATAGGGTTATATCTGTATTTACAAAGATTTGGCTTTTTGGCCTCTGTCCTCTGTCTTGGACCTACAGTACAGACCAAAAGTTTGGACAAACTTTTTCATTCAATGAGTGTCTTTTCATGACTATTGCCTGTAGATCCACACCAGGCTGTGTAAGGGCTGTTTGACCGATAAGGAGAGTGATGGTGCTGGGCCAGTTGACCTCCACAGTCACCGGACCTGAACCCAATCCAGATGGTTTTGGGGCTAGACCACAGAGTGAAGGGGCCAACAAGTGCTAAGCATCATGGGAACTCCTTCAAGACTGTGGAAGACCATTTCAGGTCCTCTTGAAGCTCATCAAGAGAATGCGAAGAGTGAAGCATTATCAGAGCAAAAGGTGCTGCTTTGAAAAACCAGAATATAACACATATTTCCACTTGTTTCATACTTTTTTTTGTGCGTACAAAATTCCACATGAGTTCATTTATAGGTTTGATGCCTTCAGTGTCAATCTACAATTTTCATAATCATGAAAAAAACTTTGAATGAGAAGGTGTGTCCAAACTTTTGGTCTGTACTGTACATGCACAGACACAGTTACATATTTACAGTTACATAGGGACTAACCCCCAGTGATGACAGGCTGGTCCTCAGAGTGCCCTCCACCCGCAGAGGGATGTTCTCCTCCGTCTACAACATAAAACACAGAACATCGTTAGCGACACGGAAAGGACTCACCAGCAAAATGTGATCACACTGGACAGGAACATTCATACAATTTAACATTCCTAAGAAAAGAGCAGCCAGATGCCACAGTATTAGGCTTGAATAATTATCGGCCCATCACCAATTCTGCCATACCGGGATCAAGAGTTCCGAGCTTCCGGCTCGACCGCACGGCATTGTGGGTAGTCTTCTCAAAAAAGTGGGCATGAAATCACACTCTCCTATTACATGTAGATGACCTGTTACGAGCGTGATCTGTCCCTCTTTTTTCCAGCCCATCGATTGTTTTAATCGCTACAAAAATCACCAATTTCAGACATTTAGAAGGTAAGGTAAAGATTTTTTCATGTAACAAAACAGCAATGCATTTTTTTTCTTGTGGTTTTAGATGTAAACACAACCGACTGACTATAGAGCTACTTACGAGGATCGAATGCTTACACGCAAACTTTATAAACTTGCCCAAAGCTGTACTTTGGACATATTTGTCTGGTGTGGAGCTTCTGAATGTAGAGAAGACCAAATACCTGGGGCACGTAATCAGGAGTGACCTCAGTGATGACTATGACATTCAGAGGCAGCACTGTGAGCTGTATGGACAGGCTAACCCTTAAAGAGCGACTAAACACCAAATCAACTTTTTTTAACTCATAAACTGCATAAGTATGTTTATTGTAGTGCTGTCTACATATCCTGGTCATTTTTTTGACATTTTAGTTCAAATTGGATAAAATATCACTTTTGAGCCAAAAAAACGCTGTGTGGTGCCCTCTCTACCTTTTTGGTGGTACTACATTTGAATTTGGTTCTGGCCTCTCCATTGACTCTGAAGTTCTCTATGACATCAGTTGTTTTGTGTGACGTCAGTCTGTCAGAGCCAGTGATATAAACCCATCCAACTCTCACACACGCCCCAGCTGCAGTTTGGAGTATTCTGGCGCCATCTAGTGGATTAAAATTAAGTTACATGAGTCATTCTGAGATTATTGAATGTGATTAGGTTCAGGTGTGTAGCTTTACAATTATCTTAGTGTGTAAACAAGGGTGGAATGAGACTTTCTGGTCTGTAAACTATTGCTTTAAGCAGCAATGACAACTGTCTGCTTTTTTTTTGTGTGACAAGTGAGCTGTCAATCACAGCCCAGACCACGCCCAACTCTAAGCCCCCCTTCTTGTCCCTTGGTCCTTGTTATGGCAAGCTGCTTAGCCTCAAGGACGCCAACTCACCCCCCCCGCTCCTCTATTCAATTAACCTGCAGGAAGGAGCCGGGCTTCCCCCCCGCACCGACAGACAATGACGCAAATTACTATCTCACCCTTGCCCCTTTTGCATCTTGCATCTGTATCGGTCCGTATGTCTGCATCTCTATCGACCTTTTACATCCTGCATGTCTATTGTCCCTCTGTTTGCATCCCCATGGCACAACCTGAGTGTCTCTCCCCAGGCATGGCGCCTCGCCTCCGGATGCCCGTCTCAAACTGTGACCCCCTCCCATCTTTTGTGGGCGTGACTGTCTTTCATGTGTTGTCTATGTAAACAGGAACCTGTGTCTGGCCGCGCCAGAGCTGATGTACGCTGCTTTTGTGTATGTGAGCTCTCCGCACGTGTGTTACAATAAACTTACGCTCCTGATTAAGACAAATACCTTTTGAGCTTCTTCCTTACTTTGGATAGAAACTCCCATAACAATTTGGCGTTGCTGGCACGTTCTATGTCGGATTTTTTTTCGGCGTGGAGACGATCGTGTGTTGTTTGGCCGACCTGGGACAAAAACCAGCCTCCCTACCTCACTTAGCGTTTGACGAGAAGCAGGAGGGACACCGCTCGCCTCGCGCAGGAAAAACTATTCGACTACAGGACCATAAAAGAACCTGATTTGGTGAGTTTTGTCTTTTCATTTGCGTAACAAGCCCAGGGCAGCACTTAAGTGTACACGGGGATTTGATTTATTTACGTATTTTTGGGGTATTTCACGTAAGTTTGAACAAGAACAAATTGCAATTGGCACTTTTTAGAGATAATTCATGCTGAATTCCCGTAATATACGCTAACAATCTGTGGTGTAAAAGTTAAAATTCTGGATGATTCAGGGACAACAAATCCTGTGTTAAAAACAAAACATAAGGTGACAGATTTTGGTCCTTTCTCAAATGAGTGGTCGCTTCACAAAACTCATGGCTTCAGTGTAGTGAAGATACAAACGGAGTATGTTTATTGGGATAGGCACTACTCTATGGTATCTGTGTTACTTAATGAGCAACAAGAACATTTTATCGACCCACTATGCCCCGCTTTGCACATAGCTTTGTCGAAACCCACGACTGCAGCGTGGAGTGAGGCCTCTGTATAAGTGTAGCAATGCTGGGGACTGGACACAGGTCCAAGATGAGGACACGTGGTTCTTTGAAAATGCTAAATTAGAAACAAATAGGACAGTTATGTCTTTAATAAACAAAGGTGAAGTATTAAAGTTTGAGACTAATTTACATTTTTAATGAATCCGACCTGGCTTTAACAAGAGCTCATTAAAGATATAGGGGACACAATCTGTGATAAGCCCGAGTACAGACCACGTGGTAAACACTAAAGTTGGAAATGGATCCTTTTAGGAAAAATCTCTTAAAGCTCTGCATGTTCTGCAGGCTCTGAAAGTTGCAACAATAGAAATAGCTCATGAGACAATTGTAATTGGACATGGAAAAATATAACAAAGTTAAAATTACAGGCCTCCTGTGTTGTCTATATGTTTGTGTGTGTTATATGTTTGTGTATGTTATATGTTTGTGTATGTTATATGTTTGTGCGTCATGTCAAGTACACTACGTTGACCTTAACAAACTGGACCAATATACTAACGTGGGGTGTTGTGAGTGTGTTGTGGAGTGAACGAGGAGTGCTGAACGGAATCATGGAATAACAAAAGTTTTCTGTAATGTTTTAATGTGATCATGGAATAATTATTTTTTTGTCAACAGCATACGGTGTAAGTACTAGAGATTCAAAGATAACAAGCTTTATTGAACAGGTGTAAAAGTGAGAGTACTCTGGGATGAGTACTCTGAGAAAAGTACTCTGCGGAAAGTACTCTGAGATGAAATACCTTGCTGAAGGTACTGGGAGTCCCTCCCTCTGCTGTTTGTCCTGACAGTGATTCGGTCCAACCGCAGTGAGCTGTCGTTGGTTGAAGGACAACTTTGGTTTGTAACTCACATTTAGGGGAGTATAAAATTAGAAACATACATTTTGTTAAGTCTGTATTTGGCTACAGCCTCTGCCCTGATGTCACACACCGTCTGTCAATGCAGTTATGTTTTGCCCAATTGGAAAAAAGATTGACAGGCTGCACAATGCCAGGGAAAGTGGGCATTTTTTTTGTGTTCTAATATTTCTTTTTCAGATGAGAGATAAACTACCCCTGCTTCAGGGATGACAGTAGTATGGATCACGAGGAAATGAGCCTCTACTTTGGCACCAAAGCCCACAATATGAATTGAGGACGATCCGGGAGAAAGCAACTGGAGATGAACGGAACAGTAAATCTACACACACACACTAGGTCTCCCTGACCCCACCCGGCCATTCACTCAGACTGTGGATGTGCGGTGTGGGTGCATGGTGTCGGTACTTTTGCAGCCTCACGGAGGGCCACTGAGACCCACTGCTTACTTCTCAGCAAAACTCGATCCCGTGGCAGCAGGGTTGCCTCGCTGCCTGCGGGCTGTGGCTGCCGCTGAGAAGGCGGCCCTAGCATCACGTGACCTTGTGGGATACACTGAACTAACTTTGCTTGTGCCCCATGCTGTTTCCCTGATCCTGCTAGAGCAGAAAACCTCTCACCTTTCTGCGGCTCGTTGGCTGAAATACAACACGGTGCTCCTTGAACTCCCCAATGTCACGGTGAAAAGATGCACACAGCTGAACCCCTCTTCACTGCTGCCCACGCCAGAGGAAGGGGAGGCACACTGCTGTATCGCCACAATAGAACAGATATGCACTCCCAGGCCAGACCTGAAAGAGGTGCCTCTGACTAATCCTGACTTGATTTTTTATACAGATGGATCCGCGTCACGTGACAACACTGGGAAGAACCGAGTCGGCTATGCTGTGTGCTCTGATTTTGATACTATAGACTCTGGTAGTTTGCCCCACCACCATTCAGCACAAACCGCTGAACTGGTCGCGCTCACCAGGGCTTGTGAGCTGGCAGCGGGCAAAACTGTTAACATATTCTGTGATACGCGTTATGGTTTCTCTACGGTGCACGACTGGGGGGCACTGTGGAAACACCGCAATTTCATGAAATCTGATGGTAAACCAATTCTTAATTCCACACAGGTTGAACATCTGCTGAAAGCTGTAATGTTGCCCTTAGAGATCGCTGTATGCAAATGCCAGGCCCACACTAATGCCACTGACCCCATCTCTGCAGGGAATCGGCGCGCGGACAAGGCAGCGAAGGCAGCGGCATACTCACCTCTACCCACACACACACACTACCTCACTCAAGACGTTGATATTTTCTCCTCTCTGTCAGCAATGCAGGCACTGGCTACTCCAGCAGAGACGGTGCTGTGGGAGGGAAATGGGGCTCAACGACGGCATGGTGTGTGGCTGGGACCAGACAGCAAACCGTGCCTACCACGGCATTTCTTCAGACATTTTGCGATTTTAGCACATGGTCGAGACCATGCCTCAAAAGGAGGGATGTGTAATTTAATTACACAAAATTGGTATACGAAGGGGTTTACGGCATTTGCACAGAGATTCTGCCAAACATGCGCTATCTGCCTCGCGCACAACCCAGGTAAGTCCCAAATTATCCAACAGGCTGCCCATCCTCCGCCCCTGCGCCCATTTCAACATGTCCAAATGGACTTTGTTGAACTCACACCATGCCAAGGTAAGAAATACTGTCTGGTTCTGGTGGATCTCTGGTCCAAATGGACTGAAGTATTTGCATGCAAACACGCCACGAGCAACGCGGTGGTGAAAGCTCTGCTCACAGAAATTGTGCCACGATGGGGTGTCCCGGAAAAAATCTCTAGTGACAATGGCAGTCACTTTGTAGCAAAAGTCATTGAGGAAGTAGGTGAATTTCTGGGCATTGATATACGTAAACACTGCAGTTACGCCCCCTGGAGCGGAGGCGCGTGCGAGCGAGAGAATGGCACTCTGAAAAACAAACTTGTTAAAATCTGCGAACAGACAGACCTGTCTTGGATCAAAGCTCTGCCGCTAGCCCTCATGTACATGCGCATGAGAGTCAGGTCAAGGTCAAACCTAAGCCCATTCGAAATCCTCTTTGCCAGACCACCCAACTTGGGCGCGGGACCCCCGACCAGAGATTTGCCAAGCACCTCTTTGTGTGATGACGACATGCTGTCCTATTGTAAGGAAATTAATGCACTTTTGTCCTCTATTTCTGCCCAGGTCAGGAGCGCCCTGCCACAGGCTGCGCAGGCACCTCTGCACAAGATCAAGCCAGGCGACTGGGTCCTGGTGAAGGAAACGAGACGAAAGCATTGGCGGTCCAAGCGCTGGCTGGGCCCATTCCTCGTCCTCCTGGTGACGGACACTGCCGTTAAGATCGCGGAGAGGACAACTTGGATCCACGCCAACCACTGTCGTGCGGTGCTGCCACTGAGGGCCATAGACGAGGACACCGAGGGTGCGGACGGACCAGGCCCATCCGCGGCTCCCTACGCTGAAGAGGTCGGCCGGCGTGCGACCACCGTCGGTGAAGCAGGCCAACAACAACACCCAGAGAATCCCAGCGTTCCCGAGGCGACCCCCCTTTGCCCAACTCCCCTGCCTCCGAATCCCGAGGCGACCCCCCTTTGCCCAACTCCCCAGCCCCCGGACCCCAAGGCCACACCCCAAACCCCGAGCACTCTGCCCAACCGAGTGCTGAGGCCAAGGCTTCAACGCGATTAGAGCCTTGCCGCTCCAAGACCAAACATCGCCATGACCACTAACGCTCCACTCACGCTCATAGGGAGCGGTGCCACTGACTGCAAGACGGCACTGTTCGTGAGTATTCCCGCGGAAAAGACTACCGAATGTAGTCCGGCTAAGACCGGCATGGGCCCTTGGACTGTTATGCTGGCCACGCTGACAGTACTTTCCGTGCTGACCGTGTTTTTTATGTTAGTATTGTCTTCTTCTGAAACTCAAAACCCTGTGATTCACGCCATGACACGCATTAGACGCAGCCTTGCTTCCGACGACACTGCTTGGTTGGAGGCCTTGAGTAAATCCTACAAACACTCTACAGTTTATTCACTCAACCTTTGGTATCAGTATGCAAAATACGTCGCAGATAGCCACAATAGATCCAATTGCTACGTATGCACCCACCTTCCTATAGCCGCCGCTAACCCCCACATAATCCCCTTACCGGTGCCAAATATTTCCAAAATCATCCCTCACACCCTGGTTTCAATGTCCGATCCCAGGGCTCCAGCAATGTTTTTTGCGGTGCCCCCAAAACTCAAGCCCCTTGCCCAGGGAGAGCTGCGTCTCAAATCCGGCAGCCACCCGGGGGAAGAGCCAATCTTCGGCCCAGTGCACATCAAACCTGGCTCCAAATTTATATGCTACACCCACTCCTGGTCTCGGGCCAACACCAGTCTTACTCTCCCGAAAGAGCCCATTCATGTGGGAAATATCCCACTTGAGTTCTGCTCTATTGTATATAGCCCCTGCACATACATGGCCAACAGCAGCAAACTTAACGATTCCCAGGCAGCCCCGGGAAGCGTGTGTGTCCCGTACTATACGGTACCAGACATTTTAGGAACGCGGCCCGTAGAGTCTCACATGTATCTGTGCGGATATCGCATGTATGACTGTCTGCCCGCAAAATGGGAGGGACGCTGTGCGGCCGCCCTTCCTGCCGACCATTCATACATCATCTCCACACTCCCTAAGGCCCAACACCGAGACAAGAGGGAACTCTACACACCACACGACCCCCTGTGGGGCACTAATGTACCCGATGACCACAAATTATGGACCACAGGCCAGAAAATAATGTTAGCATTATTCCCCAGCCTGGGTGTAGGTAAACTAATGCTAAGGACGGAGACCCTGAGCTATAGGTTCTCAGGTTTTGTCAATACCACAGTGGCCATACTTGAATCACAGAGAGTTGAACTTCACGACCTACGTGCCGTTGTTCTTCAGGACCGGTTGGTCCTGGACCACCTGACCGCGTCTGTGGGAGGCGTATGCACGATCATTGGGTCGTCCTGCTGTACATATATTCCGGCTAATGATGAGGACGGAGGTCTTATCCAACAGGGCATAGCCAATCTGACTAGACTCCGGGACGCCATGCAAGCGGACAATGTCACGGACACTCCTCACGGTCTGGACTGGCTCCTGTCCTCCTGGCGGAGTGTGCTCATTAATCTTGGTTTAGCCCTATTGACTGTTATGATTTTATTTTCATGTGTATTACCTATGGTGTTTCGGGCCGTTGGTAAAATGATATCCACTCACTTTGTGTCCATTCAATACAAAGACCCTGAGGCGGACCTGGCCGCTGTCCCACTGAACTCCGATCCTGATTATATCAGCGATTCGGACGACGACTTTGTCTAACGTTTTCTTTCTTGTTTACCTTGTTTTTATTTTTCCACTTGTTCCGCCTACAATTTAGGGGGAGGGTATCACAGTGAAGAGCTTTGACCACACCCCCGTAATACAAGAGGCTTGGGTGACGGCAGCGTAGCCTGTCCATCAACAACTCTTGTTTTGCTCAGGGACCAAGGTCAATACTCACCCACCTGAATGTGATCTCTGTAAAACTGGGGTTTCTACATTATCACGGGAGAGGAGTGTTATGGCAAGCTGCTTAGCCTCAAGGACGCCAACTCACCCCCCCGCTCCTCTATTCAATTAACCTGCAGGAAGGAGCCGGGCTCCCCCCCGCACCGACAGACAATGACGCAAATTACTATCTCACCCTTGCCCCTTTTGCATCTTGCATCTGTATCGGTCCGTATGTCTGCATCTCTATCGACCTTTTACATCCTGCATGTCTATTGTCCCTCTGTTTGCATCCCCATGGCACAACCTGAGTGTCTCTCCCCAGGCATGGCGCCTCGCCTCCGGATGCCCGTCTCAAACTGTGACCCCCTCCCATCTTTTGTGGGCGTGACTGTCTTTCATGTGTTGTCTATGTAAACAGGAACCTGTGTCTGGCCGCGCCAGAGCTGATGTACGCTGCTTTTGTGTATGTGAGCTCTCCGCACGTGTGTTACAATAAACTTACGCTCCTGATTAAGACAAATACCTTTTGAGCTTCTTCCTTACTTTGGATAGAAACTCCCATAACATCCTCCAGGCAACGCCCTTTTTAGAGAAAATTTTCAAATCTTCATGTGGGCGGAGTAAGGCTGGGCACAGGTGTTTAGTCGCTCTTTAAGCACGGAGATTTCACATGTGTACAGAGAAAGTGAAAATAACGTTTTTTAAAGCCTACTGCGCACCTCTCTATACTGCGCACCTCTCTATACTGCGCACCTCTCTATACTGCACACCTCTCTATACTGCACACCTCTCTATACTGCACACCTCTCTATACTGCCAGCTCACTGTTTGTTCTTAATAAATGTCCCCACTCTGAATGCTCTGATCAGAAATGTTATTTATAAGTTCATGAAATGCGCTGAGGGCTCTATGTCCAAAGTACAGCTCTGGGTAAGTTTATAAAGCTCACGTGTAAGCTTTCCATCCTCGTAGCATAAGCTGAGTGTAGCTCTATCATCAGTTGGTTGTGTTTACATCTAAAACCACAAGGAAAAAAAAATGCATTGCTGTTTTGTTACATGAAAAAATCTTTACCTTACCTTCTAAATGTCTGAAATTGGTGATTTTTGTAGCAATTAAAACAATCGATGGGCTGGAAAAAAGAGAGACAGATCACGCTCGCAACAGGTAATCTAATATGAGAGCGTGATTTCATGCCCACTTTTTTGAGAAGACTACCCACAATGCTGTGCGGTCGAGCCGGAAGCTCGGAACTCTTGATCCCTGTATTTATAGGAAAAATCGCTCACAGGAGTTGCTCGCTGCTCCTCCTCTTCACACAGAGTCCATAGCTCCACACACAGCGCTCTTTCCTGTCTCTGACTCACTCGTATTTAGACACCGCTAAAGTTGGTCTATGCTTGTAATACTTTTGAAAAAAAAAAGTCACAGAGCTCGAGTTGGTGCTCCAGTATCCAGTGAGGAACGTTCCGCGGTGCAAAAACACATACGATTAAAATGCAAAAAATAATTTAAGGCGCTAATTTTTGTGGCGTTAATTAATCTTAATTAACGCGTTAAAGTCCCGGCCCTAATTAAAACACATTCTAACCAATGAAAGTAAAGTTAATAGTCACAATATAACGTTGAACAGACACAATTAAATCAGGATATTTCTTGTTGATCAAACCTTCAGCGATGACATTATTCCACACTGATAATTATACAAAGTTAAAATGTTGAGGCGTACCGCTCCTCTGGCGTCCGTGCTGACCGAGTTCATCCTCCGGATCGAGGCCTGACGAGAGAGTGTGGTGATCTCCTGTCTGTAACAACACACACACCAGATCAAAACATTACCCCACACTACTGCAGATACATGAGCATCCACCACACAGTAAGAGAAACCAACACTGCAAAAAATGAGAAAATATGAAACAAAAATTGACAGATTTGCCAATGGTACATAGCAATTTAGTTTTATTTCAAGAACTGTTACTTTGTTTTCTCATTCCAAAAGAGACATTTCTTGTATCGTTTTAAAACAATATCATTTTGCATAACATAAAGAAATGTTTATTTTTATAGCGCCTTTCACAGAAAAGAGTCACAAAGCGGTTTACAATTGTGGGCATTTGTCTCTCACTCCACACAGAGATGGGAGCGGGGCCAGTACAGGAGGCACAGACCTATTGTACATGTTTTTAGTGGTAGGGGAAACCGGAGTACCCGGAGGAAACCTACGCAGACACAGGGAGAACATGCAAACTCCACTCAGAAAGGCCCTATTCCGACCAGGATTCGAACCCAGGACCTTCTTGCTGAGAAGCGGGAATGCTAATCGGTGGCTGAGTGTGAACCAGTTTTGGCTGAGCAAGATTATATTTAATTCATTTTAGTATTGAGTTTGTTCACTTGATGCAACACTGACATTTCCCCAGAGTGGGACGTATCCAGGATCTTAAATCTTAACCAGTTTTTATTGTATGTTACTGTACTAAGTTGAGTTTGAGACCCAGCGCTCCAGACTTCCAAAATAGTCTAGTAAATATAAATTGAATTGTAAAGTATTTGCCATCAGACAAAAGAGTTATAGACGTCTGGGTCGTACTTTTTCTCGGTGAGCTCCCTCTTGAGTTTCTTGTTCCTGTTTTTGTGGTGACAGGTGACGCTGACAATGACAATGAGCATGAGCAGCAGCAGACCCCCCGCTGCGGCCCCCACCACCACCATCAGCATGCTCTCCATGGGCCAGACCTGCTTCTCTGTAACACACGCCGTACATACACAATCAGAATATACATACTGTACATGGGTAGATACCAGAGAGAGACAAGAGAGACACCAGAGAGAGACCAGAGAGAGACCAGAGAGGAGACCAGAGAGACCAGAGAGAGAGACCAGAGAGAGAGACCAGAGAGAGACCAGAGAGAGACCAGAGAAAGAGTTCAGAGAGAACAGAGATCAGAGAGAGACCAGAGAGAGTTCAGAGAGAGACCAGAGAGAGACCAGAGAGAGACCAGAGAGAAACCAGAGAAAGAGTTCAGAGAGAACAGAGAGATCAGAGAGAGACCAGAGAGAGTTCAGAGAGAGACCAGAGACAGACCAGAAATTTTAGATGGATACTAATGGCAACAACAGTACTGATAATATATACATAAATAAATACATTTATGAACATCCCGCTCCCGATGAATCAAAGTCTGTGTCTTTGCTATTTTTGCATTTCCTGTGTTGTAACGGTTTTGCTGATTCTCCAAGGCGACTGCTGCTGTGATTTAGGGCTACTCAAAAATACAAGTAATAGAATTGAGTATAAACCATAGGAGCTCGCTGGTACCTTCTATGGTGACGTTGACCTCGGCCTTCCCCACGTCGATCAGGTTCTGCGCCACACACTGGTACATCCCGGAGTCAGACACCATCAGAGGACGCTCAAACAGCAGTGTACCATCAAGCTGTGGTACTGCGCCATCCGGGACTGCTTTACCATCTCTGCAACACACAAGGAGCTGTGAGAGAGACACCAGAGAGAGGCCAGAGAGAGGCCAGAGAGAGGCCAGAGAGAGGCCAGAGAGAGACCAGAGAGAGGCCAGAGAGAGGCCAGAGAGAGGCCAGAGAGAGACCAGAGAGAGGCCAGAGAGAGGCCAGAGAGAGGCCAGAGAGAGACCAGAGAGAGGCCAGAGAGAAGCCAGAGAGAGGCCAGAGAGAGGCCAGAGAGACACCAGAGAGAGGCCAGAGAGAGACCAGAGAGAGGCCAGAGAGAGGCCAGAGAGAGACCAGAGAGAGGCCAGAGAGAGGCCAGAGAGAGGCCAGAGAGAGGCCAGAGAGAGGCCAGAGAGAGGCCAGAGAGAGGCCAGAGAGAGGCCAGAGAGAGGCCAGAGAGAGACCAGAGAGAGACCAGAGAGAGACGAGGGAGAGACCAGAGAGAGACGAGGGAGAGACCAGAGAGACACCAGAGAGACACCAGAGAGAAACCAGAGAGACCAGAAAGAGACCAGAGAGAGACCAGAGAGAGAGACCAGAGAGAGAGACCAGAGAGTGAGACCAGAGAGTGAGACCAGAGAGAGTCCAGAGAGAGTCCAGAGAGAGGCCAGAGAGGGGCCAGAGAGATACCAGAGAGAGACGAGGGAGAGACCAGAGAGACACCAGAGAGAGACCAGAGAGAGAGACCAGAGAGAGAGACCAGAGAGAGAGACCAGAGAGAGAGACCAGAGAGAGACCAGAGAGAGACCAGATAGAGACCAGAGAACTACCAGAGAGAGACCAGAGAGAGAATCGATTCGAGCAATAATGACTTCATATTTTATCATTTTTTGCATTGTAGAAAAACATTTGTTGAATCACAGAAGTAAATGGACAGAACGATAATCTAATTCTAATCCCTGTGTGTAGAAAATCATCCAGCCCTAATTTGGACCCAGAGGCAAAACTCCCCGTGACACACACCACGTATTGAGAAACACAGACGTAAAACAATAAAAGCCTCTGAATGACTGTTATCTGAATAATATTCCAGCTTATTCTTCCTGGCAGCGTGACTCATGACTAGTATTTACCAAAACACACTGACTGAAGTCCAACCTAGTCTGTTCCACATGATGCAGAAAGGAGAGAGGAGAGAGAGGAGAGAGGAGAAAGAGAGGAGAGAGAGAGGAAAGAGGAGAGGAGCGTGGATAGAGGAGAGAGAGGAGGGAGGGGAGAGGAAAACACCCATTACAAAAAGAACAGAAATGCACACACAGACATTGCCAAATAACGGGAAAATAAGAGAATATTCAGTGAAACAAGGATAACGTGTAAACAAACACTTCCCTCACCCACCACCAGGGGGAGGAGTTTAAACAGGAAATGATACATGCTTCTCTATGGAGATTTTACACTTTCTTCTTTGTTATGCTAAAGTTAATGTTATACTTGCTTCTATAGTGTAAGAAACATAGTTGTATATATAGTGTATACAATATAAGTGTATATAAAATATATATACAATTACAATTATTATTACAGATATTATCACTAATTTGGCTTTTCAGAGAGAGAGAGAGAGAGAGAGAGAGAGACAAAGAGAGGAGAGACAGAGAGAGAGACAGAGAGAGAGAGAGACAGAGACAGAAACAGTGAGAGTTTATGCAAAGGTTAGAGAGAGAAGGAGTGGAACAAGTTAATCCAGTTTCCAGCTGAACACAGTAGAAAACACTAAAGTCTGTGGTAACGTGAGATTCGAAGTGTTTTTTCGAAGTGTTTGTGTCCTTTGTGAGCGGAGTGCGGCGTGTGGCGTGTAGTGTGTTACGGAGTGCGGCGTGTGGCGAACAGACGGCGAGTGGGACCAGGTCTGATACAGTATGACATGTTATTTATATAGCGTCGTTATGGACACTCAAAGACAGTGGGGATGACACTCAACACTCAACTTATGGATATGTATTGACACTTATGGCCATTGGTCTCAGCCTCTTATGGACCAATACCAAGCCCCGGTGATCCAAGATGGCGCCCTTTTCAAATGATTGGCTTGGGCTCAGCAGCGCATGAGACTTCACGGAGACCGGGAGATTAGCAGAACTTGCCTATATTTGGGCATCGTCTGGTCCTCCCGGTTCTACGCAGCGGACGAGCTCCCATGATGCTTTGAGCCAAATACACGTATGTGGCTCTCGTGCATGTGCACAGAGGGGCTCGGCTGCACTTTGACCAATCAGAGCTGCTGATCAGAGCGGAGCCAGAGCAGGAAGGAAACGAGCGGAGTTTGTGGCAGTAAAGTGTGGATTTAAAGAAAACCGAAAGATTTAAGAAGAAAAAAAGTTAAGGATGACAAGGGACACTAAAATCCCCACAAAATCCGCAAGAATCCCGGTCGGAACAGGGCCTTTCTGAGTGGAGTTTGCATGTTGTCCCCGTATCTGCGTAGGTTTCCTCCGGGTACTCCGGTTTCCCCTACCACTAAAAACACGTACAATAGGTCTGTGCCTCCTGTACTGGCCCCGCTCCCATCTCTGTGTGGAGTGAGAGACTAATGCCCACAATTGTAAACCCCTGTGACTCTAGTCTGTGAAAGACGCTATATAAATAAAGATTACTACAACTACTTATTGAAGGCTCTCTGTCAGCTGAGGTCGAGCTGTTTTAATATATATTGAGATCTATGGGACTTTTTTCTGGGTAGCCCACGTGAATTTAGTCTGCAGTACCACAGCGCCCCCTGTGCCCATGGGTGGGACAGCTATAATCCTATCCAGTTATTATTATAGATCCATTGTATCAACAATTATGGGCCAATACAAAGCCCCTCAGTAGTGCTCAGTAGTGCAAGTAACTCTAGATAGTTTATTTTAGGAGAAATGCAGGTGTCCAGTAGTAGCAAAAAATAAGCAACAATAGTAATAATAAGAAACAGCAGCGGTGCGGAGGTGGAGCCGCTGCTTAGGTTGGTCCATTTTCTCTGCTCTCGTCCAAAGTAAAAAGCTAAATGCTTCATTAGCAATTTTCTAAAAGTCAGCATTCCTCCAGTGGATTTTCCCCTGATCCACTTGGTTCGGACCATGAATCCTCTCTGCTCTGGTCTGGACCAGTGTAAAACCATGAACACTGTACTGCAGAAACATCTCAGGTAGAAAGAACCACAAAAAATAACAAAACACAAAACAAATGTTTCAGAGACACTCAGGACTTGCTGCTGTTTCCAGAACATTCAAATGAGACTGAAAGTTACGACAAACTGTGTTTACATTTGAGAAGTAGAGTTGGTTTTCGCTGCAGGTGTGGACAGAGATTGTGTTTCTCGTATCAGATGAAACTGCTACATTTCAGATGACATTTCTATGAACTTGGATCACATTTCAGGACTCCACAGACGTCTAAAAATCCAATAAACGTTTCCTCAATATGTTTAGTTTGATTTTCTGCAGATACAAAGATCAAACTCTATAACGATAGGATTTTCAAAATGAGCTTCCTGCAGGTGAGAGCCAGATCCTGTCAGACCTGTGAAGCTATGCAGGGCAGGGCCTGGTTAGTGCTGTGATGGGAGACCTCTGGGAACATCAGGTGGCACAGTGGGGTGGCTACGGCTGTAAAGTAACAATCTGTGGTTGTGTGCTCAGGCAAGACACTTCCCCACATTAGAATGAGTCTGGTGTGTGAATGGTTGGTGGTGGTCAAAGGGTCTCAAGGCAAATCCAGGAACAAACACACTGGTCACTGTCACACACACACACACAGACATAGACGCACACACACACACACACACACACACACACACACAGACATAGACGCACACACACGCTCTCTTCCTGTGTGAGATTGCCACATGAAAAAAGGAAGTCAGCTTCACCAAAATACATGTGTGGTGAGAAATGGTGAGAAAGACTATTGGTGATCATGAAAATGTGTGTGTGTATATGTGCATTTACATATATTTGTGTGTGTGTATGTGTGTGTATATTTGCTTATATATATTTACATGTGTGTTTCTGTGTGTTTGTGTGTGTATATGCACGTTTGTGTATGCATGCATGTGTATGTATATGTGTGTGTGTGTGTATACAGTATGTGCATGTATGTTTGTGTATATATAATTTTATGTGTGTGCGTGTGTATATATGTGTGTGTTACCTGAGCCATGTGTAGCGTGGTGGTGGGTTTCCTCCGCTCACACATTTGAGCTGAGCCTTCTCCAGACCCAGAAACCAGTCCTGTTTGAATCCAGTGATCTCTGCGTGAGGAGGGTCTGAGCAGAGACACAACAACTCAACATTAATGTCAATGTTAATGTCAAATGTATTCATATAGCACATTTACAACCACAAACCCTGTCCAAAATGCTGCACATTAAATAAAAATATAATACACCAAATACAAAAAGGCCATAGTAAAAACAGACAAAAATTACAACAGTGCAACGTTGCTTATGTGCCAATGACCAGAGTAAAAAGATGAGTTGTTAACAAAAATCTAAAAACATTTAAAGAGGCTGCACTTCGAATACACAAGAGGAGGCTGTTCCAGAGTTTAGGAGTTTACAGAGAAGGCCTGGGCACCTCTCGTCCGTAAAGCAGAAGCTGACACTGGACCTCATCTGTCTGGATGGAGTGTGAGGAGACAGAAACTTGGACAGGAAGGCTGGGGCCAGACCATAAAGACATTTAAAAACCAGAAGCAGCATTATCTATATGTGTCTATATATCTATGCGTCTATCAATTTCTTACTTTTTGCACAATCTTGAGTGTTTCTATCCATGCCAAATGAGACATGTAAATTTCTCCTGTGTGAGATTAATAAAGTATATCTTATCTATCTATGTGTCTATCTATCCATTTATCTACTGTATCTATCCGTGTATCCTTCTTTCTAATCACTCTCTCTGGCCCTGGTACATAAACAGCAGCAGGAGAAATCTTTAGTGAAGTCTGAGGTCGACTCTGGTCCTAGTAAACTTTTAAACAAACATCCTGGTGAGACGTGAATCTATAGACAGGAAACACTGACAAATGTTATGTACATGATCTGTACACACGAACAAGCACACGCACACAGAGTATGTCACATCCTTGACTCTTCGTGACTCACTTTAGTCACTGCTGATATATGTTTTTGCACAACTGCTAAAAAACAGTCCCCAAAGCTGCAGAAAACAGTGTGTCAAATCAGGACTAGGGGTGGGCGATATGGGAAAAAATAAATATCTCGATATTTTTTCCCCAACTCATGATAACGGTATTGTCACGATATCTCTAAAATCAATCAGTTTTACACAAAATGATCTGAAATATTTTTTTTACCAGGGCATCTATAGATGGAGACAATGTAGATCAAACTAGCAGCTTATTATTTGTAAAGTGCTTCACACATCTTTGCAAAACATGCACAAACATACATTAACATTAAAAACCAAATTCAAGTAACACTGAAAGAACACTGAAGAATGGAGAGGTTCTTTTATGGCCGGGGACACAGAGTCCGGTTAGAGAATCTATAATCAGCTTTATGGCAGGTTTGGCAGGTGATCACAGTTTGTACATTGTATTGTTGTTGAGTGTGCAATTGTGTGTGGCTAAGGAAACAGAAATAGACAAATAAAAACAGTATTAATAATTATTCTATAGCAAATAACACATAAAAAAATCAATAGCGTATGTGTCTGGGAAAGTAGGAACTAAAATAAGTCATAAAATTAATAACATAAAAATCCAACGTAGGTTCCCTTTAAGGTCTATATAAAGTTGACATAAAGTACGTAAATAAGTGATGTAAACCACAAACAGAGGTAGCTCAAATGGAAACTAACATTACAAAGGTGCAGGGAAGTAAATATGACAAATAATAATAGCATAATTAGCTTAATGTAGCATAGTTAGCTTAATTAGCTGCAGACAAACACAGATCGGAAAACTCTCTTTTGCAAATAATGACAAACGACACAACGTAAAACTTTCTTCCCAGACTCTTCTAAAGATCACACGAACTACAGAAACTTCTTTCTTGGGTCATAAAAATGCACAGACACTGTACAAAGTCTTTTCCTCCGTTTTGCGGTGTCCCTGCATGTCAAAGCAGCGACTATGGCACCAAGCGGTCTGTGTTGTGAACGCGCTCCATTAACATGGTGAGGTGTTCAGGTGCAGACGTAAAGATGAGTGTTTGTCACGTAGGCTGTCAGTACAAACACAGCAGTGACTTTAGGCACGCATTTGACGAATGGGCATCTTGCCTGCTCTACGTTTTTTTTTTTATGTATTCACGATATTGCAAAAAAGCAAATTGTCAAATTCACTTTTGCGATATTATCGTCTACGATATATATCGCCCACCCCTAATCAGGACAGCTGGGTTTTAAAACTCTTCTGACCACATTTAGGCCGTTCCTGGGGTTCAAAGAAGCAATATGTAAAAATGGGGCCAAAAGTGGCACTGCAGCCTCTCCCACTCTCCCTGACTCAGGTTGCCAGATATGCAGACAAATCCAGCTGGGACCATAACAGCTGAAAGAGTTTTGTCAACAACAAATCTATAACCAACACCTTTTTCACAAAGATAGAAATCCTGGTTTTATTCCTTGTTTTGTCGTTAATGATTTGAGAATCATAACAAGACCTTTTTTAGTTCTGCGGCCACATGGTACTTTACCAGTGAGATTAGCTCCATTTAGGAGGCCCCATTAGGGCCCTTTAACTCATTGCCTGCCAGCCTGTTTCAGAACCGGTACTCCAATATTGCCAGCCGATTTTTCAAGACCCACAGAATATTGTGTACTATGACTATCTGAAATCTGAAACAGTGCGACGCCGCTTATTTGACAAAGACCAGAGTGAATAAAGATTTAAAAACATTTAAAAAGGCTGCACTTCGGGAGTCACGTGACGCGCTTGACAAGTATGGCTGCTTGAGAGCGCTCTGCGCCTTCCCCGCACTTTATTTTATATTTTAATGCAACAGGGCGCGACCATTCCTACGCAGTAGTACTCCCATTGGCTATTATCATGCCGAACACCACGAGAGGCGCATCCAAAACGACCACGACAACGGGGATCGGGGGCAGTAAAAGCACCGAGGATGCTAGCATGCGTCAAGCTAAGGCTAATGCTAACCAAAGGCCTCCATCTTCTCCTCCACGCTCTGGGATGGAGGAGGCGCCCGCTGCGGATTCTCCCAGTGTACCTGGTGAGGTGGCACGGGAGCTGGCTAAGCTCTATGCGCTTATACTGGAGAAGTCTGACAGCCATGATAAGAAACTGGAGGAGATTCGCATCACAACGTGTGCCACGGAGAGTAAGCTAGTCGACATTGCTAGCCGCATTAGCAACGTAGAAGGTCGCCTGGGGTTTCTGGAGGACGCACAGGAAAGGCTGGAGGCCAATCCACCGGCTACTAGCAAAGAGGTTGAAGTGCTCAGGGAGAAGCTGGATGATGTGGAAAATCGTGAACGTAGATGTAACCTACGTTTCGTTGGCTTCCCCGAGTCGTGTGAGAATAATGATGCTGTCGCTTTCCTGGAGGGAATCATTCCGACACTGTTGGACATTGACTTGGATTGGAGATTGACAGAGCACATAGACTTGGAGCCATGCCTAGACGCCAGGATGGTGACCAGTCCACCCGCCCGAGAGCCATAATAGCGAGATTTCTGAGATTTCAGGATCGCGAGCGCATCGCTGAAGCTGCACGGAAGAAGGGGAATGTCATTTGGGGAGGACGACGCATTATGGTCTTCCCGGATTACTCCAGGATGCTGAACAAAAAACGGGCTAAGTTTAAGGACTGTAAGAAACTTTTACACGATAAGAACATTCGTTTTTCACTGAACTACCCAGCTGTGCTTGTGGTGAAGACTGCGCAGGGACCCATGCGTTTTGAAGACCACAAGAGAGCCATGTCGTTTATCCACTCGCTGAACTGAGTGACTCTGCTCGCGATGACACACAGACTATATGAAGACACTCTTATTGTGCGGTCACTCTTCGCTAGGCACTTCTGTCAAGGTTTGTTACTAAGATGCAGAGAGGACTTTTAGAGGTGAGGGGAAATATTCACAATTTTTTGTTGTTTTTCACAACTGTTGTCTTGATAAATGCAAAGCTCTTTGTTGCAGCTAAAGTTCTAACATGTTATAATTTTTTTTTTTATTACTTGATAATACTTCGTTGCCAACAAACTAATGTGCAGGGGAGGGGGGCGCTGTGGGCAGCGTCAGTTGAGTGTATGTTCGCGGACCTTAGTAAGGGAGGTTTTTGGGGGAGAAGGGGGGGATGGGTTCACTTTGTTCCATGTTATTTTTTATTTAGTTTAGTTATATTTTCATTTTTTTCTTTTGATGCCAATACATTTAAATTCACAGCACCACTTATAATTTTGATCAATGATAACACCTAATAATTTAAAACTGATGAGCTGGAACGTCAAAGGTCTCAATAATGCCATAAAGAAAAGAAAGATTCTATCTTTTATTAAATCTAAAAAATGTGATATTGTTTTTGTCCAAGAGACACATCTATCTCGTCAAGAGTCTCAGAGACTGTTTTGGCTCGGTGGGCTTTGTTGGCTCATGCAGTGGAACTAGCAAAAGTAGAGGAGTAGCCACATTAATTAACAGGGGTTTGCAATTTAAATGCTTAAAACAAAGTACAGATGAGGCAGGTAGGATGTTAATTATGCTATGTGAAATTCAAGGTACAACTAATATTTATGCTCCCAACGTCGACGATCCGTTCTTCTTTGGCCAGTTGGAAAAAGAGATTTCTGATCTGGGGGACTATCCCGTTTTGTTGGCAGGTGATTATAACGAGGTGATGGATGGCACGTTAGACCGGAGTAAAAGTCTTACTCGCACAACAAGAGGAAATTATTCACTTAGAGCAATGTCAAATGCCTGTGCCCTAGCAGATGTCTGGCGGTTACAAAATCCAATGGGTAGGGATTATACCTTTTATTCCGCCCCGCACGCATCCTTTTCGCGAATAGATTTATTTTTCATTTCCCAATCTCTGATGCCTGCAGTTGTTAATAGCAGTATTGGTAATATCATTTTATCAGATCATAGTCCAATTTATCTCTCCCTCATCGCTTTTAATGCTATTGCTAAAACTCCTAGATGGAGATTAAACTCCAGTCTTTTAATGGAGGACACTTTTAGAAATTCTCTTGAGTCTCAAATTAATCTGTACAAGGAGACAAATATTCCCTCTGCCCCCTCAGCTGGAGTGGCCTGGGAGGCACTGAAGACTTTTTTGAGGGGTCATATTATTCAACAGGCCTCAATTAAAAAGAAAGAAAACATTAAACGGCTTTCTGATCTGGAGAAAAAGATCGGGATTACTGAGAAAACTTTCAAAAGGGATTCCTCTTCAATTAACTTGGTCAAATTAACAAAATTAAAATATGAATATAACACAATATTGTCACAGAAAGCTGAATTTAGTCTATTTCGGGCAAGACAAAAGTACTTTGAGGAGGGTGACAAGGCAGGAAGGTTATTGGCAAGATATATTAAACAAAGAGAGGCAATGAGTGCTATTTCTGCTATTAAGGATACAAATGGGCAGCTCCTCACAGACCCCCAAAAAATTAATGCCACTTTTACGGATTTCTATACTCATCTATATAGCTCAGACTCACGAGCTTCTGAGGAAGAAATCACTAAGTTTCTGTTGGGCTTAAACCTTCCCCAAGTAGCCCGTGACCAAATGGAGAGCTTAGACGCACCAATCACTACAGCAGAAATAATTTCAGTAATTAAACACCTTCCTTCTAATAAGGCCCCTGGTCGCGATGGGTTTACGGCTGAATTTTATAAATCCTTTCCTGAATTATTGGCTCCAATACTACTAGATGCTTATAACAAATCATTTAAAAAACAAATGCTTCCGCCTTCGCTATCTGAAGCCATTGTCACTCTTATCCTAAAGAAAGATAAGGAACCCTCGGATTGCCGCAACTATCGGCCCATTAGTTTGACCTCTTATGACAGCAAAATATTATCAAAAATTTTGGCCAATGGTCTAGACCGTGTTATGACTCATCTGATTCACCCTGATCAGGTGGGTTTTATACGCTCCCGATACTCAGCAGATAATGTTAGAAGGTTACTGGACATTATGTGGGCAGTTCAAGATTGTCGGAATCCTATTGCAGCCATTTCATTAGATGCTGAAAAGGCTTTCGATAGGGTTGAATGGCATTACTTGTTTTTAACGCTCAAATATTTTGGTTTCAGTAGTAATTTCATCAATTGGATACGGCTGATTTACATAAGTCCTACAGCTTCTGTCCTCACAAATGGTATAATTGGTCCATCATTTCAATTAGGAAGGGGCACAAGACAAGGGGACCCCCTGTCCCCCCTTCTTTTTGCATTAGCCCTTGAACCATTGGCGGTGGCCGTTCGAAGAGAAGCTACATTTCCAGGCATCACAATTGGTCAAAGCTGTCATAAGCTGATGCTATATGCTGATGATATTCTTCTATTTGTGTCTGATCCTCAACATTCCCTTCCTGCCTTGTTCTCCTTAATCAATTCATTTTCGGGTATTTCAGGCTATAAGGTCAATTGGACCAAGTCTGAAGCCCTCCCACTCACTGGTCATTGCCCCAAAGCATTATTCTCCTCTGGTATGTTCTCCTGGCCCACAAAAGGTATAAAATATCTAGGTATTACGTTTCCTCCACAATTATCTAACCTTATTAAAATAAATTTTGACCCTCTACTTCAGGGGTGGCCAACCAGTCAGAGACTAAGAGCCAATTTTTTTTACTGTGTTACAGCAAAGAGCCACATCATACAAATATATATACTACATAAACATCACCCCAACCCTTACACACGCACGCACACGCGCACGTAGGCACACGAGCAGACACGCGCACACACATGCAATCTGTCTGAGCAGAAAGAGGTGTGCTCTGCTCAGACAGATTTATTGTAAATGTCATCAACATGATAATGACAGAAATTGACTCGTACAGTACTAAAGGGCTGGACTCGACTCTCCCTGGTTTGCGGGCGCTTCTACCGCTCCCCGGTACTTTTTATTAATGGTTTGGCCCTGGTTCTAACCGGGCGAGTCGATACCAGAACAATTTCACGTCAGCGAACATCAATTATGATTCCGAAATGAATGCTTTCAATCTCTAACCAAGAAAAAAAAAAATCGAGTTTCAACCCAGTGTTCAGCAGAAACACAACTGTCTTTATCGAACCATGATTCACTCTGACTGCGTTTAGCAAAAGATATAGATTTGACACATAACACCAACACCACTTTAGCTGATTTAGAACCACAGACACATGTTCAGTATAAGACCAGATACTTTTGCATTTGATTGAAGACAGACACTCACCAGGCAGAGTTGGCTAATCTCCTGGTGTAATGCTAGCTGGTGTTAGCTGGTTTTAGCATGTTAGCCGATGTCCGTAAATGTAATCCATTTGGTCAAACCACCTCCAGACTTTTCGGGTCTGCCTCTACTTCTGCTGCTGCGATCTTTCATTTCACGGTTGTCACTTTTAAGCTTTTTAACTTTTCTCTGCATTGTCATGTTTGTGGGACTCATTCTGCTCCGTCCTTAGCGCTAGCTCCACAAACACCTTCTGGTTTCTGGTGGAACCATCGAGCTCACGCTGGTGTCCTCTCCTCAAACTGAGGAAGGTGTTGCCCTCATCCAGCGACCAAGATATTGTTTTCCGTACGGACGCCATGGGTCGAGGCAACGTGTTGTTTGTTATGATATTTGCAACAGCTGAGGCAGCAGCTGCAGAGTGATTGACAGCGCATCTGACCAACCAGAATTGACGTTCGCCGACGTCAGATTGTTTTGGTGGCCTGGCTAGTGGAGTGAAGTCGGCCTTTACTATGGGTCAGAACTACATAGGGAATGAAAGGCAGCGCCACCACCGAGGCGTTATTGACGCTTCTCGTGTGAAAGCCCGAGAGCCGCACGGAACCAGCCAAAGAGCCGCATGCGGCTCACGAGCCGCGGGTTGGCCACCCCTGCTCTACTTGAAAGCATGAAGGTAGACGTAGAGCGTTGGAATCAGCTCTACCTCTCAATGTGGGGAAAAGTAAACAATAATTAAAATGGTCTGCACTCCCAAATTTAATTATTTGCTACAGTCTCTACCAATACATATTCAATCACCGTATTTTAAAAAGTTTGATAAGTTGTGTAAAGAATTCATATGGAACTATAAAAAGCCCAGGTTAAATATGAAAAAATTACAGAGACCTGTGGATAGTGGCGGATTGGGAATCCCTAACTTGTTGTATTACTATTATGCTTTCTCTCTCAGGCATTTATCTCATTGGTTTATGCCTCCAGAGAGAGCACCCCCATGGCTTGCTCTTGAGAGTGAGGTTTCAGCTCCATTTACTCCATCTTACTGTCTATCCACGAACCTTGCTCCTCAAAATAGGCTGCATCCGGTCATGTCGCACCTTCAAATAGTATGGAAAAAAATATCTCAAATGTTTAAATTTAACACACACCTTAATCAAACTTCAGGTCTGTGGCACAATCCAAAGCTCTGTATCAACAAAACACCATTTATGTGGAAATCTTGGTTTTTAAATGGTGTGACAATATTAGGAGATCTATATGACAATGGCACATTAAAGTCATTTGAAATCCTGGCTCGGGAATTCAGTCTGCCCAGACAGGAGTTTTGGAAATATTTGCAGGTGCGACATTTACTACAAAAAACATTTGGATCTGTTGCGGTAGCCCCTTCAACCTGTGGCATCTTAGATGATCTAAAGAAGGCATTCAAACAAGGTCATGCAGCCTCTACTTTTTATAAGATGTTACTAATGGAATCTGATACTTCACTGATGCCCCTTAAGCAGTCATGGGAGAAAGATTTAAATTATACTTTTACAGAGGCTGAATGGAAGGGGATACTTAGAAATGGGAAGTGAATATCAAGAGAGCTGAGGACTCGGTTAGTCCAATTCAAAATATTACATAGAATATACTGGACTCCTACCAGGCTGCACAGAGTGGGCTTAGCAGATAATCATAAATGTTGGAAATGCCAGGGGAATAATGGCACGTTATTGCATATGCTGTGGGAGTGCCCAGAAGTTCAGGTTTTCTGGGCATCAGTTCATAGGGTACTGGGGGAGATGCTTGGCAATGATTTTCCATTTTGTAATAGATTGTACGTTTTAGGGGACCCCTCAGTTTTGAGTGCCATGCCCTCATCTCTTTCACAATGGGCCCAAACAGCGATCATGTTGGGAAGGAGGTTATTAGTAATGGAGTGGAAGTCTCCTTCAGCTCCATCATTTATTTACTGGCAGACTTCCCTAGGCCAACTAGCTTCTTTAGAGAAGCTATCTTTTACCACAAATGGGGCCCCTATCTGATTTACATTCAATTAATGACGTCTTCCAGCTCAAATACATCAGGCATCTGAATAGGTTCATACTGCTGCATTTTCCAAACTTTACAGCAACTCTTGGTTTGGCATCAATATGATTATTACTTGTATTTATTTTATTTTTACTTTTTATATTCACCCTTTTATTTTATTTTTATTTATTTTTTACTGCTTATTTTCATGTTAATATTGATATTTATTACAATCATTGATATAGATGTTACATTATTTTTGCATAGTTTATCAGACCTATGCTGTTTTACATTCCTTTATTCTTTATTTTTTATGTTTTGTTGTTGTATGTTGTCGCAATTCACTCTAAGTCACTTGCCAAGGACTGAATCTGATATGTGGATTGTTGTTTGTTTACTGTTTAATTGTAAAAACTAATAAAGTTCAAGTCATAAAAAAAAAAAAAAGGCTGCACTTCGAATACACAAGAGGAGGCTGTTCCAGAGTTTAGGTCCAGCTGAAACTGGACCTCATCTGTCTGGAGGGAGTGTGAGGAGACAGCAGCTCGGACAGGTAGACAGGGGCCAGACCATAAAGACATTTAAAAACCAGAAGCAGCAGTTTAAAGTTGATACGAGCCGAGAGGGAGACAGTGCAGGGACAACAGAACAGCTGCAGTACTCACAGTGCACCAGCAGGCGGTTGGAGAGCCTCTTGGGGCCCTTGTAGCTGCTGTGCCAGACCAGACAGTCCAGCCTCTTGTGGTTCATGCTCCGCAGGGGGTAGAGCGAGAACTGGGAGGTGACCACGCCATTGTCGGAGGTGCGGTTTGTGGACAGTCCGCTCAGCTCCGTGTCCCAGGACAGCTGCGGCGTGGGCAGAGCCGTGGACCGACACGTGGCTGCCACTCCGTACTTGCCCTCCACCAGCACCACGGGCTCCAGGGACGAGATGGGGTCGGCTGCAGGAGACGCACAGGTTAGAACAGACAAACGCAGGCTTGTGGACCAAACCTGGCCCGGTGTGTGTGTGTGTATACGTGTGTGTTTGTATACATGACACGCGTGTCTTACTCCACACAGTGAAGTCCATCTCCTTCTCGAAGTTGCCTGTTTATATGTGTTTTGTGTGTGTGTGTGTGTGTGTGTGTGTGTGTGTGCGTTTGTATACGTGTGTGTGTGCGTGTGTTTGCATACATGTGTGTATGTTTGTAAACGTGTGTGTGTCTTACTCCACACGGTGAGGTCCATCTCCTTCTCGAAGTTGCCCTGGGGGAAGGTGCTGACCTGGCAGCTGTAGTGGCCTGAGTCCCTGAGCTCGGTGCTGGTGATGACCAGAGACGAGTCCTTCGTGGGGTCACTGTTCTTAAAGCGGACACGCCGAGACCACTCCCCAGACGCTGCAACACAACACAACAACACACAACACTGCTGTTAGACTGGTTTGGAGAAAGAACACATTTAGAGTGATCTGTAAATGAAACAGGAAGTCTCCGCCTCCATGATGGACTGGACTGTAAAGGCGCGTTCAGACCAAAAGCTTCAAAATGCTTTTGACGCGCGTCAACTGACGCCGGGTAATTTTTTTTGTAATTTTGGTGCTTGAAGCTTAACGCGAGTGACGCGCCTGACGCCGGTGGGAGGAGCTTCTCTGTTGCCGGTAGTCAAAACAATGGTGGATTTTCTAGACAGCAGCGAGCCTTTATTTGTTGTATAAAGCCAAACAACGTTGTCGTGGGGTTTCTACAAAACGTGTTCTGGGTTCACCACAGAATTGAGGCTGCAGTGTTTGCGGAGTTTCACCATTTACTACAGGAGCTGCGTACGGATGAGTTTCGCTTTCAGCTTTCTCCCCGCCTGGAGCTCGCCTCGCTCTCACCCTGGACCCTAGATCTTAGACCCTGGACCCTAGACCCTGGACCTTGGATCTACTCACCAGTCTGCCCGTCGAGGTGGTGAACCATGATGATCTGCTGCTTGGTCCCGTCGTCCTGCTCTTTGCTCCAGGTGACTTGGACGATGGTCTGCTCCTTGGTGGGGTTGTAGACGCAGGGCAGCACGGTCTCGTCCTCGGCCAGAGAGCGGACTGCGTCTCCGGGAGGGACATCGCTGAAGTCTGCCCCCACTCCTGATGCAGACAAGAGGCCAGTGGTGAGCCGGGAGCATCAATGTCAATGAGGTTATAACCATTGAAAACAAGAGATCAGTGGTATAAAGGACTGGTGCTATGAGAATTGGGTGGCAGCCCCCCGACCCAGAAATTGATTAATAAAGGGAAAGACAATGAATGAAAGAATGAATGAAAAGAGATCAACCAATACATTGATTATCCAAAAAATCTGACCAAATTTTTAAGTTTTTAAAATATTGGTTAATCATCCAAAGTGTTTCCCATCCAGCTAAAATGTGACATTGGCATGTTATACCTCATTTTAGAGACAGTTTAAGAAAACATTCACTCATTTTATCATTTATCTCACCCTAAACAATAATCCCAAAACTTAATTAACAAACAATTACTAAAAAAGTTTAAAAATCTATAAATTAGTCAGTTATTTTTAACTTTGGTCCAGTTCTGAGTCAATCCAAGCAAAACTAATCTTTGAAATCTTGAAAGACAGAGACACTCAGCACAAGTAGAATCATTATTCTAGAATGTATTTTCCATTTGCAGTAAAACCACATTGGAAGAACTGTGCAAGAGTCCCCCAGTGTGCACCAGAGATAGGACACGGCCGTTATTTCCAAATGACAATTAAAGTTAACACCATTGACTTCTGAAGAGAGAGTAAGACCCGCCCATTATCACTCCCACTGTGACGAGGCCCCTTTGCCATTGCCTCTAGAAAATTGTATTAAATGTAGTTATGGCAAAGAGAGGGACAGCAGTAAATATATTGTGTTTGAAATATACTTCATGTACATAATACTACATGGTTATATGGTCAAAAGTATGCATTATTTTACTAATTAAATACAATTGAACCTTTAATTTTATTTCTTCAGGGTAATCTCAAGGTGACTTAAATTGTATTGTAAAGAAATGGGAAAATTGTAAGATCCTGTAAATTTTATATGAACATTTGTATAACTTAATAATATATAGATTATTATGCCTTTGTTTCTTTGGCCTCGTCCATAAAACCTCTCATCGTTCCACCTGTTTTCTTTCCCCTTCCACAACAGTAGTGTCTGTGTTTCCGACCACAGACAGTGTTATGTTTGTGTAAAATATGCAGTTGGACAAGTCCTCCCCGAGACACAGGAGTCTGAGTCTGCACCGGGACAGACCAGGCCCTCACAGAACGCCTTTGTGTTTTCATTTACACAAAAACACTCTCCATCCAAAGCTCCTCACGTGTATGACTGTGACCTTCAACCTATCGCTATGTCGTGAAGCTAACCCTGTCGGAACAAATACCCATATAAGGAAATTGGCTCCAGCTAGCTTATGTTCAAATCAGCTTCTTCCGCAGTAAGGCTAACACTATAAGTGACACCATGGGTACACAGCCTTCTAGTTCTGGACCAAGTGGCGTTTGTGGAGAGTTTTGAGAGAAACCAAACAAAGACTCATGCTAGTTAGACATGTTAGTGCCATATGAACCAAATTGGACTCTGAGGAGCACAGGGACTGGCCTCCTGCTGGTCCCAGAGTCAGGACTAAACATGAGGAGACAGTATTTCAGATTTCACTCTTCCTGTAAATGTGAGACAGGCTTTTTCTCTGACAATGTTTAAATCCAGGTTAAAAACAGCTACAATAAAAGGATTTCTATCTTTACTTGTTTTATTGTGAATATTTATTATGTTTTTAACTTTTTGTGTGATTGTATCTATCTAGTTTTGTTCTGCTCTTTGATTTCCCTTGAGTAAGAACTGTGCTATACAAATACATTTAAAGGAAAGTTGGGTTCTCCTGCTCTGGCTTCATTATCAAAGAGAATACGCAAATCTTAGGATGATTTGTAAATGAGTTAGAATTAAAATAAACATAAAAGATAAAGATACAAAAGATATATATTATATTATTGACTTTTACAGAACCAGGAATTTGCCACGGAGAATTCAGAATCACTTCTAGAGTCTAGACCCCAGAGAAAGAGGGGAGCTCCTGTATGCGTTTTTAGTAGTGGGAGAAACCGGAGCGCCTGGAGGAAACCTACACAGATGCCCGGTGAATATGCAAACAACACTGAGAATGGCCCTGTGTCGACTGGGATAAAATAAATAAAACTTGCAGAATTTCCAAATTGCAAAAACATTGACGTAACCTTCAGTAAACATGAGCAAAGGTACAAAGGCCTAAAGCTACTGGTGCAAAGAGTTTAGAGTATTTTAATAATACAAAATCCAACCATTGATCTAATATTTGGATTGATGTGTTCTTTAACTTTAGTGAATGTGGCTGAGTATGTTCGCGACCCGGTTAGCACGGAGCGCAACGGTAAGCTAGTTCTGACTTGTTGTAGATTTAAATTTGGATTTGAATACGCGAGGGGATCGTGTGGTTGGGAGTTTAATCTCTATAAACATTGTGTTTGCCAAGCTGCGGGCTGTGACCCAAACAAGGGCTGTGGCAAAGAGACCTGAGTCATCACATCATTCAAATTCCATAAAGGATAAATATACAAAAGGGACGGGGAAGGTGGAAGTATCACAGGTACATGGTTAGGATCAAAGTAAGGGATTCTGCTGCAATAGATAGTTATAGATAGATATTGATAGTTATAGATGATAGGGAGATAGATAGATAGCCTTGTGTATGAATTGTGCTATACAAAGAAACTGGCTTTGTCTTGCTTTGATCTCATGTCATGCTGCATAGGTCACAGGGTTCAAGTTGCATCTTATCGTCCGGCAACATTAGAGTATGTTAATGATGAAGGAGAGAAAAGGGAGGTAGTTTTTGCCCATTGATTTACAAACCAATGAGTCACAAAGTGCACAAAAACAATGTCCATGAGTAAAACCTCTGCCTCGCCCCTCCCTCACTGACTCATCCTCAGTGTAAGACCAGTGAAGGACCTGAACCAGGATCTGAACCAGAATCTGAACCAGAATCTGAACCAGGATCGGAACCAGGATCTGAACCAGGGCCTGCTCTCTCCCCAGTCCTATATGCCTGAAGTTTCACCTGGACCCATCAGTTTTGGCCCATTCTCCCCCAGTGTCTGCTCTTGTTTGTCTGTCAGATTGAAGAATATGCTGTTGTGGTTGCATATCTATAGGCAGTAAGAAGTGGGGGAAAAACATGATTCTATTCAGTATTGCGATATTTTGCACAACGCGATTAAATCAATATAGTAGAAAATATTCACTGAGTTTACTCTGGTTACCACCATCTGAGGTTTATTTTCCTCTATGGCGTCTGCTTGTTGTGACTCTATGATGTCATCACGTTTCCCCTCCTCAGTGTTTGCTTTAGTTCATGTCCAGACTAGGGGTGGGAACCTAAGGGTACCTCACGATACGATACGATACAGGATACAAAGCTCACGACAACGATATTATCACGACAACGATATTATCACGATATGACGATTATCGATATATTGGTCAGAAATATACAATATGCCCATTTATGGCATAAATAAAAGAAAAAATACACTTTATTTCATGATAAATGGAATGGAGATGCGGAATGTAGCCATGTATTATGTATTGATATCAATTAAAAAATATATATATTCTTTTTTCAAAATTGATATCAATACTTGGCAAATGCATATCGATCATCGAATCGCGGGAGAAAGTCTCGCGATATATCGATTTATTATATGACTTGGACCGTACCCGCGCTCTGATTGGCTGATTACCGGTCTGATATTTTCCCATCTCGGACCATTACCATGACAATCAGTCCGCAGCGCGTATCACACAAAACCAAGTTGGACATGAACATACTTCGCAAATATCTCAAAAGCATTGGTAAAGACACAGACGGGAGTCATATAATAAAACATTTATTAACCTTGCTTGCTCGGTCTGTACAGAGAAACATCGGACCTTGGCCTTTTTGCACAGACCTCGCCACGGCTCGGTCTGTACATATTTCTCCATACAGACCTCGCGCTCGGTTAATAAGCCTTTAATATTGCCACACCCCTAGTCCAGACCATAATAAATGTGAGATTTAAGTTGAGTCTTATTTTCCTCTATGTTTGTGAACAATATGAGGGACATGGATCACGATATATCACAGAATCCAACCACAAAACTGTCTGTATCGCGATATGTAAAGAATATGTAAAGAATCGCAATAATATTTCCCAAATATCGCAACACTATCGAATCGTCACATTTGTCTTAGTACCCACCTCTAACAGGCAGTGGACGGTGGGTCACCTCTTGGCCTCTCTTCCTCCCTCCTCCCTCCTGTCTCCTCTCCCTGCTCCCTCCTCTTCTCTTCCTCCTCTCACCTCCCCTCCTCTTCTCTTCTCTGCTCCCTCCTCTCCCTCCTCTTCCCTCCTCAGTGTCTGTGTCAGCAGTTATAGTGTGATTCACAGAGTTCACACCTGCAGCAGCTCAGACAGGTGCTCCTCCCTCTGTGTCATCTCTGTTACGGACTGGAATCTGCCGCTACCGCATTACTGGAATTACAGCCTAACCCACAACAGCCCAAAACGGCCCACAGCAGCACCAGCCCCCTCTATGGAAAAATATAAGCGCACGTGTGTTCAGGGTTTGAAGTCTTGCAGGATTTCAGTCATCGGACGAGATTTCACCAACCAGCTCATCCAATATAAACATGTTACACCTTCTCTAAAAGTTCAGACTATGGTTATCTGTGTATGTTTGGTATTTACATTATAATAATTAGTACTTTTTGAGGATCAATAAAGTTGAGTTGAGTAGTAAATCTTTGAGTAATTTCTGCTGCCTCAAAGCTTCATAAAGTTTGTTGTATTATATTGTATATTTTTAATAAAGTATATGAATTATTCTATTACTAAAATATTTCATATCTGCAGCCCTAATACAGTTTGTTTCTGTCTCAGTCTGCGTCTATGTCTGAGGCGCTTCAGAGTAAGAAATGATGTACTTGTATACTGGTGAATATGGTTCGATTATGTTTTCAGGGTTTGAAGTCTCGCTGGATTTCGGTGATCGGACGAGATTTCACCAACCAGTTCCTGAACTCTCCCACTGACTTCACCCAATATAAACATGTTACACCTTCTCTCAAAGATCAGAATCTGCAGAATACACTTCAGACAATGGTTCTGTGTATATATACTTTTGACATTTAAATTATAATGTTTTAAGAAATTAAATAGTTTCGTATCTTATTTTGACTCCACAAACTCAGAACTGCAGAACAACTGGACAAAACATGTAGTTTGTTTTTTTACTATACGAACTAGAGCGTGCCTGGTCCAGAAACACAACAGCAGCATTAGTCTGCATCAGTGGAGTTTTAAGGCTGGGGCACGTTACAAGATGGAGGAAGGTGGACGACATTTGTGAATATTTGTTATAATAATAATAATAATAATGTTTTTATACAACATTTTTTTGGACACTCAAAGTCATCATTATTCTTTCACTCCATACACGATGGTGATAAACTACTACCATAGCCGCACCTGCTCTGGGGCACACTGACAGAGGTTAGGCAACCAGTCTGTGCAACCACCACCAACCATTCACACACACACCAGACTCATTCTAATGTGGGTGAAGTGTCTTGCCTAAGGACACAACCACAGTTTGGCACTTTACCCCACTGTGGCACCTGGTGTTCCTGGAAGTCTCCCATCACAGTACTAACCAGGCCCTGCCCTGCTTAGCTTTGGAGGTCAGAATCCTGGCTTTCGCATGCATGTATGGTATTGTGAGGTCTCCCATCCCAGCACTAACCAGGCCCTGCTAATGGCGAAGGGATGTGATATATCTATAAATTATATATTATTCATATGCAACGGCCGTGGTTTTATTAACATTTATCATTCTCCAACGGCTTCTATGTGTTTGTTCTCATAGTATATGCTGTGTTTGAACGGTTTGATTCTCTGATCTGTTGTTGGTGAATCATCAACTTTGTAAAGTCCTCTCAGACGACTGCTGTTGTTCAAAAATACATTGATTTTAATGTATGATAATAATCTGTAGGGGGCGACAGTAGCTCAGTTGGTAGCACTGGTCTTTGGACCCAATGGTCGTGGGTTCGAGCCCACCACGACCCATGTCACCTGCTCCCACTGATGTCTGCTGTTGTTGGGTCCTTGGGCAAGACACTTAACCCGAGGCATTCTCGTTGATGACAGAGAAGCCATCTTCCTGTGGAGCCACCACCTGCAGGAGGATCAGTGAGGGACTGGTGCTATGAGACTTGGGGGTAGCTCTGATCGCCTGCTTCACCTGCTGCTGTTTCTCCTGCTGCTGTTTCTCCTGCTGCTGTCTCTCCTGCTGCTGTCTCTCCTGCTGCTGTCTCTCCTGCTGCTGTCTCTCCTGCTGCTGTCTCTCCTGCTGCTGTCTCTCCTGCTGCTGTCTTTCCTGCTGCCGTTTCCCCTGCTGCTGTCTCTCCTGCTGCCGTTTCACCTGCTGCTGTTGCCTGCTGCTGTTGCCTGCTGCTGTTGCCTGCTGCTGTTGCCTGCTGCTGTTTCACCTGCTGCTGTTTCACCTGCTGCTGTTTCTCCTGCTTCTCCTGCTGCTGTTTCACCTGCTGCTGTTTCACCTGCTGCTGTTTCACCTGCTGCTGTTTCTCCTGCTGCTGTTTCACCTGCTGCTGTATCACCTGCTGCTGTTGCCTGCTGCTGTTGCCTGCTGCTGTTGCCTGCTGCTGTTTCACCTGCTGCTGTTTCACCTGCTGCTGTTTCTCCTGCTTCTCCTGCTGCTGTTTCACCTGCTGCTGTTTCACCTGCTGCTGTTTCACCTGCTGCTGTTTCTCCTGCTGCTGTTTCACCTGCTGCTGTATCACCTGCTGCTGTTGCCTGCTGCTGTTGCCTGCTGCTGTTTCACCTGCTGCTGTTTCACCTGCTGCTGTATCACCTGCTGCTGTATCACCTGCTGCTGTTGCCTGCTGCTGTTGCCTGCTGCTGTTTCACCTGCTGCTGTATCACCTGCTGCTGTTGCCTGCTGCTGTATCACCTACTGCTGTTGCCTGTTGCTGTTTCACCTGCTGCTGTTTTGCCTGCTGCTCTATCACCTGCTGCTGTTTCACCTGCTGCTGTTTCACCTGCTGCTGTTTAGCCTGCTGCTGTTTAGCCTGCTGCTGTCTTAGCTTAGCCTCCTCCCGCCCTGAACAGACTCCAACCAGTCAGACCTGTCCCAGAGCAAGAGCAAATGGAAGGAACTGGACTGAAACCTTTATCAGTCCTCAAGATCCTGCTCCAGACTGAATTGGGACTGGATCTATTATAATAACTGGATAGAGTATTACTATGGATCTATTATATTATCTGGAGTGTTACTATCTTGGAGCTGAAGGACCACTGCAGACTAAACCAGACTAAATTCTCGTGGGCTACACAGACATGTTCCCCATAGAACTCAATGTAAACTAAAACAGCTCGACCTCAGAGAACCTGACAGAGAACCTGACAGAGAACCTGACAAAGAACCTGACGGAGAATCTGACTAAGAAACTGATAGAGAACCTGACAGAGAACCTGACAGAGAACCTGATAGAGAACCTGACTGAGAACCTGACAGAGAACCTGACAGAGAACTTGACAGAGAACCTGACAGAGAACCTGACGGAGAATCTGACTAAGAACCTGATAGAGAACCTGACTGAGAACCTGACAGAGAACCTGACGGAGAATCTGACTAAGAACCTGATAGAGAACCTGACGGAGAATCTGACTAAGAACCTGATAGAGAACCTGACAGAGAACCTGACAGATAACCTGACAGAGAACCTGACTGAGAACTTGACAGAGAACCTTTCACAAAGGTCAGATTTTTGGGGATGTTAGTGTCTCTTGTCGTCCTATTTTTTTTTCCTTCAGTTTTCTTTAAATCCACATTTTAGTACAACAAACTCTGCTTGTTTTCCTCCCGCTCTGATCAGCAGCTCTGATTGGCTGAGCCCTTCTGTGCACGAGCATGAGAGACACAAACGCATATTTGGCGCAAAGCATCATGGGAGTTGAAGCCGGTGCAGAGACCTGAGGACTGGACTAATGTGATTGCCCTTCCTGGTATTTGCCGTATTTTTGCACACAAAAAATAAAGCTTGTATAAGCGAGAGACAGAGAGAGACAGAGAGAGACACAGAAAGACAAGAGAGACGGAGAGACGGAGAGAGAGGGAGAGAGGGAGAGAGAGAGAGAGGGAGAGACAGAGAGACGGAGAGACAGAGAGACAGAGAGAGACAGAGAGGAGACAGAGGCAGAAGAGAGACAGAGAGAGAGGAGAGAGAGGGAGACAGAGAGGCAGAAGAGACAGAGAGAGAGGGAGAGGGACAGAGACAGAGAGAAAGACAGAGGGAGAGAGAGTGAGAGAGAGTGAGAGAGAGAGAGGGAGAGACAGAAAGAGAAGGAGAGATGTAATAGGGTATTCTTGAATGAATGTTGTCTAATGTGTCACACTATAATTGTAGTCTTAATTGATGTTGTCTAAGTCTTGTATTTTTGTCACGTTAATTTATTTTAATTTATTTTAATTTATTTTAATATATTTTAATGTATTTTAATATATTTTAATGTATTTTAACGGCTTGTTAACATCACGGCCAGGGAAGTACAGATGAAAAACAGCCTCCTTGGCTAATTCTGGCTTTTTTAACTTTAATCGTGTGTTTTATTAAATTGCATTGTCCCCTTTGAAATAAACTAAACTGAAACAGAAACACAGATATAGAGAGAGCTGTCTCCATCTTGATTTGTTCAGCACTTCAAATTGCCTTGTGTGTGAATTGTGCTATACAAATAAATAAATATGCCTTGCCTTTTTGACTCGTGGCAATTATTATGGTATTATAGAATTTAAAAACAGTTTTACCAATCAGGTCAAACTGGATCATTTTCAACGACACACAAAGCTCTTACACACGCCACAACACATGACCAAACATGACCAAACATGACCAAACATGATATACATTAACAAAACTATGACTACATTCAAACTAAAGATGCCAAGAACTAGAAAAACAAACACAAACCCCCATTTTTATATTTGTATTGAGCCTTGTTGTGTGGGCCCTAGTTTGTATGTATAACAATCATTCACACACACACATACACACACAGGAATGTGGGTGAAGTGTCTTGCCTAAGGACTCAACGACAGCTTAACTCTTCACAGCCGCCCCACTATAGCCCTTGGTGTTCCCAGAGGTCTCCCATCACAGCACTAACCAGGCCCTGCCCTGCTTGTGACAGAGTGATGTGATATATATGTGAATCATAAGTTAATAACACATACAAAAAATAAAAAATATGATGTCACAATAATTACTATACCAACTGATCGTTCAAGAACTGATAAAAACAGACTTTGGGTGTGTACAAATATATACGTTTTTGGTTTTATCGTCTGTACATTTTATTTGCAAAAGTGGGATTTTTGTTTGAGATGTAGAAGATTATTATAGACTATACATTACTTCATTCTGCAATTCTATATATTCTGTATTTTTGTAGAGAATGCTTTCTAATTAAATAAACAACGAGAATTTTACTTTACTCACATTATTTTACAGTATTAGTCGCATAAAAGAATTTATTGATTAGGTAATTTTCTGAAAAAATATGGCCATCAAATTGAGTTACTGTGACAGAGCTAAAGAACACTGAAACTAGGTCTGGATCAATTTGGAGCACAGGGACTGGCCTCCTGCTGGTCCCAGAAGTCAGGACTAAACATGAGGAACCTGCATTTCAGATTTAAGCAGATAAAATCTAGAACAGTCTTCCAGAAAATGCGAGACAGGCTTCTTCTCTCACAATGTTCAAATCCTGTTTAATGCCGTGTGACTATTTTTCCATTTTGATTTGTTACTAACTTTGATTGGCCTTGTGTATGAACTGTGCTATACAAATAAACTCGCCATAGTAGTTCTAAATGGCAATAATAACAAAAGTCAACAGACCTGAAATTATTGGCCGCCATAATTGTAGTTTTCTCACCTGATATTTGCAGAGCACAAAGACTGAGTGCTAGTCTGATGAGGACCCTTGTCATACTCATCATGGGGGAAAGATCTCTCACAGTCTGGGACCTAAAACTCCAAAACCTGTCTCCAGAAATGCCTCGTGTGCGCTCTGCTCATCCTCCAGGCGTCCCCAAATCCAAATCCAGTCCACGATCCTCCAAATAGAAGAAAAAAAGGACACAAACACGAGTGGATATTTACCAAAACAACAAGCGTGAATCCGTGGTGTGTGCTAGCTAAAACAGCGCCATGGTGTTTGCCTAATGCCAGCCCGAAGTGAAGCAAGCTGTGAGGAATACACCTGTGCGTAAAGGGAGGCGTCCACATCCATCCGTGCGTACTAGTGGTTAGACAGGTTTGGCGAGGTGCAGCAGTGACAGTTATATTCGCGTCTTTACTTGCTCGGAGCAGGTGAGAACGACCCAAGAAGGAGCAAAGAAAACAAACGCAGACTGTGAGGGAAAATGACAATACGAATCCAACCCTATAGACTGTGCTAGCGCGGCGCGGCGTGGCTAATGTCGGGTGAAGCTAGCTAGTCACGCACCATTAGCTGAAGACGGGAGAAGATGCCCACGCTTGTTTTGGTGTGGTGAAAAATTTAAACTTATTAAAGAAAAGTGAAAAGAAAAATATGAATAACAAAAAGAACACGTTTTTCATGACTTTTTATTATTTATTTATGTCTTTGGCAGGTTGGACTAGCTTTACTTACGGTGTTCAAAATAACCACAATATGTATTTATTCATTTATTTTTTATTTATTTATGTGTTTCTTTGGCAGGTTGGACTAGCTTTACTTACGGTGTTCAAAATAACCACAATATGTATATATTAATTTATTATGTATTTATTTATTTCAGGCAAACACAGGAGCATCACATAACCACATACCAACAGTTTTGCCTGAAAGAGAGTGGGAAGAAGAGAACTTTCATATTTACTTTGTTAAAAAAAAAATTGAGACTCTGAGGAATACTTTTTGCGACGATACGAATCCAACCGCGGTAAATGGAAAAATCTTCGACTATAAATATTAGATATTAGGTCATTTAGGTTATGATATTGGGAGAAGCTAGCGTTATTATAATAGATCCATGGAAGCTAGCCATGGACTACGGACCATGGCTAAAGACCAAAGACGGAGAAGTTAGTGGAATTGTAAACTTGTTTAACAAAAGTGAAAAGTCTTTGTGTGTTTAAAGGTTAAATGTCATTGTTTACATGTTTATGGTTCTCGCTGCACACGTGGTGGCGAGAAACAGCCGAGAAGTTCTACAGTCTATGGTTCTGCGAGATGAAAAATATATAGTCCTTCGATTCTGTAATCTGTGGTGCAACAGTGACATTTCTCACTATGGGACGAATTATAGCAACAACAAAAAGTAGAAAAAAATAAGTAAAATATTTTCATGACTTGTATGTTGCCGATAGGTTGGACTTCTTATAACATAGTGTTCAAGACCTTTTCAATCTATTATTTAATATTAATAATAATACTTTCATTTTCATTCCATGGACATGGTGGATGTTGAAAACAAACTCTTCACGTGGATGTTATAATTATAACAATTTTGTGGAAGACCATGGCCTGTAGAACTTCAGGACCCAGAATCAAACATTCACTTTGAATACAGATAAAAAATATTTGACACATATTTGAACATATCAGATTCTGTGGCACACACACGTACACACATACACAGAGAGAGGTCAAGAGAGACACACACACAAACAGGGAGAGAAAGAGAGACCCACACGTACACACACCACTTCTTCAACATTTCAGGGTTAGACTGATACAAAAACTAGCAACAAAGTCAGAATATTCCAAACAAAAATGTCTTACACTTTTAGGCAAAGAATCAACAAGCGACAATAAAAACACATTTATTTTGACAATCACACTGAGAGCCTGGATTGTGTCAACAACAATACAAACACTACACAACAACTCAACTGATTTATCAAGAAGAGAATAAGTCTTTCTTTGTCAATAGACAAAGCCCGAGCTGTAAATGTGACGAGACAATACTGAGGCGTTAGCTTCTGGTGCTACTCATGAACCACTTTAAAGGCACATGAGCAGAGTATAATTACAGCTATAGTAATGACAGTGAGTGAAATCCTTTTGATTATAGTTCCAATGCGGACGGCAACAATATAGGATGGTGTTGTTGACGTGTTCTTTGCCTAAAGCTAGATCTCTGTGACATCTTGTGGTGAAAGACAGAAAACTGCTGCGTCCCGGAGTGAGAACTATGAAACTGGTTTATTTACAACAAAAAGTAAAAGTGAAGACAAGATGAGACAAAGACTTTCAGATTCCACAGAACATAAACTACACAAAATACCTACTGTGTGGAAGGAGCAAAGTATAAACAGCAGGAGAGTAAAATAAAATAAAAGTTTGCTCCTAAGATGCATAGAAACACACACATCAGATTTGTTTTTTATATATTTATTTACAGAAAGACACATTTTCACTTGTGCTTGAAATTCCATCTCTACATTTGTTTGTTCCAGGACTCAGCTCAAACTGGTTTTTCCGCTGGATCCACACTAAAGTTGAAAACAAGAGCAGTATTTCCACAACATTTTCATCCTAAAACTTGTAACAAAGACCTTTTTATCAACAGTATTTTGTAGAAACTGCATTTTGTTTACTGTACATGGAGGTGAGGTTACATGGAGTGGAACAAAAACAATCTCTCATTTGAGTAAAATCCAGCACAAGTTTTTCAGTCACTACAAAAAGCTGCAGATATAAGGAATTTAAATACAAAAGAGAGAGGGGGGGAGAGAGAAATGGAGACAGAGGGAGCAAGAGAGAGAGTCAGATACAGAGAGAGATTAAGCTGAACTTTATTGAAAAACAATGCAATTAAATACAAATGAAACAGAGAGAACATGCAAAAGGAAGTGGTCTTAGGTCTTCATCCCGATGGTCTCGTACGTGTCGGCGGGCTGAGTCAGACCCTGAGAACACACAATATAGTACTGAAATACTGTGGTACTGAAATACTGTGGTACTGAAATACTGCAGTACTGAAATACTGCAGTACTGAAATACTGCTGTACTGAAATACTGCTGTACTGAAAAATGCAAACGATTATCTACAGGAATAAAATGATATAATAAAAGTATTGTAGATGGTTTGAAGATGGACTGAATGAAGAAAAAAGCTATAAATGCAATCCTCTCCACAAAATATAACAGATACATTTAAAAAAATGGAGGAGAGGGAAGATAGAGGGAGAGGTTAGGAGAAGGAAGAGAAAGACAGAAGAAGAAGAGAGGGAAGAGAGAGACAGGGAGGAAGAGAGAGAGAAGAAAAGAGGAGAGAGAAAAAGAAGGAGAGGGAAGAAAGAGAAGAAGAGAGGAGGGAAGAAAAAAAAAAACATATCACCAAAACACAGACAATATTCAGGATTACACCGGAATTGTCTAGTTTTAGTTTAGTTTTTATACATTTTTTTATTTATTTTTACAGATTTATGCAACTAGTTTCATTTTATGTGGTTAAAGTCAGGTTCCCCAGCTTTAATTGCAGACAAATTAAATGAGGATAAGAATGACAACGAATATATATTTATTGTTAATATTTTTGTTGTTAACATTTGCAGTGAAATGATTCTCCATATTTAGTCTTTTGCACCAAACACATAAGAATAAAATGCTTCTCGTCAAATCCAACGTAAGAAAGTAAGAAAATGGGAAACGTACTTCATAGATCCCGTCGTTAGCGCCCTGCAGCAGAAGAAACACACATTTATTCAACATTATTAGACTTTTTTTTAGACTTTATATTTTATTGAAAGATGAGATTAAGCTGAATGTCATGAGAAGAATGATTTCCGTTGGAGGCGGTGGTTTGACCAAAGAGTTCGATGCATTTGTAGATTGTGTGTGTGGCTCCGGGAAGAAGCGTGCAGGTCCACAGTTAAAATCAACAGGATGTTTCAGATGTAGAGATGTGTGTGTCGCAGGAACGCACACATTTGTACAAAAACAATGAAGTAAACAAATAAAAACAGGAGAAAACACGTGTGAAGTCTGACGTCCAAGAGATATAATATTTATGGTGTTTTAATATTGTCTATGATTTATCTAATTGATTATTATGAGAATGACGGTATACACAAAAATGCTAAAAAATATTCAAGTGTTTTTTATTCTTATTTTGAGTTCATTCTGACTGTGTTAAAACAATATTCTCCAACTGGACAAAGTCATTTAGTCTTTTGTCAAGATCTATTTTATTCTTTTTCATCCCAAAAGAGAATTTTCTTGTGTCTTTTTGAAACAAGATCATTTTGACCTTTTTTTTTCATCACTTTTTGCCGTGTATGTTTAAGCACATTTAGTACAATGGAAAATGTATATACAACATCTAGTTCCTAACATCTACACACACACACTCAGAGACACACACACACTCAGAGACACACACACACTCAAGAGACACACACGCTCAGAGACATACACATGTACTCACACCCTCAGAGACAAACACACACTGAGAAACACGTACACACTCAAGAGACACACACACGCTCACACACACAAACTCAGAGACACACACGCCCGCACACTCACACTCACACACACACACACACGCTCACACACACAAACTCAGAGAGACAGACACACACACTCAGAGAAACACACAAACACACACTCAGAGAAACACACACACGCTCACACAAACACACACTCAGAGACACACACACACGCTCACACACACACTCAGAGACACACATACACAGTATTTGTAGTGTCACCAATCACGGGCAAAAAAAAAAGAAAACATCCTAATAAAATAAAGTGAATCCAGTTTAGTTTGAAAGGTTTCTGGTTCTTACCTTCTTTGGTTTTGCGGCTGGTGGATTCTTATAACTCATGATCTGAAAAACATTAAAAACACATCCACAATAATTATCATAATGAATGAAATGAACCCTTTAAGCACTTTTTATTTTCCCTGAATTTCACGTGTGTCAAAGTGTACAAACATTAGAGCTGCTTAAAGCTGAGGGACCTGACTTTCAAACCACAAAAAATGCTATATGTGACTTTAGTTCCTCGCTCTCAAAACGGTTTGGTTCAGTCTCTAGTTGTGTGATTTTTTGGGCCTCTGTCACTTCTTTAGATCATAAATAATTCAGACTTAAAAGGGAAAAAGAGAGGACCACCCCCTCTCAGCCAATTAGCTCACAGGGATCTTAACATGTTTTCTAATATAATTCGTTTACAATATATTACTTTTACAAGACTCTTTCTATTGGAACAAACAACAAGCCCCGGTGATCCAAGATGGCGGCCTATTCAAATGAATGGCTTGTGCTCAGTAGGACATGGGACTTCACGGGCGCTGACATATCAGAGGAACTCGGCTATATTTGGGCATCGTCTGTTCCTCCCGGTTCTGCGCAGTGGACGAGCTCCATGATGCGTTGCGCCAAATACGGGTGTGTGGCTCTCATGCAGGTGCACAGAGGGGCTCGCCGCACTCTGACCAATCAGAGCTGCTGATCAGAGCGGGAAGGAAAGGAGCAGAGTTTGTGGCAGTAAAGTGTAAATGTAAAGAAAACCGAAGGATTTAAGAAGAAAAAAAGTTCAGGATGACAAGGGACACAAAAATCCCCACAAAATCCGATCTTTATGAAAGCTGAAAGTTCAGGTTCAGTTGAGGGCGAGCTGTTTTAGTTTACATTGAGTTCTATGGGACTGTTTTCTGTGTAGCCCACTAGTATTTAGTCTGCAGTACCACAGCGCCCCCTGTGCCCATGGGTGGGACAGCTATAAGCTAGTAATACCCTATCCAGTTATAATTATAGATCCATGGTTATGCCCCAGTTTTATGAATGAGTTTCCTCCAGATGTACAGATAGGGGGAGGAGCTCGGAGTAGAGCCGCATCTGTAGGCGTCTGTTTGGGAGGCCTGAGGACAAGCTAGTGTAAACAAATGGAAAGATAGCTTAAAGTTGTAAAGATGGAAGAAACCAGTTCTGACAAATGTAGTAAAAGATTCAAACCATGTTATAATTGTTCAACAACTGCACCAACAATTATATTTTTTAGAAAGAAAAGAGGAAAAGGTCCAAGGCACACTAAATTAGGAAGCAAATTTAGTGTGCCTTGATAAGATAAGGCTAGCACCATCAGTATCCTCTTTTAAATCTCTTCTTAAAACCCACTTTTATCAAACAGCTTTTAACTGTTAGTTTTAAACTTCCGATTCTGTATTTTATTGTCTGCTTTGTCTTTTTTGAGTCTCTTTTGTGTTTTGCTCTGTTTGCTTTGTGTTTCTGTATTTAATTATTTTGACCTTGCATTATGACTGTTTTTATTGTTTATCATACTGACTGTGCAGCGCTTTGTAAACACTGTTTTTAAAAGTGCTATATAAATAAAGATTATTATTATTATTATATTATAAATTAACTTAAAGCAGCAGTATGTAAAAATCTGGCCAACATTGGTACTGCAGCCTCTCCCACTCTTCCTGACTCAGGTTGCCAGATATGCAGATGAATCCAGCTGGGACCATAACAGCTGAATAGACAAGAGTTTGGTCAACAGCAAATCTATAACCAACACCTTTTTCACAAAGATAGAAATCCTGGTTTTATTCCTTGTTTTGTCGTTAATGATTTGAGAATCATAACAAGACCTTTTTCAGTTCTGCGCCACATGGTACTTTACCAGTGAGATTAGCTGGACGCGCCCGGATCACAGACTTTCTGATTGGTGAAACGGTGGAGGGCGGGACATCAAAATGAAAACAATAAAAAGATTTAGGGGCTGCAAAACTAATTTAGAAATTCATATATCTCTGAACTACTGGCCCTTTAATGATGACAGATTAGGGTTTACTGGGTTAGCAAAGCACCTCTGCTTTGGTACTTTTGAATCTAGATCAGGTCATGCTAGTATTAAGTTTGAATGGCCTCAGTCCTCGTTCTACAGTCTGAGTCCTGGATCTACAGCCTGTCTGTCCGTGGGAGTAGACCCCTCTCTCAATGTATGTCTCACCAGGTGTTGGTTATTATTGATTCTCTAATCTGTTGGTGAATCGACAACCTCCGAGACGACTACTGGTGTGATTTAGGGCTACACAAAAACACATTGAAACCAAAAGGGTATATAAAGCTTGTATACAGTTTGCATGGGTATATGAAGTTTGTATATATAGTCTATATATATATATATATATATTATATATATATATATATAGCCTGTATATAGTCTGCACATATATATAATTATATGGTATAAAGTTTGTATATAGTCTGCATGGGTATATACTGTATAGCCTGTATATAGTTATATATATATATATATATATATATATATATATATATATATATATATATATAGCCTGTATATAAAGTGTGTATATAGTCTGTGTGTGTGTATAAAGTGTGTATATAAAGTGTGTATATAGTCTGTATGTGTGTATAAAGTGTGTATAATAACGTCCGCACCTTGAGCCTGCAGTACAGCGTGGTCAGGACCAGTCCGTACAGGAAGAGGATTCCGTCCAGAATATAACAGAGCTCCGGCTCATGAAGAGTGTTGGCCGCTGAAAAACACCAAACACTGAGAAAACACTGAGAAAACACTGAGAAAACACCGAGAACACACCGAGAAAACACAGAGACAACACTGAGACAGCACTGAGGCAACACTGAGACAACACTGAGACAACACTGAGACAACACTGAGACAGCACTGAGACAACACTGAGACAACACTGAGACAACACTGAGACAACACTGAGACAACACTGAGACAGCACTGAGACAACACTGAGACAACACTGAGACAACACTGAGACAACACTGAGACAACACTGAGACAACACTGAGACAACACTGAGACAACACTGAAACAGCACTGAGACAGCACTGAGACAACACTGAGACAACACCGAGACAACACCGAGACAACACTGAGACAACACTGAGACAGCACTGAGACAACACCGAGACAACACGGAGACAGCACTGAGACAACACAGAGACAACACGGAGACAACACTGAGACAACACTGAGACAACACTGAGACAACACCGAGACAGCACTGAGACAACACTGAGACAACACTGAGACAACACCGAGACAACACGGAGACAGCACTGAGACAACACTGAGACAACACGGAGACAGCACTGAGACAACACTGAGACAGCACTGAGACAACACTGAGACAACACTGAGACAACACTGAGACAACACAGAGACAACACTGAGACAACACTGAGACAACACTGAGACAACACTGAGACAACACAGAGACAACACTGAGACAACACTGAGACAACACTGAGACAACACTGAGACAACACTGAGACAACACTGAGACAACACTGAGACAGCACTGAGACAACACTGAGACAACACCGAGACAACACAGAGACAACACACTGAGACAACCAAAAGGATCAAAGCTACGTCACACCCTGGAAATATTAAAACAGTCTACTTCACATAAAACAAGTACATAAATTAAACTCCTAATTATAAAAATGATCTCTTCTTCTTCTTTTAAATGATAACACTGATAATAACACATCAGACGTCTGTAGCACTGTTTTTGACACGCAAAGACGCTTCACAAAACATACAAAAATAAACTTTGAACTACAAAATGAAGGAAAGGCTATGTGGTTGAGATAGTTCTAAAGTTTTGTAATGAGTCTGACTTTCCAAGCCGGGGGCAGCTGCGGCAGCGAAGGCTCGGTCCCCCAGGGGTCGGTGTTTGGTCCTGAGGTGCTTTGTGAGGAGGTCTGAGTCTGTGGGTCTGAGGCGGTGGGCGGGACAGTGAAGATGGAGAAGGTCAGTGAGGTATGGAGGAGGAGGTTATTGAGGGACGAGTACGTGAAGAAGAAGAGGAGCTTGTTTTAGATGCGGAATGGAACAGTAATTTATTTTTGCCAGATTAATGGGACATTTTTCCCTTTGTCTTAAAACCACTCTGTGTAAATTTTACAGTTGCTCTAAATGAAAAAAACATGACCTTTTTTAAGAATATTTACCTCCATGTTTTTTAATTGTTGTTATAGACTTAGAATCTGAATTATAAATGTCCATGAGGCTGGAGGACTCTTTGTGTCAATCGTCCATCTTGAAGTACAGTGGTTGATGAGGGACAAAAAGGAGTTTGAGCGGGAGTCGGGGACCACTGTCAAAGACCACATATTGTCCTGTGAAGCCACCGTAGTACCGCAGATTACAATAAATGATCTCAATGCTAGATATGAGTAAAATCTACACAGTGTAACATTTATGGACATTTATCAACACTTATGGATCAATACCAACGGGTTTTCTGTTTGATTCTCTGATCTTTGTTGGAAAATTCAACAGTTTTGTAAAGATATAAACTACTGTTTCTTTGTGAATTACGGCTATACAAAAATAAATTGAATTGAAATTGAATTATAATTTAGTCCACAACTGCTGCTTCTATTAAAGTGAGAGAGTCTGGAACTCTAAATGAATTACAAATTTTAATAATTGTATGAAATTGACCTTATAAAATAATTTATATAAAATAATTTATTTTATTGTGGTCATGAGCTTTGGGTAATGACCGAAAGAACGAGTTCGCGGATACAAGCGGTTGAAATGAGCTTCCTCCGCAGAGTGGCTGGGCGCTCCCTTAGAGATAGGGTGAGGAGCTCAGTCACACGGGAGGAGCTCGGAGTAGAGCCGCTGCATCTTCACGTTGAGAGGAACCAGTTGAGGTGGCTCGGGCATCTGTTCAGGATGCCTCCTGGACACCTCCCTGGGGAGGTGTTCCGGGCACGTCCCACTGGGAGGAGGCCCCGGGGAAGACCCAGGACACGCTGGAGGGACTATGTCTCTCAGCTGGCCTGGGAACGCCTTGGGGTCCCCCCAGACGAGCTGGAGGAAGTGTGTGTGGATAGGGAAGTCTGGGCGTCTCTGCTTAGACTGCTGCCCCCGCGACCCGGCAACGGATGAAGCGGAAGAAGATGGATGGATGGAATGGAATTTATTTTATTAATTCTAATATTACGGGTAAGTCCCGCCTTCCCTTCTCTTAGCTATAGCTCAGAATCCACGATGCCGTCCATGATAACCAATCGAGTAATGCCAAGGGCTGTCAATCATTGCGCCGATGCTCGCAGCTGCGCGCATGCGCAGTTGTTTGTTTTTACTGAGCCTCCGATTCAAGCTTGTATAGGCTCTGGAACTATCCATATTCAGATGTGTCCTATAATGTGCAATTAATGATAATAGCTTCTTCCGGGTTTGCCGCAATCGCTTTTTTTGTGCATAAAAACATTATTTTTTTAAATGAAAACGTTAACAAATAATTCTGAAAACCTCCGTGCATGTGTATTAATAATGTAAATGTATGATGTGTTCTCTCATTAACATTTAAATGTGTAACGGAAACGTAGGCGTAGACCAATCAGAAAGGAAGGGTGAGGAGCTTGTGTGGTTTTTTTCAAATCAAGTACCTCTCTCTCTTTTTTTCTGACAAACTCCAGACAATCACTTTAAATAAAATGGAAAACAAATCATAAATAAGTTGCCTTGCGTATGAATTGTGCTATACAAATAAGCTTGCGCAATACAAAGACATATGGTGTCTAGAACTGTCGTGTGAACTTTTTATTTTCTGTGCATAGACTGACACTTGACAAGAATATAAAACAGTGCTTTTGAGTTGGTAAAAAAAAAAATATATATATATAAGGGGTCCCAGTGTGCTCCCTTGTGGTACCCCATTACAAGAATTCCCAGAATTCAAAATTTAAATTAAAGATTTTCAAAAACAGATTTGTCTAAACTTGATGTCTTCCGGTCACAGGAATGAGTCACTTGCATGAAAATATAAATCAGCCTTTTCTAGGAGTTATCTAAGTAGAAACGGATAAAGCAGAAGTCGACAGAAGTGAGAAAAGCAGAAAGATGTCACTTCGCCGTGTCATAGTTAACGCAACACTTTTCCAAAAAAAAAATAGGGAACTGGTCAAAAGACTTCCACAAAAACCGACAGAATAAGCTGAAAGGAGATGGAAAGTTACAGTATATTTATTCAAATTTCTGGACCATCCCGCTCCCTTTGGACCAACGGACCCTGTTTGTTTGTTTTTACTGCTTTCCCTGTGTTCGGGTTTGATTCTCTGTTCTGTTTTTGGTCAATAGTTTGTAACTTCCTGTTGGGTACAATGGTAAAGAAATTCTGATTTGGTTTCCACCGCCCCGTTTACGTACATCGTCAACAAATGACAGTAAATGCAATAAAAACTACAGTAAATGAAATAAAAACTACAGTATTTATAAATGTGAATATGTAATAGTGAATATTGGCCGTGAATATCAAGGCCACTCAAAGAATCTAGCTAAAAAGTAGTTTTGTGTGTATTTTAAAACAACAATTTTGAAACAACTGAAGACACATTTAAAAATATCTCCAAAAAAAAAATTACGCGTTTTCTATCGTTGAACTTTGCACTTTTTAGCAGCTTTTTGCACTCACCTGCTCTCCCAAAGAACAACCACAGGGGCAGGATAGAGGCCAACGCTCTGGGACATCCCATGTTGCTTCACACTGGTTCAGGGCTGGGTTTGGACTGGGTCTTGGGTCTGGACTGGGTCTGGACGCGGACTGGTCGTCTCTCTGCTCTTTCTGTCTCTTTGCGTTTCTGTCGTCTCTCAGTCAGAGGGAAGTTGTGGTTGGCAGAAGTGTGAAGTCCATCTCTCTCAGATCTCGTCAGAGCCCTCCCCTTTGAAGACACAAAACCACCAAAAACACATACACACACAAACATGGCAACACTCTTGACTCTTCCTATTTGAGAAGCAGACCAATTTTACAACTGCATAAATCCACGAACAGACGATAAAATGGACCAATATAGAAAAAAGTGCTCAGACTGAGACTATATTACGCTAAAGCTATACATTTTATACTAGCTTCTTTACTATGCTAAAGAATTGCTGAGATTTTAGACATTCTTCTTTAGATATTCTTTATTGATCCCTGTAGGAGAAATTCAAGTGTCCAGTAACAGCAATAATAAAAATAAAGTTGATCATTCTCAAAAGCTAACAAGAGTACTAATCAGCGTCCTTCAGGTCACAGCAGCAGAGGTGGAGTAGCCTCTGGGTGGAGTAGGACGGGTCACAGCAGCAGAGGTGGAGTAGCCTCTGGGTGGAGCAGGAGGGTCAAAGCAGCAGAGGTGGAGTAGCCTCTGGGTGGAGCAGGAGGGTCAAAGCAGCAGAGGTGGAGTAGCCTCTGGGTGGAGCAGGAGGGTCAAAGCAGCAGAGGTGGAGTAACCTCTGGGTGGAGCAGGACAGGTCACAGCAGCAGAGGTGGAGTAGCCTCTGGGTGGAGCAGGACGGGTCACAGCAGCAGAGGTGGAGTAGCCTCTGGGTGGAGCAGGACGGTCACAGCAGCAGAGGTGGAGTAGCCTCCTCATTTTAGCTACACATTTTATACTTGCTTCTTTATTATGCTAAAGCTGGAGATTTAAGGTGACAGTGGCTCAGTTGGTAGAGCATTGGCCCTTGGGCCTGAAAGTCGTGGGTTTGATTCCATCGAGACAAACTCCAACTGCTCCCTCTGCTGTTGTTGTGTCCTTGGGCAAGACACTTAGCCCCCAGGTTGCCTGAAACACCAAGGCTGTGTCATTGCTGACGGAGCAGCAGCCATCTAGACCCACCACTGGTTTATTTATTATGCTAAAGCTAGAGACTTTATACTAGCTTCTTTATTATGCTATAGGTACAGATTTATTTTAGAATAGTTATTTTTATGTATCTCCCCCCTGGACTGCCACCTTAACGTGGTGGGGGAGTTTGAGTACTCGGATGATCCTGGGAGCTATGCTGTCTGGGGCTTCATGCCCCTGGTAGGGCCTCCCATGGCAGACAGGTCTCAGGTGACGAGTCAGACGAAGCGCAGTCCAAAAACCACCATGGATCGCACTATAACGAGAGCAGTGACGTCGCCCGGCATGGCGCAGCCGGGGCCCCACCCTGGAGCCAGGCCTGGGGTCGGGGCTCGTATGCGAGCGCCTGGTGGCCGGGCCTTAGCCCACGGGGCCCGGCCGGGCTCAGCCCGAAGGGATGACGTGGGCAGTCCCTCCTGTGGGCCCACCACCTGCAGAGGGGTCCGTGGTGGCGCGGTGCTGAGAGGACTGGGCGGCAGTCGAAGGCGGAGACCTCGGCGACCCAGTCCGCACACACAACATCTGGCTCTTGGGACGTGGAACGTCACCTCACTGGGGGGGAAGGAGCCCGAGCTCGTGGGGGAGGTTGAGCGATACCGACTAGAGATAGTCGGCCTCACCTCCACACACAGCTTGGGCTCTGGAACCCAACTCCTTGAGAGGGGTTGGACGCTCCACTTTTCTGGAGTTTCCCGCAGGGAGAGGCGGCGAGCTGGGGTGGCCATTCTCATTGCCCCCCATCTCAGCCGCCATGTGTTGGAGTTCTCCCCGGTGAATGAGAGGGTCGCGTCCCTCCGCCTCCGGGTGGGGGACAAGTCTCTCATTGTTGTGACGGCCTACGGGCCTAACAGCAGTGCAGAGTACCCGGCCTTCTTGGAGTCCTTGGGAGGGGGTACTGGACGGTGCACCGCCCGGGGACTCCGTCATTCTCCTGGGGGACTTCAACGCCCATGTGGGAGGCGCCAGTGACACTTGGAGAGGGGTGATCGGAAAGAACGGCCCCCCTGATTTGAACCCGAGCGGTGTTCAGTTGTTGGACTTCTGTGCCAGTCACAGTTTGTCCATCACGAACACCATGTTCGAGCACAAGGGTGTCCACCAGTGCACGTGGCACCAGGACACCCTAGGCCGGAGGTCGATGATCGACTTTGTTGTCGTATCATCTGACCTTCGACCGCTTGTCTCGGACACTCGGGTAAAGAGAGGGGCGGAGCTGTCAACCGATCATCACCTGGTCGTGAGTTGGATCCGCTGGCAGGGGAAGAAGCCGGTCAGACCTGGCAGACCCAAGCGTATAGTGAGGGTCTGCTGGGAACGTCTCGCTGAGCCCCCTGTCTGACGGACTTTCAACTCGCACCTCCGGGAGAGTTTCTCCCAGGTCCCGGCGGAGGAGGGAGACATGGAGTCCGAGTGGACCATGTTCTCTGCCTCAATCGCCGATGCGGCGGCTCGTAGCTGTGGTCGCAAGGTCTCTGGTGCTGGTCCCGGCGGCAACCCCCGAACCCGGTGGTGGACACCGGCAGTAAGGGATGCTGTCAGGCTGAAGAAGGAGTCCTATCGAGCCATGATGGTTCGGGGGACTCCTGAGGCAGCTGTCCAGTACCGGCAGGCCAAGCGTGCCGCGGCCCGGGCTGTTGCAGAGGCAAAAACCCGGGACTGGGAGGAGTTCGGAGAGTCCATGGAGCATGACTATCGGTCGGCCTCGAAGAGATTCTGGCAAACCATCCGGCGCCTCAGGAGGGGGAAGCAGTTCTTTGCCAACACCATGTACGGTGCGGGTGGAGAGCTGCTGACCTCGACTGGGGATATTGTCGGGCGGTGGAAGGAATACTTTGAGGTTCTCCTCAATCCCCCCGTCACGTCCTCTGTTACAGAGGCAGAGGCTGAGGATGTTGGGGCGGATACATCTATCTCCCTGGCTGAGGTCACCAAGGTGGTTGGTAGCCTCCATGGTGGCAAGGCTCCGGGTGTGGATGAGATCCGCCCTGATTATCTAAAGTCTCTGGATGTTGTAGGACTGTCTTGGCTGACACGTCTCTGCAACATCGCGTGGCGATCGGGGGCAGTGCCAATGGAGTGGCAGACCGGGGTGGTGGTCCCTCTCTACAAGAAGGGGGACCGGAGGGTGTGTTCCAATTATCGTGGGATCACACTCCTCAGCCTCCCCGGTAAGGTCTACTCCAGGGTACTGGAGAGGAGGTTACGGCCGATGGTCGAATCTCGGATCCAGGAGAAGCAGTGTGGTTTTCGTCCCGGTCGCGGAACACTGGACCAGCTCTATACTCTCCATCGGATACTCGAGGGTTCATGGGAGTTCGCCCAACCTGTCCACATGTGTTTTGTGGATTTGGAGAAGGCGTTCGACTGTGTTCCCCGGGGTGTCCTTTGGGGGGTTCTCCGGGAGTACGGGGTCGGGGGTCCTCTGCTGAGGGCCATTCGATCCCTGTATGACCGGAGCCAGAGCTGTGTTCGCATTGCCGGCAGTAAGTCAGACCTGTTCCCGGTGAATGTTGGCCTCCGACAGGGCTGCCCTTTGTCACCGGTTCTGTTCACTGTATTTATGGACAGAATATCTAGGCGCAGCCAGGGGTCGGAGGGGGTCCGGTTCGGAGACCACAGGATTTCATCTCTGCTGTTTGCGGACGATGTTGTCCTGTTGGCTCCAACGAACCAGGACCTGCAACATGCACTGGGGCGGTTTGCAGCCGAGTGTGAAGCGGCTGGGATGAGAATCAGCACCTCCAAATCTGAGGCCATGGTGCTCGACCGGAAAAAGGTGCCTTGCCCTCTGCAGGTGGGTGGAGAGGTCCTTCCTCAAGTGGAGGAGTTCAAGTATCTCGGGGTCTTGTTCACGAGTGAGGGAAGAATGGAGCGTGAGATTGACAGGCGGATCGGTGCAGCGTGCGCAGTGATGCGGTCGCTGTATCGGACCGTTGTGGTAAAGAGGGAGCTGAGCCGAAAGGCAAAGCTCTCGATTTACCGGTCAATCTTCGTTCCCTCCCTCACCTATGGTCATGAGCTTTGGGTAATGACCGAAAGAACGAGATCGCGGATACAAGCGGTCGAAATGAGCTTCCTCCGCAGAGTGGCTGGGCGCTCCCTTAGAGATAGGGTGAGGAGCTCAGTCACACGGGAGGAGCTCGGAGTAGAGCCACTGCTTCTCCACGTCGAGAGGAACCAGTTGAGGTGGCTCGGGCATCTGTTCCGGATGCCTCTTGGACGCCTCCCTGGGGAGGTGTTCCGGGCACGTCCCACCGGGAGGCGGCCCCGCGGAAGACCTAGGACACGCTGGAGGGACTATGTCTCTCAGCTGGCCTGGGAACGCCTTGGGGTCCCCCCGGACGAGCTGGAGGAAGTGTGTGTGGATAGGGAAGTCTGGGCGTCTCTGCTTAGACTGCTGCCCCCGCGACCCGACAACGGATAAAGCGGAAGAAAATGGATGGATGGATGGATGGATTTTTATGTATCATGTGCTCCTCTTTCCTACTGGTCTGTAACTTGTGATGCAACACTGAAATTTCCCCACACAAGGACAAATACTGGACCTGTTCATCTTAAACTACACAAACCATTCTTTAGTCACATCAGAAAAGTAGGAATGTAAAATAAATATATCTTAGCGACACACCGTCCTGGAAAAGTCCCTTTACTAATGCTATTTGTAAACAGAGAGACGGAGGACAGAGTGGAGTTGTCAAATATTTATTGGTTTTTGGAGCATTGTACAGTAATATTAGAAGAAAACAAAACTAGGCCGAACAGAAAGAAACCGGAAGAGGCCGGTCTTCAGCGGTCAACTTCACCAAACACGATGTCCTGGGTGCCTGCGGGAAACACAATCAGATTAAGAGTTAGTGGTTGAAAAACACAGAAGGAAATGTGTGACATTATATATTAGAGCTGCAACTAACGATTATTTTGTAATTGATTAATCTATCGATTATTTTTACAATTAATCGAGTAATCGCTTGCCTGTGAATTGTGTAGAAAAAAAATATTTTTTCATCACAAAAAGCTAAAGTGGCAACACTCGAGGACGTATTGATGGCGTAAACTTAAAGTAAATGTTTGTAACAGGCTCTTTGTGCTAATTCTGCTATCTGATTGGATGAGACAGACAGATATTCATGAAATTATAAAAACAAAGTCGGTTTTAATCAAAAATACTACATTTTCATGTCATTTTTGCTCTGTTTGAGTCCGTGTGAACCAGAAAACGATTAATCGATTACTAAAATAGTTGTCGACTATTTCAATAATCGATTAGTCGTCGATTAATTGATTAGTTGTTTCAGCCCTATTATATATAAAGATAAATTATGATTTTCGGGGAAGTTTGAGTTTATTTGAGGCTCAGATCGCACCGATACCCGGGATAGAGATAAAAATAATGCAATCCTAGATCATATAAACTTTTTTTTTTTTTTTTTTTATAAAAATAAACTTTAACTGTTCTCGGTGTGTTTGCATGTTGTGACCTGCCTTAGGACAATGGATGCAATTTAGCTTTTGTGCCAATACCATTTATGTTGACGCAATTTACCGATACATCAATATACAGTGCCTTGCGAAAGTATTCAGCCCCCTTCAACCTTTCAACATTTTGCCACATTTCAGGCTTCAGGCAGGTCCGAGATACTGTTGTGGAGAAGTTTAAAGCCGGATTTGTATACAAAAAGATTTCCCAAGCTTTAAACATCTCAAGGAGCACTGTGCAAGCAATTATATTGAAATGGAAGGAGTATCAGACCACTGCAAATCTACCAAGACCCGGCCGTCCCTCCAAACTTTCATCTCAAACAAGGAGAAGACTGATCAGAGATGCAGCCAAGAGGCCCATGATCACTCTGGATGAACTGCAGATAACTACAGCTGAGGTGGGAGAGTCTGTCCATAGGACAACAATCAGTCGTGTACTGCACAAATCTGGCCTTTATGGAAGAGTGGCAAGAAGAAAGCCATTTCTCAAAGATATCCATAAAAAGTCTTGTTTAAAGTTTGCCACAAGCCACCTGGGAGACACACCAAACATGTGGAAGAAGGTGCTCTGGTCAGATGAAACCAAAATCGAACTTTTTGGCCACAATGCAAAACTATATGTTTGGAGTAAAAGCAACACAGCTCATCACCCTGAACATACCATCCCCACTGTCAAACATGGTGGTGGCACTGTGGCAGCATCATGTTTTGGGCCTGCTTTTCTTCAGCAGGGACAGGGAAGATGGCTAAAATTGATGGGAAGATGGATGGAGCCAAATACAGGACCATTCTGGAAGAAAACCTGTTGGAGTCTGCAAAAGACCTGAGACTGGGACGGAGATTTATCTTCCAACAGGACAATGATCCAAAACATAAAGCCAAATCTACAATGGAATGGTTCACAAATAGACGTATCCAGGTGTTAGAATGGCCAAGTCAAAGTCCAGACCTGAATCCAATCGAGAATCTGTGGAAAGAGCTGAAGATTGCTGTTCACAAACGCTCTCCATCCAACCTCACTGAGCTCGAGCTGTTTTGCAAGGAAGAATGGGCAAGAATTCCAGTCTCTCGATGTGCAAAACTGATAGAGACATACCCAAAGTGACTTGCAGCTGTAATTGCAGCAAAAGGTGGCGCTACAAAGTATTAGCGCAAGGGGGCCGAATAATATTGCACGCCCCACTTTTCAGTTTTTTATTTGTTAAAAAAGTTTAAATTATCCAATAAATTTCGTTCCACTTCACGATTGTGTCCCACTTGTTGTTGATTCTTGACAAAAAAAAATATTTTTTATATCTTTATGTTTGAAGCCTGAAATGTGGCGAAATGTTGAACGGTTCAAGGGGGCCGAATACTTTCGCAAGGCACTGTATATGATGCGATCTGGAAAAACCCATCACATGGAAAAATTTGACCATCAAGATTCTGATACCATCTTAAAGCTGCTTTAAATCTCTTTTCAAATCTGTTTTCCTTTTTTGCACAGCAGGTCTGTAACAAATGTCATAATTATCTGAAGTCAGCTCATTAACATGGTTTTATGAAACGGAATTTTGAGAAAAACAGGTTTAAAGATAGACATTCTAAATAGAATCACCACAAAAAATATAACATGTTAAATTTTATTTACTTTGTTATGGCACACACTTATTTTAGTCACTACGTTGTAAAAGATTAAAAATTTTACTTTGGCACAAAGCAAACACAAAACACTCAAGAATTAGATGAAAATCAAGAATGTATTTATTCAACATTCAATTATTTGAATTTACGTAACTTTTCCTCTTTTTTTGTGTCTAAGTTACTGTACATTATATATGTATTAGACAATGCCAGTATTATTCTATCATTATGCAGTATATTATCAAATCACACAGTATAAATATCCAATCTCAGCCCAAAAAGTCTAAAGGGGAAAATTAGGTACCCAAGCTTTAATTTTGTGAGTTTTGGTTGCGCATAGGAGACACGGGGGAGACCTGCACTTGCAACAAGCAGGGGATGGTCCTGGTCCTGGCAGTGCGTTCGCTGAGCTGTTACCAAAGCGGCCGCTTCAATTTATCAAAACATATCACAATTTTTAATGTATAAAACTAGTGAATTTCACCTAGATATTTACAAAAATTAAAGACAAGATGTTATATAATAATTATTTAATGAAAAGCCAATTTTGCCAAAAAAATGACAATCAACCCATTATTACTGTTTACTCGAAAGTTCCAGCGCGACATCCGACGGGTTTTCCCAGATCGCATCACATATAATGTCCTCCATTCAAATAGATAAATAAGTAAAATAATAAGTAAAAATTTAATATATATCAGGCAGAACACAACATTACAATACAGTACAACATTTGGAGAGGTCAGCGTCTGTATAATACTTAATAATTAAAAATGTACATTCTGGACTATAAGCCGCTTCTTTTCTATAGTGATTCGAACCCTGTATGAAGTTCATTACGTCTCCTTACGTTTATTGAAGACAAAAGTGTGAGCAGTACCAACTTCTTAGACTTCTAAGTATTATTTGAACCCTGCGGCTTATATAGCGATGCGGCTAATGCGTGTTTATGGACTGATTATGTTGACTCCATGAAGTTTTAGTAGCCACAGGATTCTTGTTTATTGTCAAAACAGTCTTTCCAACCTTTACGCCCACTGTTTACATATTTTCAAGCAACTTACCCAACACGGAAGGACACATTTCCTGAATCGATAGCGTAATTTTTCAGTTTTTCTGGATGTGTCATGGATGCTGAGGCTTATATGTGGACAACATTGATTATCTATTCAAATGTAGGTGGTGCGGCTTATAGTCCAGACAGTATGGTATGTGAGCTTTATTAGTATTCTAGTGACATTGCTTTAAATCCGTTAAATCCGTTAACTTTATTCTATTATTTATTGTCTTCTTGTTTGTTCTGTTTAAGGTTGCACTTTTGTGTTTTTGTTTTTATTACGTTTTTGGTTTTTTTTGTTATGTTTGTGTTGAATGTGAAAGTGTTTGAATGTTTTGTTGTCTTTAAAATATATATATATATATTTTTATTAAACCTGTCAAGCTTTCCCTCATAACTATTTAATATGCTAAAGCTAGAGATTCTATGCTAGCTTCTTTATTATGCTAAAGCTAGAGATTCTATGCTAGCTTCTTTATTATGCTAAAGCTAGAGATTCTATGCTAGCTTCTTTATTATGCTAAAGCTAGAGATTTTATACTAGCTTCTTTATTATGCTAAAGCTAGAGATTTTATACAAGCTTCTTTATTATGCTAAAGCTAGAGATTTTATACAAGCTTCTTTATTATGCTAAAGCTAGAGATTTTATACAAGCTTCTTTATTATGCTAAAGCTAAGATTTTATACTAGCTTCTTTATTATGCTAAAGCTAGAGATTTTATACTAGCTTCTTTATTATGCTAAAGCTAAGATTTTATACTAGCTTCTTTATTATGCTAAAGCTAGAGATTTTATACAAGCTTCTTTATTATGCTAAAGCTAAGATTTTATACTAGCTTCTTTATGATGTTAAAGCTACAGATTATAGACTTCCTTCTTTATTATAATAACGGTTTATGGTGTGGAGTGGTGTAAAGTTTAGTCATGTAGAAGTTCTTTCCTTCTTACCAATAATAGCGACTACATCCGCCAGCATGTGTCCTTTGGCCATTTTGTCCAGTCCGGCCTGAGGGAAAATCACATCAAAATCAAGTTCAAGAATAAACCGGATTCTGAATGGGCGGCCATTTTGTTGGTTACCAGGTGAGCGAATCCCGGGGCTTTGATCTTGCAGCGGTACGGTCTGCTGGAGCCGTCTGACACCAGGTACACACCAAACTCACCCTGGGAAAAACACATATTGTTTATTTTATACGTTATAAGAAGACCTTGGTTTGAGACGACCATAAACCACACAAAAACACTGCATTGATTCTGTGGAAGTCAGAGAAGAGAAGAACTGACTGTGGCCGTGTTTGTGGTCAAATAAAACTGAATTATTTTGTTGAACTTGTGATACTAAAGGTTTATTCTGTGAAATAGATTCTCCTCAGATTCAGACTCATTTATTTGCCATTTGCAGTAAAACCACATTGAAATAAATGTGTAAAAGTCCCCAGTGTGCACAAAACAAGTACATACATAAAAACAGATTTAAAATACATAAAACTTTAAACAATTGTCTCTGTGACATAGCTCGACTAAAACAGGTTCAATACAAAGATCATTAAAGTGCTCTGTTCAAACTGATAACAGCTTGTGGGAAGAAGCTGTTAGCATGTTAGCATATCGAGATGTCCTGCATCTCAGAGAACGATATCTTCTGCCAGAAGGAAGAAGCTGGAACATGGCTTTTTCAGGTGGCCAGAAGAGTTGTTGATTATTCTAGATGCTCGGTTTAAAAGTCTGCCTAATGAGAATAGATTAATAATACATTTCTTCCATTCCTTTTCTAAATATCAACACCCATTAGAGAAATATAATTTAGCTGAATAGAGACTCCATAAGTTTGTTTGTAATCTTTATTTACATAGCACCTTTCTGATCAGAGTCAAAGCGGTTTACAATTGTGGGCATTTGTCTCTCACTCCACAGAGATGGGAGCGGGGCCAGTACAGGAGGCACAGACCTATTGTACATGTTTTTAGTGATAGGGGAAATCGGAGCAACCGGAGGAAACCTACGAAGACTTCACAATATGCATTTTGACTCAGAATCAGCGAAGATTTACAATGCTCTAAACGAGGAGATTTACTTCCTGTCTCTGTACATTTGTCATCTGTACATTGTCGTTTGTAGCGTTTATATTTGTTCTCGTCTGCTATGTTTTAATATGGACCTTGTGTGTGTCTGAGTGAAAGACTTAATAATAATAATAATAAACCTTAGGGGCCTCCACAGCTGTGTAGGTGGCCCCCGGTGGGACCTGGTATCCCTCTGTGTACAGCTTAAAGTGGTGGATCAGGGACTCCATGGAGGTCTGTGGAGGAGAGAGCAGACAGAGCAGAGTCAGAGAGGACCGGGGCCAGAGGAAACTAGTCCAAACCAGTCCAGGACTAAACCACAGATCTTCTATCTTCCTATTGCAACTTCACATCCTCAGTCGTGGAAAACCAACCTGTCAAAACTAAATTAAAATTAAATTAAATACTCAAACCTCATGTATCGTGACGCTACACTTTGTGCACCTGTAACTCTTGTTGTAAAGAGCTCAAGCTACACTTTTCCAGGAGTATTTTTTGCCAAATTTGAACAAAAACGTATTCGATTTTTATACATTTTGAATAGTGCTTTCAATTGTACCAAAGAAAACCAAAAAGGGCTTTGTCTAGTTTTCCTTGAAAGTGACGCTAGAACAACTAGAGCAGGGGCGTCAAAGTAGTCCACAAAGACTCCACCCATTTCCTCAGATGAGTCCAGTTTAAGATTTTCTTATTGATTCAATCAGCAGTTCTTACATCAACAATTTACACAATGGTTTACAATTTAACATAATGAAGAAAAACAAAAGAACAGTTTAGAAGCAGATAAAGGGGTCCGACATTTCCAATAGTCTTCAAATCTGTCATCGGTGAGTTCAGCTTTAACCTGAAGATTTGAGGAGATGTGGAGTCTGCTTTGCTCCTGCTCAGGTTGGAATGAAAACCTGCAGCCACACTGAGCCTTTGAGGAACGGTTTGACACCTCAGAGCTAGAGGAAGTGGCAGTAATAAGTAAATAATGCACTAGGGGGGAAGGGGGGACTGGACTGGACTGGACTGGAATCTTGATGGTCCACTTTGAGAACAATGAGTTTCATGCAGTTTCAGGTGGAAAAGTAAACGCTAAACACTTTCTACAACTTCCCCTGTGTTCAGAGGGTCACTACACACACACCTACAGACACACAGACACAAACAGAGAGACACACACACACACTACAGTACCTTCATCTCCGCTCTCTTTGGTGGAGCCACTTTGGCGTCGTCCACTTTGATCTCTCCCTCTGGCATCTTGTTCAGGGCCTGGATCATGATTCTGAGAGACTGTCTCATTTCCTCCACACGACACAGGTATCTGCAACACACACACACACACATATATAAAGACACACACAGACATATGTTACACTGACCCACATTCACTTCCTGGAGACAGATTTAAACAGAAAACTTGTACCCATAATATTCTGTAAGTGTATTTTACGTTTACAGGTCTTTCTAGATCATTACAACTGCATTTAAACTACTGCGGGAATGAACAAAACAGAAAAAAGAAAAGACACACACAAAGACACAGACACACAAACAGAGACACACACACAGAGACACAGACACACAAACAGAGACACAGAGACACACACACAGGTCTTGCTAGCTCATCACAACTGCCTTTAAACTGCTGCCGGAATTAACACAACAGAAGAGCGAAGATGAAAAGTCAGATTAAACTGCCTCATGTGTGACTTCCTCTTGTGCATCCCTTAAACATGTCACTTTTAGATTAGATTATGAGCTGGATTACTGCTCAATAATTTTTGGTGTTTTATGTAAATTGTTAATGGAACCAGAGTTTTTTAGAGGACCAGTCTTGATACGCTGTGATGAGGATGGCGTGTTGTTTAGACCAGGGTTGCTCCTCACCACAGGGGAGACAGGAGGGAGTCAAAGTAAAAAGTGAAAGTTAGGACACCAGGGAACACTGTCATAATGGAATATTAAAAGTTTGTCATCCACGTGGATTTGCAAACATATTATTTCCAGGGACAAAAGAGTAGCCCAAGCAACAGCCCAAACTCTGGATATAAAGCCAGTCCGTCCTCTCTCAATCAGGTTTCTAACTTTTTCCTTTACCGTTTTTTTGTCACTCCCTGAGGACAGTGATGGTCCAGGACATTTATGGACATCCTGCTCCCTATGAACCAATGCATTCTGGGTGTTTGTTATCATTGCATTTCCTGTGTTTGAGCGGTTTGATTCCATGAAATACATTTACATTACAGTGATTGAAATTGTCCTTTGTGTGACTTGTGTAGTTTCATAACCTTCTTCACCTGACCCATATGTAAGCAACGCGTTAGATCCAAATAGGGCTGAGCAATACATTGAATTTAGGCAATTAATCAGCTTTTGAAAAAAATCGAATCAGTGAAAAATGTTAAAATTGTGAAATCGAAAAGGATATTGTGAGAGTTCCAGCAGCACATGCGATACTTGCGATATCAGCACAGTCTGTACTAGACTTCTATAATACGTATTGGGGGAAACAAAAAATAGTTTTTAAACTTGAATATTTAGCGGAAAGATGAAAAAATAATTAAAGGGCAAAGTCTGTCTTCGGTGACTTTAATGAAAATTGATTTAAAATTGAAATAGTCTAAAGCAGGAAATAAAATCGAGATTTTACTTTTTTGCCATATCGCCCAGCCCTAAATCCAAATGACCACTACCACAAGAGATTTTTAGGAGCAGGAGCTGTGTGTTTTATCCCCGAGTTCACAATTCCAGCCATTTGTCACAGAAAATCACATATATATTGTCCATAACTGTCTTTTCTCTGTGTGCAGCAGTGTATGCACCTGTCGTAGCAGTCTCCCCTGGTCCCGATGGGGACGTCGAACTCCACCTGGTCGTATTTGTCGTACGGCTGAGACTTCCTCAGGTCCCACTTGATGCCAGAGCCGCGCAGCATCACTCCACTGCACAGACCCACGGGACAAGAAAATATGAGGTGAAATAAAACACTTTAGGTCATACTTTAAAGATCCAGTCCATGATTTTATCCAGATGCATTTTTTTAAAATATTGTGAGAAAACGTCCCTAAACCCTAAAACAACAACAAGTAGTCAAGAAATCATGTGTTTTCCAATAGTAATGGAATTGACCAGATGTCTATAGTCTCCAAAAATGTATACAAAATATTTTGGAGCGGACCAATAAAAATAAACCAAAGGGATTCGTTCATCCACAACGAATGGGATTCGTTTACCCCCTTCACCCTCTTCCATTTTTTCACGAGTGCACCGGAGTTATCAGATTTTCTAAGACCGCAAATTTAGCTGAACAGAAAATGCCAATTTCACGTTTGCCGCCCACTCTCCCTGTTGTGACAAAGAAAAGAAAATGCTGGATGTTTGGTTTGGTGGAGAGGCGAGGGGAGGGGGAAGTGGTTTCCAGTTGGTGCTACGGCTAAGCTAACAAAATCACTTCCTGCACCTTTAAGTTGTGTTTGAGACACTGTTAGATAAACCTGAGTGACTTATTTTTCTTCTTTGATCCATCACTCCACCTCTAGCACGGGAGTAGCACATTTGGTCCTGTACTTTATGACTGAACCAAACAAGATTAGAAACACACCTGAATCCGTAGTTGAGAGCGTCCTCCGCAGTCACCACTCCGATGTCCACCGTTCGATTCTTCCAAATACGGTTGTTCGTCAGCATCTGGAGCACAAGCAAATCAGAGCTTAAGGAAAAAGCCATAAAAGTATAAAGATGATGCGAACGCGCTAGCTCACTCTGCTCCTATTGATTTACATGAAAGCTTCTCAGGCTCAGTAACCGTTTGTGTCACACGCACCATTTAGGACTTAACGATAATCCAAGTGTTTACATTTTGATAAAGTTTTTCTGTAATAAGGATATGATGCTTTCGTTCAACCGACCCGGCAACCGATCGGCCAACCCAACCCAGCAACCTAAACCGGCAACCCAACCCGGCAACCTAAACTGGCAAACCACACCCGGCAACCCAACCTGGCAACCCACTTGGCGACCCAACCCAGCAACTGACCCGGTAACCCAACCAGGCAACCTACTCGGTAACCCAACCTGGCAACCGACCCGGCAATCCAACCCGGTCATCACCTCGGTAACCCAACCCGGCAACTCAACCCGGCAACCCACTCGGTAACCCACTCGGTAACCCAACCCGGCAACCCACTCGGTAACCCAACTCTGTAAACCAACCCGGCAACCCACTTACAAAATGAGACAATAATTTGGATTTGAAGAGAAATAAGAAATCTGACCTCTTCTACTTCATCAATCCGGATGGAAAAGTTCTTGCACCATTCGTAGATGTCGTCCATGAGCCCCAGCGGCAAATCCTGCCACATTTCAGAAACCAGAATAAGTTTAGAAGAAGCAGTACTAGTCTAAAACTCTAGCTTTAGCAAAATAAAGACGCAAGTATAAAATCTCTATCTTTAAGTCTAACATTATATTGTATTGTATTGTTTGTGATAAACACATGTTATCTAAACTAGCACATTAGCACATTAGCCTCTGACCTGGTGCACTCCTCCGGGGCGGACGTAGGCTGCGTGCATGCGGGCTCCGGACACTCTCTCGTAGAACTCAAACATCTAAGATTCACCACAGAAGAAGAACAGATTATGGCGTTAGTAAAGAGTGTGCGTGTGCGTGTGTGTGTGTGTGTGCGTGTGCGTGTCTCACCTTCTCCCTCTCCTCAAACAACCAGAAGAAAGGCGTCATGGCTCCGATGTCCAGGGCGTGCGTGGTGATGGCCATGATATGGTTCAGGATGCGGGTCAGCTCTCCAAACAGCACTGAATGCAAACATCAGGGATTTACATTGTCAGTTCAAGATGACTGGACAAAAGGGTTTTTCGACCTTGAACAATTTATTGCAACTCAATTAACTTTTGTACATCTCTGAATCCCAACAGCAGTCGTCTCGGAGGACATTACAAAGTTGTGGATTTGCCAAAAACAGATAAGAGAATCAAACTCAGGGAGCAGGACGACCACTGTCCTTAAAACAGACCTGGCCCGATCCATATTTCTATGCAACCCGATCCCTTCCCAGGCGGTCTCTGGGACAGTACCTCTGATCCACTCTCTCTGGGACAGTACCTCTGATCCACTCTCTCTGGGACAGTACCTCTGATCCACTCTCTCTGGGACAGTACCTCTGATCCACTCTCTCTGGGACAGTACCTCTGATCCACTCTCTCTGGGACAGTACCTCTGATCCACTCTCTCTGGGACAGTACCTCTGATCCACTCTCTCTGGGACAGTACCTCTGATCCACTCTCTCTGGGACAGTACCTCTGATCCACTCTCTCTGGGGACAGTACCTCTGATCCACTCTCTCTGGGACAGTACCTCTGATCCACTCTCTCTGGGACAGTACCTCTGATCCACTCTCTCTAGGACAGTACCTCTGATCCACTCTTTCTGGGACAGTACCTCTGATCCACTCTCTCTAGGACAGTACCTCTGATCCACTCTTTCTGGGACAGTACCTCTGATCCACTCTCTCTGGGACAGTACCTCTGATCCACTCTCTCTGGGACAGTACCTCTGATCCACTCTCTCTGGGACAGTACCTCTGATCCACTCTCTCTGGGACAGTACCTCTGATCCACTCTCTCTGGGACAGTACCTCTGATCCACTCTCTCTGGGACAGTACCTCTGATCCACTCTCTCTGGGACAGTACCTCTGATCCACTCTGCTCGGGGAGGGGCCTGGATGTTCAGCAGCCGCTCCACGGCCAGAGAGTAGGCCTCCTCGTTACACATCATGGAGACATAGTCCAGGCGGTCAAAGTACGGCAGAGCCTGAGGGACAAAAACACATGAACCAACTCAGTCTGAATGAATGGGTTATTTTGGTTAATTGGTGCATTTAAATCAATACAATTTATAAACAATAATGTTAACAACAAAACATTTCAACCAAAAAAGGAATAGGCTGAAGCTATGCTTATTTATGCCCATCCTTTAAGCCACGTAACTGCTACTGAATCAGCTCATTACAAAATTAAATACATTAACAGATAACATTTTTAACCAACATTTTTGTTACTTACAAACTGAAAACCCCATTTTATACATTTTCTGCAAAATCGCTAAATTCAGCAAACGAAATGCAGTTTAAGTTGATCATTTAGTCCATTCCAAAGCTTAACACGCTGAACTGAGACACATCTGGACGTCACGTTGGTGCTGACTTTAACCATTTCAAATATAAATAAACCTCTCAGGTTGTAATAACTTTCTCTTAATTTAAACAAACTCTTAATAGAATTAGAAATGTTATTGTTTTTAACCCTACGAACAATTTTCTAACACTTTAAAATTAATGGACGTTATCCATGTCAAAGTTTTAAATTTTTTGGAAACTCACAAACTGTGGGTGCCAGATTGAGCTCTTTTCCACCACAAGAAATGAACATATTTCAAATCATAAAACCTTGTACATTTCTCCAGTGTGAGATCAATGAAGTCTAAATTATCTTGTTCTTTGAAACCTTTTTCTTTTGAGCATGAGGAAGTGTGTATACTTAGAATTTCTACTTTCTTATTACTCCTTCCTTCTATTTTTTTTAAACTGAGAAGTAGCGACACAGTGGCTGAGTGGTTAGCACATGTCCATATACATTAGGGTTGACCTGTGCCTCCTGTACTGACCTCGCTCTCTGTGAGGAGTGACAGATAAATTCCCAAAATTGTAAAGTGCTTTGTGTCTCTGGTCTGAGAAAGGCGCTATATAAATAAACATTATTTACTACTTTCTAAAACCCTTGTGCTTCCATTGGGTCAAAATGACAAACCTCCAACAGCTAAAAGAAGAAAATAAATATCCTGAAATGTTTTAGATGACCCAGAACTGACCAAGTTAAGAAATCATGAAAATTCAGCCTTAAAGAAAATTATTGGAGTATTTTTTTAATCACCATGGGTCAGTTTGAGTAGTTTTCTCCCTGTAGCTTCACCGGACAGATGCCAATGTTTCACTCACTCACTGCCATTGACGTATTTGACTGAGGCCGGTGATTTCTGTCTAACTTCCCTCTATTCAACTGGCGACTACAGAAGAACAAAACTAGCTAGAAACAAACTTAACTTTTGCTGCTGAATGTAGACTGTCCAATCTTTCAGAATCTGGTTTCATATTTTACATAGTCATAGTACATAATATTCTGTGGGTCTTTCATTTTAGTGAAATCATCAAAAAAACGGCTGGCAGTCAATGAGTTATCAGCTGCCCAACCTTCATCTCTGGCTCCACACCTCCCTCTGGTGGTGAAACTTGTACGTGTTGGTCTTTACACATGAACGTGGCTTAAATAATCCCTGCAGAATCAAAACTGTTGACAGCGGTACAGACAGAGGTACAGACAGCAGTACTAACAGCGGTACAGAGGTACTGACAGCGGGACAGACAACGGTACAGACAGCGGAACAGACAGCGGGACAGACAACGGTACAGACAACGGTACAGACAGCGGTACAGACAGCGGAACAGACAGCGGAACAGACAGCGGAACAGACAGCGGAACAGACAGCGGGACAGACAACGGTACAGACAGCGGTACAGACAGCGGTACAGACAGCGGTACAGACAGCGGTACAGACAGCGGTACAGACAGCCGTACAGACAGCCGTACAGACAGCCGTACAGACAGCCGTACAGACAGCCGTACAGACAGACGTACAGACAGACGTACTAACAGCGGTACAGAAAGTGGGACAGGGGTACACACAGGGGAACAGACAGGGGTACAGACAGGGGTACAGACAGGGGAACAGACAGGGGTACAGACAGGGGAACAGACAGGGGAACAGACAGGGGAACAGACAGGGGAACAGACAGGGGTACAGACAGGGGTACAGACAGGGGAACAGACAGGGGAACAGACAGGGGAACAGACAGGGGTACAGACAGGGGTACAGACAGGGGAACAGACAGGGGAACAGACAGGGGAACAGACAGGGGAACAGACAGGGGAACAGACAGGGGTACAGACAGGGGAACAGACAGGGGTACAGACAGGGGAACAGACAGGGGAACAGACAGGGGTACAGACAGGGGTACAGACAGGGGAACAGACAGGGGAACAGACAGGGGAACAGACAGGGGTACAGACAGGGGTACAGACAGGGGTACAGACAGGGGTACAGACAGGGGAACAGACAGGGGAACAGACAGGGGTACAGACAGGGGTACAGACAGGGGTACAAGACAGGGGAACAGACAGGGGTACAGACAGGGGAACAGACAGGGGTACAGACAGGGGAACAGACAGGGGAACAGACAGGGGAACAGACAGGGGAACAGACAGGGGAACAGACAGGGAACAGACAGGGGAACAGACAGGGGAACAGACAGGGGAACAGACAGGGGTACAGACAGGGGTACAGACAGGGGTACAGACAGGGGTACAGACAGGGGAACAGACAGGGGAACAGACAGGGGAACAGACAGGGGAACAGACAGGGGTACAGACAGGGGTACAGACAGGGGTACAGACAGGGGAACAGACAGGGGAACAGACAGGGGAACAGACAGGGGTACAGACAGGGGTACAGACAGGGGAACAGACAGGGGAACAGACAGGGGAACAGACAGGGGAACAGACAGGGGTACAGACAGGGGAACAGACAGGGGTACAGACAGGGGAACAGACAGGGGTACAGACAGGGGTACAGACAGGGGTACAGACAGGGGTACAGACAGGGGTACAGACAGGGGTACAGACAGGGGTACAGACAGGGGTACAGACAGGGGTACCTGTAGGTAGGTCTTGTACTCAATGAGTTTCTCGGTGCCGCGGTGCAGGAGGCCGATGTGGGGGTCACACTTCTTCACCGACTCGCCGCTCAGCTCCAGCACCAGGCGCAGCACGCCGTGAGCCGCCGGGTGCTGCGGCCCGAAGTTTATGGTCAGGTTTGACACGTCCTTCTCTGCTGGAGGATCTACGTCTGTGGGTTAGAGCAAAGACATTTATGCTTTTGACAAAACAGAACAGACGGAGGTAAAAAGGACGTCTGAAGGCTACAGGATGATTTAGGACGTGGGTAGATTTTATATAATAAGTAGAAAAAGTCTGTCGTTCCTTAAAAATGAGAAGACATGGAATAAATCAGCAGAATGTTAAATATTTCTTCAGTTCAAAGGCAGAAGAAAACTTTTGTATTAACAGCAACATTGTTTTCTGGTTGTTTTGTTTTAAATTCATTCTTTATAAAAAAAAAAACACATGGGCCAACAAATCCTCATTTTGAGGCCATTTATAGAATATTTTAAAAAGGTCAAGATTTTCAAATGGTTCATACAAAGTAAAACCGATCAGCTCCTGTGATGAGTAATGAGAAACTTCTAGAAACAACACAATAAGGGAAATTGATTTTAGTAAACATTAAACCAGTGCTTTTCAACCACTGGGCTGCGGCACACTAGTGTGTCGTATGATATTGTCTGTGTGCCGTAAGAAATTAGCCTACGTTTTCAAAATTATTATTTTGGAAACATAAGAGCCCTCTGAGTCATTATTTGACTTTTTGGCTGAGAGTGGATTGTTTTTTCCCACAGTTAGAGCCACTTTATTCCCAAACTCTTGTTAAATCATTGTATTGAGAAATATTAGACAAAGCCTAATATTGTGAATATAGAACACAGAGTTTATATTTTTACATTTTCTCCTGGTAGTGCGCCGCCTGATTTTTTCAATGAAAAAAGTGTGCCTCAACTCAAAAAAAGGTTGAGAAACACTGCATTAAACAGTAATGTCTTTGGCATTTTAGCTTCAGCAGCGAGTAATGAACAGAAAACATATACCACTATTGAAAAAAAGAATGAAGGAGTAGAACACAGACCTGGATCTATCAGTAAATATAAACCATCAGTTACAGACACAGACCTGGATCTATCAGTAAATATAAACCATCAGTTACAGACACAGACCTGGATCTATCAGTAAATATAAACCATCAGTTAAGGCAGATACCGTTCCAGGGCGGTGGGTTCCACTTCTCGTTGATGGCCGTGGGATACATGACCGCTCCAGCAAACTGCTCCGTCCACTCCACATCGGGCTGCCACTGCTTCTGCCTGAAAAACACAAAAGTCATTAAGCACAAGGAAATGCAGCCCTTGGCCTCTGAGCTGTTCAGAAATAATACATATTCATAAAAACACCAACATTTTCACTCAGGAGTCAGAGTGCATCATCACATTGACGTGCACTTTGGGTCTTTCTCTTGGCTCTACTGATTTGGTTTCCCCCATTATACTATTTGGCAGCATTTCCAAAAATGAGGGTCCAAGCTGTCCTGGGGGTCCCTAAACCAGAACAAGGGGCCTTTGAAGATGGTACACACAGCAAGTGATTTAAAAAACTTTTGAAGTCGGACTGGGATCTCTGTTGAACATAGATTATTTCTTATTAAAATCCAATTTCCAGAAGAAGCTGGGTTCACTTCTCAAATGTGCAAGAAAAATAAATAAAAACAAAGAAACATGCAGTCTGTCTCTGGCTCTCCTCCTAAATTATTGTGACGTGTTACAGATTATTTTCCATGGAATCAGAGAGGAGATAACACATTTAGGAAAGCTGCTATTTGTGCATTTTTGTGGTCACAAAAAACCAACTCGTTCATCATTTCTTATTATGTATCTGAAACATTACATCGTTCATCATGTATTATGCAGATCGAGCAATGCGTTTGTCATTCCTTCCATGTTTATAAAACCAGACACAACAAGGACAGTCGCAGACGTCAATGTCGCACGTGGAGTTCATTATTATACAGTAAATACTCACGCACTAAACACAACACCTACTATTTTATATCTGACGTAAACAAGAGTTGAATCCGTGGTAGGATGCATGAAAGGCAGATACATAACATGCTGTCATTAGGTTGTGTAAGACAGGAAACTTGTAAACAACTGCCAGCTTTGGAAATGTAGCAGTCAAATGTCATCAGATACGTTTTTAAAAGTCCTATATCCAATAAGACATGTTTTAAAGGTTTTTCAAACATATAAGTGTTGCTTCTGCATCTCTCTCAGTGGCGCTGTTATGAGAGTCGGCTTGTTAGCTAACGGTGGCTAGCGTTAGCATCACAGTTGACAGATGCAATGACAGGCGCACACTAAAGCCGTCAACATCTCCGAACCTCACCGTGGGCCTGGGTTCCCTCTCACCTGTTCTGGAGCACGGTGCAGCTCGGGCTGAGAGGGCTGCTGTTTGTAATGATTTTGGCTGAAGGACGTCCCAGCCTGGAGAGCGACCTCAGCATCGTGGCCGCCATCTTGGCTCTGACTGCTCTGCCGTAAAGGAGATATTCTGTCGTAGATGTGAAGCGGTGATGTGAGGGCGCTCCCACCCGGACACTGTCAGTACTGCAGCGATGGTTTCTCATGACACGTCCAGAAAGAACTTAACTTGTTATTTCTAACTGGTTGATTCTCTAATCTGTTGATGGTGAATTGACGATTTTATAAATCCTTCAAGACGAGAGCAAGACGAGACTTTCCAAATTCAGTCCGAGTTGGATAAAATCTTCTATGTTATAAGTTTACTTTACAGTAGTTTATAGTTTATATGTAAACAAAGACATCCCAGGAGACGTAAGGGAGAATATATATGGACGTTAATTAAGTAATTTTGATCATTTGATTCTGTATCTATAATAATAATAATAACAACACTAACGTGTCGTCTATAGTTACTGTTGTCCTGCTGTAATCCACAATCACGGTACGATCTGAGAGCATCAGGTCATCAAGAGTCTAGGACCCAAGTTGATCCTAATAACTTTAATAACTCTAAGTCTAAATCTAAATCTGACCCTACTTTAACCCTAACACAATGAAACATTGATCCTGGACTAATTACTTGGTCCAGGATCCATAAAGTAATCAAGTTCTGATAATTACTTTTCAGATCATCTATAATTCTGTGACACAGGATGTAAATAACTGTGATACTTTGTGGCCTGAGCCCAGAGGCCTTAGGCCTCGAGCAGGTCTAAGGTCTGTTGATTGTTCATAAAATAGAATGGAACCGTTTCAAAGAAATAGGAAGTTGTTTAATAAAAAAAACAGTGCTTTTATTTATGTAATACTGTGGAAAAATAATTACATACCATTTTTAAAAAATATTGAAGATAATGAAATAAAAAATGAGTTTGATAACGCTTGTTGTACATCTTTTGAACAGTTTCTCTGCTACGAAGAACAGTACGATAAGATAAGCATCAGAGTCGTTCTAAATTCAAAGACACAATAATACAGGATACATCCTACCAGAGGTATAAAAGTATAGAACAGGAGTGAGACATGACCGTTTACTGAAGCACGCTCCATTCACACATGTAGCTGCTGCGTCTCTGACACACGTCTGTACAGGGTCTCTCTCTCTCTCTCTCTCTCTCTCTCTCTCTCTCTCTCTCTCTCTCTCTTTCTCTCTCTCTCTCTCTCTCTCTCTCTCTCTCTCTGGTCAGTGACAGCCTTCATTGAACCTCAGACGATGAGGATGGCTCATGGACGTGTCTCCTAAGGCCTCAGTCCTCTGCACCAGGCTGTGATGAATGATCAAGGCCCCACGGTGCCTGGTACAGTGGCCCCCAGGAGCTCTACTGCATATACACATGTGACACTACATGGACTCTTGGCACTAGGTCGTGGTGACTCAAACCTCTGATAAAGCGGCCCCTGACCTCGGGGGCTCTTGGCACGACTCCGTGAACCGCAGGCTTGGCCTGCATGTGCACTACCTCCTCTTTTGGTCCAGACACACACATAAATGTTTACATACATAGAAAATAATTTGTAATGTTAAAAATAGAATACAAAGCTCTAATCTTGTGTGCAAATAAAAAGACATTACACAGAAACACGGGACGTTTAAGCATGAACAGAGTGCAAACCATGACCTCGTCCACAGGCCTCTCGACTCTATGTGCTCTACGTCAGACTCCAAACAAACTAAACATGGTGGCCAGACGTGACGTGGACTTGAGGTTTCTCCAGATCTGTATGTACCATACCCACACTTGAGTTCTCTTCATGTACAATGGCCCAGGGGCCCTCAGGTTCCTCAGGTCCCTCTGCTCTGTCCTGATTGTGACGCGCTGTCCGCTCCGCAGAGCTCACATTTACACTGGGACTGACTCCCTGTCTCAAAGTCTGTGTCCTCCTGCTCAGTCTGTGCATGGCTCTGTGTGGACACTGTTCGTGTTTTGTGTGTGTGTTATGTGTGTGTATATGTGTGTGTGTGTGTTGTGTGTAGCGATGCTCCCAGGGGCCTCACACGTGCGTCTGCATCCTCTGCGTGTGGCGGCTGTGGGAGTAGTCAGAGTGCTGCGAGGTGTAGGAGAAGCGTGTGGAGCTGCCGTATTTGCCCAGTCCAGTCTCAGGCCCTGAAGGAGCAGGGGCCCCAGGGGACACGTTCACCCCAGGGGCCCCCACACCGTACATCTCGTAGGAGGGGCCGGCCTCCAGAGGGGCCAGGCTGGACGGGGCGAAGCCCATGCGGTAGGGCTGGTAGTGGGAGGGGTATCCATAGTTGTCGTAGGCCAGCTGTGAGGTGGAGTCCAGCAGGCTGCAGTCTTGAGGGAAGTCTGCTGCTGAGGGCCCGGGGTTCGGGGGCCCCTGCTGGCTCTGGCCCCCGCGGGTGAAGGTGTTGAACTGGGCGTAGCTGATGTGAGACAGCCTGGAGGGGGGGCGCGGGTCGTAACAGGGCTGGGACCGTCCTGGAGAGGTGAGGGGCCCCGGGGCTCCTCCGCTGGCTGTGGCCCCTGAGCCTCCTGCGCTGCTGCTAATGGAGGCGGCGCCCCCTGGTGTCCCGGTGGGGGAGCGGTAGTCAGAGTAGTGCACTGTGGAGCGGGACGCGGGCCGGCCCTCGTCATGAGTGGACGCTCGCACATTGTAGTAACCGTTGGTGGGATCCTGGGGACACAGAGCACAGGGGCCACGGTCAGAGGGGCCAAGAGTAGTAGTTAAACCGTCAAATTTGCCAACACAGATCAGAGAATACAGCTCTCCGGTCTCTTTCTGGTCTCTCTATGGTCTCTCTCTCTGGTCTTCCTCTCTTGTCTCTCCCTGGTCTCTTCCTGGGGTCTCTCTGGTCTCTCTCTGGTCTCTCTCTGGTCTCTCTCTGGTCTCTCTCTGGTCTCTCTCTGGTCTCTCTCTGGTCTCTCTCTGGTCTCTCTCTGGTCTCTCTCCTGCATTGCTAAGGAAAAACTCAAAAAAAAAAAGCCAGGACTCAGACTGTAGAACGAGGACCAAGGCCACACAATGCAGTAAATCTGTCCCTACACTTAGTCCTAAACACCCTTTGGTTTATCTAATTACATTCTACTTTTCCTGCGGCCTCAGTTTTCTGCTGGTGCTGTTTTTTGGAGGATTCGCTGACCACACTGTGTCAACATGTATTTCTCAATCATTCAAATAATTAGCGTATTTAGCATTTTCCCTCTTTTTGTTGTGCTTTGTTGTCATCTTTACGATGTGAGGCAAAGTGCGGATCAGCAGAAGTTTCTGACGACGATGGAGAAGATAAGACGGTTGTTTATTATGAGGTGTGGAAAAATGAACTGGTTTTTATCTGTGTTAGTAATGCTTTCACCACAGGAGAGAGAGAGAGAGAGAGAGAGACAGGGGGAGAGAGACAGAGAGCGAGACAAAGAGAGAGAGAGACAGAGAGAGTGAGACAGAGAGAGTGAGAGAGAGAGACATACACAGAGAAAGAAATTTAGAGAGAAAGAGCGAGACAGAAAATGAGAGAGTGAGACAGATTTAGACAGCGAGAGAGAAAGAAAGAGATTTAGACAGAGAGAAAGAGAGAGAGACACACACAGATAGAGAGAGAGACAGAGAGAGAGAGAGAGAGAGACAGAGAGAGAGACAGAGAGAGAGACACACACACAGAGAGACAGAGAGAGAGATAGTCACACTGTTTTTTTTCTGCAGCTCAAAAGCTTTCGACCCATCACATTTTCAGGAAACCAGAAAATAAATGAGACAGAGACTAACTATGATATACTGGAGCTGATCTGTGTCACCATCTGAGTCCATGGCTTTAAATCCAGGCAGAGGTCTGTGCTCTACGGGTGCTTTTCAAGATGGAATAAGTTTTCTTGTAGATACGATTTCCACCACTAGAGGGCATAGTTACACTTTCACAAAGGTACGATGAGAGCAAGTAAAATGCTTTGTCTAAAATGTTCTCAATTTATTACCGTATTTTAAAAAAAAAACTCATGAAGCCACAAAGAGAAAAAACAATTTCTTATCTACAGTGTGAGAGATATTCAGATATATAGATATTTTATTCTCTCTGAAGTTTAAACAGACACAATCTATCTGTAGCTCAATGCAACATTTTTAGATTACTATGTCTTGTACTATGTGGGAAATCCCAAAAATGATGTCATGACCATGGAAGCTTGTGCTAAAATGCTGAAACTTGACTTTCAATCGCAGGGAAATTTAGCCTTCTGTGCTAAGATATACTGTCAAAAAGATGCTAGTAGAGAGATAGCCAGGAGTAAAACACTGAGTACATTAGCAAAAATATCGGATAAATACTCAATACTAGCGTCAAACTTATGCTTTAGTAAAATACGTCATGATATTATATTAACTGAATGGGGTGTTGCTAGCTTAAACCTCCACATGGACCAGGGGCTATAGTAGCTTAAATCCACATGGGCTGTAGTCGAGGTAGACCTAAACTAAAACGGCTCGTCCTCGGCTGAGAACCTAAAGCTTTCACAAAGGTCAAGATGTGTGTGGATTTTAGTGTCTCTCGTCCTGAACTTATATTCTTTTGAAATCAATTTGTTTTCTATACAATCCACAGTTATGTTAAAAAAACAGGGCTTGTCGCTTCGCCATGATCAGCTGTGCTCTGATTGGTTGCTGGTCTCTCTCTGGTCTCTCCCTCCGGTCAGAACGCTAACATGGTCCTCTCTGGTCTCTCTCTGGTCTCTCTCCAGTCTCTCTCCGGTCTCCCTCTGGCCCCCCTCTGGTCTCCCTCTGGTCTCTCTCTGATCTCTCTCTGGTCTCTCTCTGGTCTCCCTCTGGTCTCTCTCTGGTCTCCACTACTGCACAAGACTGGGAGAACAGTAACACAGGCATAGGCCTGAATAGCCAGACATCTTAGAAACCTGGGGCAGACATCTTGGAAAAACTGGGGCAGACATATTGGAAACCCAGGGCTGTGTCACACACCACACACACACGCACACACCATGGATGTATTATATTAACTGGATAGGGTGTTACTAGCTTGTAGCTGAATAACTCACGTGCTCAGGGGATTCTCGCGGTACTGCAGACTGAACCAGACTAAATTCACGTGGGCTACCCAGATTTTTTCCCCATAGAACTCAATGCATATTAAAACAGCTCGACCTTAGCTGACAGAGAACCTACAGCTTTAATAAAGATTGGATTTTGTGGGGATTTTAGTGTCCCTTGTCATCCTGAACTTTTTTTCTTCTTAAATCCTTCGGTTTTGTTTAAATCCACACTTTAGTGCCACAAACTCTGCTCCGCTGGCTCTCGCTCTAACTCCCGCTCTGATGAACTGCTCTGATTGGTCAGAGCGCGGCCGAGCCCCTCTGTGCACGTGCGTGAGACCCGGTGTGAGACCCACACACGCGTGTTTGACGCAATGCATTATGGGAGATCATCCACTGCGCAGAACCGGGAGGACCAGACAATGCCCAAATACAGGCCAGTTTCCCATAGATCTTTGCGAGTTCCAGGCAACTTCCGCTAATCTTTCTGCACCCATGCTGTCACAAAGCGCCACTGAGCACAACCATTCATTTGAATAGGGCGCCATTTTGGATCGCCGGGGCTTGGCACACACCACACACACACGCACACACACACTTGAAACATGCTAATCACTAAGTGCTAACCTTGAGGTCGTATTCTTGGCGAGTATCCAGAGTGTCGCTGCGTAGCTCGGTCTTCAGCTCAATGTCGTCTTTAAACGGCTGGTTGGAGGGAGAGAAGGACACAGAGGGCAAAAACTGAGGCGTCAAAACAAAAGAAACCAAAAGGAACAATAAACAAACAAAAGAAATGAAAGTAAAATAAAACAGAAACAGAGAGGTGTGAGAGGACAAGAGAATGAGAGGCCGTTAGAATGACAACAACACGTTCAGTTATAGAGAAATTACAGTTATGCAGGTTATTCTGATTTCATGGCATAAAATATATCATAGAAAAATTGCATCAATAATAAAGCAATTATCTACATGAAAACTAAATGAATTTCAAATATAACTGTGGGTCATACTGTGATAAAAACACTGATAGAGCTAAAAAAAAAGGCGTTGTTAGCATGTTAGCTTTAGCTCACCGAGTACATGGCCTTGACCATGCGTGATGCCGTGGACACGCTCCCAGAGTCCTCCTCCAGACTGTGGGTCTCCTTGTTTATGGTTTCCACCTTAATGTCGGGCTTCCCCAACGTGACCCCGCGGCGGCCTGGAAGACAAGGCCAGAACGGGTCAAAATGGCTGCCACACACACAACACGAGCCAGGAGTCAAAGGGAGATTTAATAATATGCTTTCAGAGCAGCCAGACTGAGTATAAATGAAATGTATACATCAATATACAGAGAGTGTGGAGGATCAGGTGTAGAAAGACAGGAAACTATTGTGTTATTGTGTACGCACATATACACACACATACTGTAGTACGGATGGAGGCATGTCATTATACAGAATGAGAGAGAAGAAGAAAGAGAGAGGGAGAGAGAGAAAAGGAGAAAGAGAGAGAGAGGAGAAAGAGAGAAGTACGAATGATGAAGAGAGAGAGGGAGAGAGCGAGAAAGAGAGGAAGAGAGAGAAGGATTAACAGTCCAAATGACACGAATGCTGATACTAGATCTGTAGAAAAAGAGAGAGACAGAACGAGAGAAAGCGAGAGAGAAAGAGAGAGAGCGGAAGAGAGAGAGAGAAAGCGAGAGACAGAGAGAGAGAAAGAGACAGAGAGGGGAAAGAGAGAGGGAGACAGAGGAAGAGAAAGAGACATAGAGGGGGAGAGAGAAAGAGAGAGAGGAGAAAGAGAGAGGAAGCGAGAGAGAAAGATATATATAGAGAGAGAGACAGAAGGAGAGAAAGAGACATAGAGGGAGAGAGAAAGAGAGAGAGGGAGAGAGACAGAAAGAGAGAAAGAGAGACAGAGAAAGAGAAAGAGAGAGAAAGAGAGAGAGAGAGAGAGAGAAAGAGAGAGAGAGAGAGAGAGAGAGAGAAAGAGAGAGAGAGAGAAGGATCAACAGTCCAAATGCTGATCCAGATCTGTAGAAAAACCCTGGATAGAAACAGTGCATTGGATGTAATTTAAAATAGTTACAAATCAAACACAGGGACATAGTGAATTGATTGTGATCTAGATGTTTAGAGTCAAGTAGGTGCGAAACCCTCCCCCAGATCTAATGTATAGATGTTTCTACACGTACAGTACATATGTATAGGTGTTGTACAGTTAGTGACTCACTGCCTTTACGCTGTCTGTAGAAGATCAGGACCAACACCAGCAGAAAGATGAAGAGGAGGATGGTCGAGCCCACGGTGCCTCCAGCGATGATGCCCACTGGGACCTCCTCTGCAGAGGGGAGAGGGAGAGGGAGAGAGGGGAGACGAGAGAGAGAGGGAAAGAAGGAGCGAGAGGAGAGGGAAGGAGGGAGAGGGGAGACCGAGAGAGAGAGGGGGGAGAGTGAGAGACAGAGAGAGAAAGAGAGAGGGAGAGAAGGAGAGGGAGAGACAGAGAGAGAAGGAGGGGGAAGAGAGAGAGGGAGAGAGAGTGAGACAACCAGAAAGAAGGAGAGAAAGAGAGAGACAGAGAGAGAGGGGGTGGACAGAGGGAGAGAGACAGAGAGAGAGAAGAAAGAGAGACAGAGAAGAAGAAAGAGAGAGGAAGAGAGAGAAGGAGAAAGCGAGACAGGGAGGGATTAGAGAGACAGAGAGAGAGCGAGAGAGAGATAGAGAGACACACACACAGAGGGAGAGCGAGAGAGAGAAAGAGAGACAGTTAAACTACAGTAGACAATGGTACGTTTTGTCTCCTACACTGTTATTTTCATTGTAACTGTACCAGAACAGCTATGACCAAAATCACCTGTTTTTGATATATATAAAATGTGTTATAGTTTTTGTTTTAAGTCAGAATGTACTCAAATTAAGGTAAAAAATACTTAATTCACACAACTACTTCCTCAAATTTTAGCATGTTTTTGCAGTGTATGGCCCAGCGGCTCCTATGTGTAATTATTACATTTCCTATGTCCGAACTGGTTGATTCTCTGATCTGCATCTCCAAATCTAAATTGGCGTGTCTGGACTCGCACCTGTCTCCTCCAGCGTGATGATCATGGTGCCGGGGCCGAAGACGTTCCAGGCCGTGCAGTTGTACGTGGACTGGAAGTCGGACTCCATGACGTTGTTGATGGTGAGCGTGGACAGGACGCCGCCGCCCTCGGTGCTGGGACGACTCTGCTCCACGGTGTAGCGCTCCAGCAGCGTGCCCCTCTCCTTCTCCCACACGTTCTCCTTCCACGCCCACACCTGCCACAGGGACGGAGGCCAGGCTGTCAATCATGTGGGAGGGGCTAACTCCTTTTGCAGATTGAAACGATTGGATCTCTTTACCGTGACGTATGTAATGTACCCGAGTGAGTGAAGCATTTAGCATTTAGTTTAGCAGTAGTATTTAGCCTAGCTTTAGCATTTAAGGATAATAATAATAATGCATCGGTTTTATATAGCGCTTTTTTGGACACTCAAAGATGTCATTATTCTTTCACTACCAACACGGTGGTGAAAAACAACTACTGTAGCCACAGCTGCCGTGGGGCACACTGACAGAAGCGAGGCAACCAGTATGTGCCATCGGCCCCTCCGACCACCACCAACCATTCACACACACACCAGTCTCACTCTAGGCAAAGCGGGTGAAGTGTTTTGCCTAAGGACACAACCACAGTTTGGCACTTTACAGCCGCAGTCGCCCCACTGCGGCATCTGGTGTTTTCAGAGGTGAAGTGTCTTGCCCAAGGACACAACGACAACAGACAAGGCCAACGCTCTACAAACTGAGCCACTGTTGCCCCATTTAGCCTAGCTTTAGCATTTAGCCTAGCTTTAGCCATCTCCTTTGCCACTAACCGAGCCCGTGGGGCATAGAGCCACAACATCTTTGCTTCAATGACATTTACCAAACATTCCTCTGGCTCCACCTTCAGTTTCTTGATATTTGGATTGAACCAGAACAGATTATTTTACTATCACATTCTTCAACAAACTACAACCAGCAAATTCAGCACAAACTCTGACGACACGACACAGACCTACGACACCTGCCTCCCCCGCTCTCTGATTCGTCGGAGGGGATTCAACTGAGGAAACTGCAGTCACTAGGATCAGACCCAGACGTACATGTAGGAAATGTTCATGGACCAGAGTTTACACATGGTATGACCCTGACGTACATGATGATAATGAAAAACAATTGACCGTAGTTTACGGATGGCTAAAGCTAGGCTAACACCAAACCAATTCAGATTCTGTCACGTTGATGTTCCGCGGTGAAACCATCCAACCCACACACATTCCTTACATTCCCTCGAAAGAAAATCCCTCCACTCCCGGTCCAAACATCACACACGCCATGGCACTTGTGGATCCAGGCCGTTCTCCTTCGTGCTCGGGTGTCGGTGGGGGACGCTACATGAGATCCAACAACCAAACAGGCACACAATACCCGCAAAGAACATGGCATTTTTACACGCCAACACGTAAATACTGGCGCTTCCATCTCCTCGCACTTTGTCATCGGAGGAAACACTAAAAGCATTTGTTTTATTCAGAGATGGGCCCTGTTCTGCGGCTTCAATAATACATAAGGCACAGGTTTCTATAATCTGGCCACTTAGCAAAGAATCCAGGCTTTACCGGGACAACGCGGGCCGCTCTATATTTTATAAGGCTTTTTCCTGGGCTGGGAGTCTGCATGGGGGGGTATTCTGTATCAGGGGGAGAGAGTGGGGTATTCTGTATTAAGGGGAGAGAGTTAGGGGGAGAGAGTGGGGTATTCTGTATTAGGGGGAGAGCGTTAGGGGGAGAGAGTGGGGTATTCTGTATTAGGGGGAGAGAGTGGGGTATTCTGTATTAGGGGGAGAGAGTGGGGTATTCTGTATTAGGGGGAGAGCGTTAGGGGGAGAGAGTGGGGTATTCTGTATTAGGGGGAGAGCGTTAGGGGGAGAGAGTGGGGTATTCTGTATTAAGGGGAGAGAGTTAGGGGGAGAGAGTGGGGTATTCTGTATTAGGGGGAGAGCGTTAGGGGGAGAGAGTGGGGTATTCTGTATTAGGGGGAGAGAGTGGGGTACTCTGTATTAGGGGGAGAGAGTGGGGTATTCTGTATTAGGGGGAGAGAGTGGGGAGGTTGACAATTGAATGCGATGGAGGAGGAGGAGTTTTTGTGTGTGAAAAGAAGAGTAAAAGAGAAAAGAGTTTTGAGTGATTCTCAGACTAAATCTGAGCCAAAGAGGATTGGAAAGAGGCCCATGTGCCTTTGTGTTTTGTGTATGGGAAAATACATTACAAATGTAAACATTCACAGTTTTTAAAATAATTCTACCAAAACTGCAAAAAGTTATAAAAAATAACTTTAAAATGGTCTTAGATTGGACCTGGATTGGTCATGGACTGGTCCTAGACTGATCTTAGACTGGTCCAAGACTGGTCCTGGATTGGTCCTGGATTGGTCCCAGACAGGTCTTAGACTGGTCCTAAACTGGTCTTAGACTGGTCCAAGACTGGTCCTGGAATGGTCCTGGATTGGTCTTAGACTGGTCCTAGACAGGTCTTAGACTGGTCCTTAACTTGTCTTAGACTGGTCCTTGCCTGGTCCCAATCTGGTTCTGGATTGGCCCTCGACTGGTCCTCGACTAGTCTGAACTGGTCCTGGACTAGTTCAAAACCATTTCAGTTTGCAGCAAGTGCTAGTTACCATAGCAACACACAGTTTACTTACAGCAGTTAGTATTTAGTTTTGTTAAATTTCAGTTATACTAACTTGTTCTAACATGTTTTCAAGTTGAACACATATGAATGACTTAATTTTAATAAAAGTAGTGAAAAATTAAATCTGTTTTTGAAGGACAGAATTCCATAACGTTGCTTTACGTTAAATACCATGTCATGTTTTGTTATCGTACCGGTGACAAAGACATTAAAATAAGCCTAAAATAATCTGTATTAACTTCTCGGTGCGACATCCCAGTCATTCCTGGTGACGCACAGAAGTCTCCTCGTGTCTGGAAGCTTTGTTTATAAAGGAAAGTATTCTCTGTGTGACTCACCGCTCCAGAGCCAGTGACAGCCGCTAAAAGCACTACAAGCTAATGCCATTTAGCGACGGCAGCCTAGCTAAGTACGCGCTAAAACTGCAAACCGCTTCTCCCCACAGGCTTAATAATGAATGCTAATACCAGGAGAGCTTTTCATTGTACTTTTCTCCTTCAGACATACTGAGATACGTACGATTTTGTCCGGAGGCGGCGTGCTAGCAATGTAGCATTTCACTTCCCCGCGCTCGCCCCTGACTGCGTACTGCTCCGGGTCACTGGAGATGATGGGAGGGCCTGCAACGCAAAATCGTACAGAGATAATATATTAGCAAGAGCTGTGGAATAGGGAAATAAACCAGAGAAATGCATTTAGCTACAGCCCAGTCACTAATATTTAAAAACATAAGGACGGTCTCAAAAGTACTCGGTTCAGGTGACTTTTCTGTGAACTTGTAAAATGAACTTAGAAAATGGACACATTTACTTCAGAAAATAGTTATAGTATTTTTCACATTTTTAGTCTCTTAAAAAAAGCCCTTAATTTGTAAATTTCTCCACTGTGAGATCAATAAATCTTATCTTATCTTAATCTGAACAATGTTTACAGACCAAGCAACATTTTCATAACTTTTTGTTTACAATTGACTCATGTTAAAACTGAAAATAGTCCTAAAGGCTATACTACGATTGAGTGAGTTTAATAATTCAAAGTATTTTTAATGTTTTGCAACTGACTACCGTAAATTCTGGACTAAAAGCCACTACTTTTTTGTACTTCTTTGTGTCCTGCGGCTTATATAGTGATGCGGCTAATATACAGTACAGACCAAAAGTTTGGACACCCTTTCTCCTTCACTGAGTTTCTTTTCATGACTATTGCCTGTAGATCCACACCAGGCTGTGTAAGGGCTGTTTGACCGATAAGGAGAGTGATGGTGCTGGACCAGATGACCTCCACAGTCACCGGACCTGAACCCAGTCCAGATGGTTTTGGGGCTGGACCACAGAGTGAAAGGGCCAACAAGTGCTAAGCATCATGGGAACTCCTTCAAGACTCATCAAGAGAATGCCAAGAGTGAAGCAGTAATCAGAGCAAAAGGTGCTACTTTCAGTTGTTTCATATGTTTTTTTAGAACGTACATAATTCCACATGAGTTCATCAGTTTTGATGCCTTCAGTGTGAATCTACAATTTTCATAATCATGAAAATAAAAGGTACCACCAGAAAGATTTACTGTAACATGATACTACTTCTACTACTAACTGTTCTGTTTATTCACTACATTAAAACTCATTTTCACTCATCTCTTTTGATTCTCTGACGGTGAATTGGTAGATTATTTTCTCACCGTTGACCGTGAGAGTGACCTCAGTCTCCCCGACCCCGATCCTGGGCACAATGGCCTTACACACGTACTGCCCGGCGTCCGCTTGGCTCACGGACTTGAGGTGCAGCTGGTTACTGTTGCTCAGCACCTGCAGCGGACACACACATATTCAATTCAATTATCTTTATTGGCAAAACATGTGTACAAGTCCATACGCTTTACTGTTTTCTAGGATTTGAATGTGCTTTTTGGAAGGAAACTCACAGGACGTAGTGTGAGGATTAGATAGCTATATGGCCTACGTGCAGGACAACTGCAAGACTATACGAGGACTATCCATGTCATGACTATGCTTTGCTATGCTCTGTCTCTGTGTGACACGTATGTCTTTCGATGTGTAACAATGACTATATAACATGTACTGACTCCATTTTGAACTGAGAGAAAGAAACATCAGAAACCACTGGAACTTGAGAGAAACCTAAATAAACTTCCAGAGTTTGGCGCACCACGATCCGTCTCTGTCTGGTTCATTCCTGACAGTAGCATTAGCTTGTAAGGCTGGGCCCCAAAAAACAGAATATACAAAAATACAGATGATAAATGAGAAAATTGTTAAAGTTAATTTACTGAAATCACATGACCTGTGTCTCACTAACTATGAGACACAGTAACTATGTAGTAATTATGTACCAGAGATATTTACTTTAAGATAATATAAACACCAATGGCAAGGGGCCTCAAGGATCCTGGATCTGAGTCTCTCTGAGGGTTCTCATTTTTTTTCCAACATTTTTGTTGTTGTCATTTCTTGCCGATGTAAGAGGGTATAAGGACAATGATGATCCGGGACATTTAAGGACAATCATTAAAGCAGCAGTATGTAAAATATGGACTGCGGTGGTTCTGCAGCCTCTCCCACTCTCCCTGACTCAGGTTGCCAGATATGCAGACGAATCCAGCTGGAACCACAACAGCTGAATAGTGTTATGTCAACAACAAATCTATAACCAACACCTTTTTCACAAAGATAGAAATCCTGCTTTCATTCCTTGTTTTGTCGTTAATGATTTGAGAATCATAACGTCACCTTTTTTACTTCTGCGCCACATGGTACTTTACCAGTGAGATTAGCTCCATGCTGTGAGTTCTGGCGCCCGGATCACAGACTTTCTGATTGGTGAAACGGTGGAGGGCGGGACATCGAAATGATATCAATAACAAGATTTAGGGGCTGTAACTAATTGGGAAATGTAATTGATGATCAATGTTTGTTTTGGTTCTCAGTCTTTATGGATCACGATGTAGTATAATGAGGCAATACCAGATTTCTAAATTCAATGATTTTTAGAATATTTTTGAGTAATTCTCCCTCTCTGACCCCTTTTCAAACCCACAGCACACCAGGCTTTTAACCTCTCATCACATTTGGGCAGTTACCTAGCAACCAAATCCACTGGAAAATTAGTGAGGGGGATTTTAGCTAAATATAAAATGGAATATAAAAGCAGAGGTGAGACCTGAGCGAAGCCTATAGCTGCTGCAAGGGCGCTTTTATGCACTCTGCCAAAACTGTGGAGAAGGAACCTACCACTTTTGTCCAGATGGATTCTATAAATATGAAAGATTACTCAAAAATGTTATCGATAGATAATTAACAGCTCAATTTTGTAACATTTCGACTTAATTCACAATCAAAGCTGAACAGTCCAATGAAATGGCTCTCGTTGAGGAGCACAGGGACTGGCCTCCTGCTGGGACACTGAGGAGCACAGGGACTGGCCTCCTGCTGGGACACTGAGGAGCACAGGGACTGGCCTCCTGCTGGGACACTGAGGAGCACAGGGACTGGCCTCCTGCTGGGACACTGAGGAGCACAGGGACTGGCCTCCTGCTGGGACACTGAGGAGCACAGGGACTGGCCTCCTGCTGGGACTGATTTCAAAATTGGGGTGACTAATCTTTTAATTGTTTAAAATTGTGCCGTGTTACCAGATTGCGTGTGTGTATATGTGTGTGTGTGTGTGTGTGTGTGTGTGTGTGTGTGTGTGTCTTGACTGTATTTTAAATGGAACAAGGCTGAATAGAGTCAAACAGTCGTCTCTCTGTAGTTCTATTATGACCTGGACCAGGGACAAGTCCAGGGACTTTTTATACAACTATAATAATGTGTTGTTCCCGATCAAATAGATAAATAAAACCCAAGAGATCACGCCGGGCTTTGAACCCATAAACCAGGTGTGAATGATAGCTCACCATGTTGGACCCCTTCTTGAACCAGGTGAGGGTGAGCGGAGGGTTCCCGGCCCATTTACAGTTCAGGGTCACGTCTGAGTCCAGGTCCACGGTCTTGGGCTGAGGCTCCACCAGAAGGATCGGACCGACTGCAGACAGACACATACGTTATGGATCAGAGCCCACGGCGAGGGGATTTGAACCAATGATCCGTGACTATAAGCAGTTATCCCAATCCAATCTGTTTATATAGCACATTTTATAAAACATGTTTACAAAGTGCTGCACGTTAAAAAAAACAAGTCTGCCAGGTTTAATAAAAACAACTAAAATAAAGTAAAAAAAACAACTAAAATAAAGCAATTAACTATAAACATAAACAAAAATAAAAAATAACATAAAAACAATTAAATTGATTTTTTTAAACAATAGAAACAATAAAAAACAATACAATAAAATATAAAACAAAAAAAATAAATAATAAATAATAATTTAAAAAAATATATATAAATACATAAATAAAATAGAGGACCATACAACTTTATTATGGCTATAGTGGGTTACAGAGACACAAGACACAATGGAGACGTGTTTTATTGAGAATAAAACTGGCCAGAATAATGAGAGTTTGTTTAAGATGGAGGCGAAAAGAGAGGTTATTATCAAGTTTTAGTAACCACAGACGCTTGTTTATAGTCATATATAGATTGGTAAATGAGTCATGGAGGTAATGGTCAGCGTGCTAACTTTTAATGTGGTAAAAAGTTAGCATGATACTTCTCCTTTAACATGTGTATTTACTCACAGTGCACGTCCACCAAGATGCTAACGTTTGTTTTGCCCACAGCGTTGAAGACGAGGCAGGACACAGGCTCGGTGAAGAAGGAGTGGTCCGCTTTGGTGGTGAAGACGCTCTCCCGGGCCCCCTGGAGCACCACGCCGCCCTTAGCCCACCTGCAGGGGGCGAGAGAGAGCAAGCTTTAGACCCTGAGACCACAGCAGGAGGAGGCTGGGATGGAGGCTAGTTTTTCAGTTGTTGTTGTTGACGATTTTAACGTGGGTCGTTTCGATTCAATTCAATTTATTTTTGTATAGCCCAAAATCACAATAGTAGATATCTCGGAGGGCATTACAAAGCTGTTTGATTTGCCAACACAGATTAGAGAATCAAGCAGTTCAAACACAAGGAATGCAAGAATAAAAAAGCAATAGGGATTTTTTTCTCTATATGAAGATTTTTTACTCTTTCTGTTGGGACAAACATTATTATCAATGTTCAATGAATCACTCATGGACCAAAAAAAAAAAAAAAAAAACAGCTTTAAAGCTTGTGTAAGCCCTCAGTCAGCTTTAAAGTAAAAAAAGAAGGCAGGTAACATTCGATTTGTGTGACAGGATTATAATTATGTTAAATGTAACTGTAATATGCGGTGTATAGTCATAAGCAATACATAAAAATCCCTCCATTTTCTTCTCTTTTAATCAATTTCTGGGTCGGGCGGTCAGACCACCCACTTCACATAGCCCCAGCCCATGTATATAAATATAAATAATAAATAAGTGTGTGATGTAAAATAGTGGATGTTCTGGTGGAGAAGAGGGGCCACACACACACACACACCTGTAGCCCATGATGGGAGGGTTGGCGTGGGCTTGGCAGGTGAAGGTCACACGGTCTCCCTCCAGGACTGACCGTGGCTCGATGGACAGGGTCACTGAGGGTGGGTCTGGATGAGACAGGAAGACAAAGGTCATGAATCAATACCATAGACTGTATCAAGATGGACCATGCTAACCTGCTAGCTAGATATTGTCTTTGAGAATCACGATATGAGCCATACAAGCATTGACCAAAGCGATGCCTTCATTCACGGGTGAAACTCCAGCTTGCCTTTGTACGGAAGCTTATTGCATTCACTTGAATTAAAAAAAGTTTTTGTTTTTATAAGAGAAATCCTGTTTTTACGAGACAAATGAATCCTGTTTTTACGAGAAAAAAAACCTGTTTTTACGAGTTAAAAAAAACCTGTTTTTACGAGTTAAAAAAAATCCTGTTTTTACGAGACAAATCATCTTGATGTTGAGTGCAACAGACACGGGCACAGCCATTGAACCACGGTGCTGTTCTTGACACTTGGTTAGCTCTTAGCTCCAGCTCAGACCAAAGAGAGAGGATCATTCTACGTTCTCAGGATATAAAAATGGATGCAGCAAAACGCTTGACTGGATGGCTGGAAGGAGAGTGTTATGATCATGAGTATCCTGTATGATAAGCTAACGGCTAACAACGAGTCCAGGCTGTGGCTAGCAGCTTTGAAGTTGAAGAAGTTGCGTAAAAAGTGTATGTTTGCTCGTATCACTTTGTTGATAAAAATGAGTGACTCGTAAAAACCAGATTTTTTTTTACTCGTAAAAACAGGATTTTTTTTACTCGTAAAAACAGGATTTATTTTTTTACTCGTAAAAACAGGATTTATTTGTCTCGTAAAAACAGGATTTATTTGTCTCGCAAAAACAGGATTTGTCTCATAAAAACAGAGACTTTTTTTAATTCAAGTTAATGCAATAAGCTTCCGTAATTTATGTCTAACAAAATATAAATAAATTAGCTCGAGCTAGCATGTGTTAGCCAGAGACAACAATACAATCTATGGTTCAAATTGCTCTGTCTCTCTTTCTGTCTGATTCTCTCTCTCTCTCTCTCTCTGTCTGTTTCTCTCTCTCTCTCTCTGTGTTGATATTTGTTGAAATATGTTATCAAACACAGTAGCCTTTTGCTAACCCCTCGTTTTGCTAGTAGATAGCATTTAGCAGTGTAGCATTTAGCAGTGTAGCATTTAGCAGTGTAGCATTTAGCAGTGTAGCATTTAGCAGTGTAGCATTTAGCAGTGTAGCATTTAGCAGTGTAGCATTTAGCAGCGTAGCATTTAGCAGTGTAGCATTTAGCAGTGTAGCATTTAGCAGTGTAGCATTTAGCAGTGTAGCATTTAGCAGTGTAGCATTTAGCAGTGTAGCATTTAGCAGCGTAGCATTTAGCAGAGTAGCATTTAGCAGTGTAGCATTTAGCAGAGTAGCATTTAGCAGTGTAGCATTTAGCAGTGTAGCATTTAGCAGAGTAGCATTTAGCAGTGTAGCATTTAGCAGTGTAGCATTTAGCAGTGTAGCATTTAGCAGTGTAGCATTTAGCAGTGTAGCATTTAGCAGTGTAGCATTTAGCAGTGTAGCATTTAGCAGTGTAGCATTTAGCAGAGTAGCATTTAGCAGTGTAGCATTTAGCAGTGTAGCATTTAGCAGAGTAGCATTTAGCAGTGTAGCATTTAGCAGTGTAGCATTTAGCAGAGTAGCATTTAGCAGTGTAGCATTTAGCAGAGTAGCATTTAGCAGTGTAGCATTTAGCAGTGTAGCATTTAGCAGTGTAGCATTTAGCAGTGTAGCATTTAGCAGCGTAGCATTTAGCAGTGTAGCATTTAGCAGTGTAGCATTTAGCAGTGTAGCATTTAGCAGAGTAGCATTTAGCAGTGTAGCATTTAGCAGTGTAGCATTTAGCAGTGTAGCATTTAGCAGAGTAGCATTTAGCAGTGTAGCATTTAGCAGAGTAGCATTTAGCAGTGTAGCATTTAGCAGTGTAGCATTTAGCAGTGTAGCATTTAGCAGTGTAGCATTTAGCAGTGTAGCATTTAGCAGTGTAGCATTTAGCAGAGTAGCATTTAGCAGTGTAGCATTTAGCAGTGTAGCATTTAGCAGAGTAGCATTTAGCAGTGTAGCATTTAGCAGTGTAGCATTTAGCAGTGTAGCATTTAGCAGTGTAGCATTTAGCAGTGTAGCATTTAGCAGTGTAGCATTTAGCAGTGTAGCATTTAGCAGTGTAGCATTTAGCAGCGTAGCATTTAGCAGTGTAGCATTTAGCAGTGTAGCATTTAGCAGCGTAGCATTTAGCAGTGTAGCATTTAGCAGTGTAGCATTTAGCAGAGTAGCATTTAGCAGTGTAGCATTTAGCAGAGTAGCATTTAGCAGTGTAGCATTTAGCAGTGTAGCATTTAGCAGCGTAGCATTTAGCAGTGTAGCATTTAGCAGTGTAGCATTTAGCAGAGTAGCATTTAGCAGTGTAGCATTTAGCAGTGTAGCATTTAGCAGTGTAGCAGCAGTGTAGCATTTAGCAGTGTAGCATTTAGCAGTGTAGCATTTAGCAGTGTAGCATTTTGTAGCATTTAGCAGGTAGCATTTAGCAGTGTAGCATTTAGCAGTGTAGCATTTAGCAGAGTAGCATTTAGCAGTGTAGCATTTAGCAGAGTAGCATTTAGCAGTGTAGCATTTAGCAGAGTAGCATTTAGCAGTGTAGCATTTAGCAGTGTAGCATTTAGCAGTGTAGCATTTAGCAGTGTAGCATTTAGCAGTGTAGCATTTAGCAGTGTAGCATTTAGCAGTGTAGCATTTAGCAGAGTAGCATTTAGCAGTGTAGCATTTAGCAGTGTAGCATTTAGCAGTGTAGCATTTAGCAGTGTAGCATTTAGCAGTGTAGCATTTAGCAGTGTAGCATTTAGCAGTGTAGCATTTAGCAGTGTAGCATTTAGCAGTGTAGCATTTAGCAGTGTAGCATTTAGCAGTGTAGCATTTAGCAGTGTAGCATTTAGCAGTGTAGCATTTAGCAGTGTAGCATTTAGCAGTGTAGCATTTAGCAGTGTAGCATTTAGCAGTGTAGCATTTAGCAGTGTAGCATTTAGCAGTGTAGCATTTAGCAGTGTAGCATTTAGCAGTGTAGCATTTAGCAGTGTAGCATTTAGCAGTGTAGCATTTAGCAGTGTAGCATTTAGCAGTGTAGCATTTAGCAGTGTAGCATTTAGCAGTGTAGCATTTAGCAGTGTAGCATTTAGCAGTGTAGCATTTAGCAGTGTAGCATTTAGCAGTGTAGCATTTAGCAGTGTAGCATTTAGCAGAGTAGCATTTAGCAGTGTAGCATTTAGCAGTGTAGCATTTAGCAGAGTAGCATTTAGCAGTGTAGCATTTAGCAGTGTAGCATTTAGCAGAGTAGCATTTAGCAGTGTAGCATTTAGCAGTGTAGCATTTAGCAGTGTAGCATTTAGCAGTGTAGCATTTAGCAGTGTAGCATTTAGCAGTGTAGCATTTAGCAGTGTAGCATTTAGCAGTGTAGCATTTAGCAGTGTAGCATTTAGCAGTGTAGCATTTAGCAGTGTAGCATTTAGCAGTGTAGCATTTAGCAGTGTAGCATTTAGCAGTGTAGCATTTAGCAGTACATTACAGTAGCATTTAGCAGTGTAGCATTTAGCAGTGTAGCATTTAGCAGTGTAGCATTTAGCAGTGTAGCATTTAGCAGTGTAGCATTTAGCAGTGTAGCATTTAGCAGTGTAGCATTTAGCAGTGTAGCATTTAGCAGTGTAGCATTTAGCAGTAGCATTTAGCAGTGTAGCATTTAGCAGTGTAGCATTTAGCAGTGTAGCATTTAGCAGAGTAGCATTTAGCAGTGTAGCATTTAGCAGTGTAGCATTTAGCAGTGTAGCATTTAGCAGTGTAGCATTTAGCAGTGTAGCATTTAGCAGTGTAGCATTTAGCAGTGTAGCATTTAGCAGTGTAGCATTTAGCAGCGTAGCATTTAGCAGTGTAGCATTTAGCAGTGTAGCATTTAGCAGTGTAGCATTTAGCAGTGTAGCATTTAGCAGTGTAGCATTTAGCAGTGTAGCATTTAGCAGTGTAGCATTTAGCAGTGTAGCATTTAGCAGTGTAGCATTTAGCAGAGTAGCATTTAGCAGTGTAGCATTTAGCAGAGTAGCATTTAGCAGTGTAGCATTTAGCAGTGTAGCATTTAGCAGTGTAGCATTTAGCAGTGTAGCATTTAGCAGTGTAGCATTTAGCAGTGTAGCATTTAGCAGTGTAGCATTTAGCAGTGTAGCATTTAGCAGTGTAGCATTTAGCAGTGTAGCATTTAGCAGTGTAGCATTTAGCAGTGTAGCATTTAGCAGCGTAGCATTTAGCAGTTAGCATTTAGCAGTGTAGCATTTAGCAGAGTAGCATTTAGCAGTGTAGCATTTAGCAGAGTAGCATTTAGCAGTGTAGCATTTAGCAGAGTAGCATTTAGCAGTGTAGCATTTAGCAGTGTAGCATTTAGCAGTGTAGCATTTAGCAGTGTAGCATTTAGCAGTGTAGCATTTAGCAGTGTAGCATTTAGCAGTGTAGCATTTAGCAGTGTAGCATTTAGCAGTGTAGCATTTAGCAGTGTAGCATTTAGCAGCAGTGTAGCATTTAGCAGTGTAGCATTTAGCAGTGTAGCATTTAGCAGTGTAGCATTTAGCAGTGTAGCATTTAGCAGTGTAGCATTTAGCAGTGTAGCATTTAGCAGTGTAGCATTTAGCAGTGTAGCATTTAGCAGCGTAGCATTTAGCAGTGTAGCATTTAGCAGTGTAGCATTTAGCAGTGTAGCATTTAGCAGTGTAGCATTTAGCAGTGTAGCATTTAGCAGTGTAGCATTTAGCAGTGTAGCATTTAGCAGTGTAGCATTTAGCAGTGTAGCATTTAGCAGTGTAGCATTTAGCAGAGTAGCATTTAGCAGTGTAGCATTTAGCAGAGTAGCATTTAGCAGTGTAGCATTTAGCAGTGTAGCATTTAGCAGCGTAGCATTTAGCAGTGTAGCATTTAGCAGTGTAGCATTTAGCAGTGTAGCATTTAGCAGTGTAGCATTTAGCAGTGTAGCATTTAGCAGTGTAGCATTTAGCAGTGTAGCATTTAGCAGTGTAGCATTTAGCAGTGTAGCATTTAGCAGTGTAGCATTTAGCAGTGTAGCATTTAGCAGTGTAGCATTTAGCAGTGTAGCATTTAGCAGTGTAGCATTTAGCAGTGTAGCATTTAGCAGTGTAGCATTTAGCAGTGTAGCATTTAGCAGTGTAGCATTTAGCAGTGTAGCATTTAGCAGTGTAGCATTTAGCAGTGTAGCATTTAGCAGAGTAGCATTTAGCAGTGTAGCATTTAGCAGTTGTAGCATTTAGCCATATAGCATTCAGCAGAGTAGCATTTAGCAGTGTAGCATTTAGCAGTGTAGCATTTAGCAGAGTAGCATTTAGCAGTGTAGCATTTAGCAGTGTAGCATTTAGCAGTGTAGCATTTAGCAGTGTAGCATTTAGCAGTGTAGCATTTAGCAGTGTAGCATTTAGCAGTGTAGCATTTAGCAGAGTAGCATTTAGCAGTGTAGCATTTAGCAGAGTAGCATTTAGCAGTGTAGCATTTAGCAGTGTAGCATTTAGCAGCGTAGCATTTAGCAGTGTAGCATTTAGCAGTGTAGCATTTAGCAGAGTAGCATTTAGCAGTGTAGCATTTAGCAGTGTAGCATTTAGCAGTGTAGCATTTAGCAGTGTAGCATTTAGCAGTGTAGCATTTAGCAGTGTAGCATTTAGCAGCGTAGCATTTAGCAGTGTAGCATTTAGCAGTGTAGCATTTAGCAGAGTAGCATTTAGCAGTGTAGCATTTAGCAGAGTAGCATTTAGCAGTGTAGCATTTAGCAGAGTAGCATTTAGCAGTGTAGCATTTAGCAGTGTAGCATTTAGCAGTGTAGCATTTAGCAGTGTAGCATTTAGCAGTGTAGCATTTAGCAGTGTAGCATTTAGCAGTGTAGCATTTAGCTGTGTAGCATTTAGCAGAGTAGCATTTAGCAGTGTAGCATTTAGCAGTGTAGCATTTAGCAGTGTAGCATTTAGCAGTGTAGCATTTAGCAGTGTAGCATTTAGCAGTGTAGCATTTAGCAGTGTAGCATTTAGCAGTGTAGCATTTAGCAGTGTAGCATTTAGCAGTGTAGCATTTAGCAGCGTAGCATTTAGCAGTGTAGCATTTAGCAGTGTAGCATTTAGCAGTGTAGCATTTAGCAGTGTAGCATTTAGCAGTGTAGCATTTAGCAGTGTAGCATTTAGCAGTGTAGCATTTAGCAGTGTAGCATTTAGCAGTGTAGCATTTAGCAGTGTAGCATTTAGCAGAGTAGCATTTAGCAGTGTAGCATTTAGCAGAGTAGCATTTAGCAGTGTAGCATTTAGCAGTGTAGCATTTAGCAGCGTAGCATTTAGCAGTGTAGCATTTAGCAGTGTAGCATTTAGCAGTGTAGCATTTAGCAGTGTAGCATTTAGCAGTGTAGCATTTAGCAGTGTAGCATTTAGCAGTGTAGCATTTAGCAGTGTAGCATTTAGCAGTGTAGCATTTAGCAGTGTAGCATTTAGCAGTGTAGCATTTAGCAGTGTAGCATTTAGCAGTGTAGCATTTAGCAGTGTAGCATTTAGCAGTGTAGCATTTAGCAGTGTAGCATTTAGCAGTGTAGCATTTAGCAGTGTAGCATTTAGCAGTGTAGCATTTAGCAGTGTAGCATTTAGCAGTGTAGCATTTAGCAGAGTAGCATTTAGCAGTGTAGCATTTAGCAGTGTAGCATTTAGCAGCGTAGCATTTAGCAGTGTAGCATTTAGCAGTGTAGCATTTAGCAGTGTAGCATTTAGCAGCGTAGCATTTAGCAGTGTAGCATTTAGCAGTGTAGCATTTAGCAGTGTAGCATTTAGCAGTGTAGCATTTAGCAGTGTAGCATTTAGCAGAGTAGCATTTAGCAGTGTAGCATTTAGCAGTGTAGCATTTAGCCATATAGCATTCAGCAGAGTAGCATTTAGCAGTGTAGCATTTAGCAGTGTAGCATTTAGCAGAGTAGCATTTAGCAGTGTAGCATTTAGCAGTGTAGCATTTAGCCATATAGCATTCAGCAGTGTAGCATTTAGCAGTGTAGCATTTAGCCATATAGCATTCAGCAGAGTAGCATTTAGCAGTGTAGCATGCAGCGTTTTGTGATTCGTGGTGTTCTTACGGTGGACGTTGAGCGTGACGGTTGTGCTTTTCCCCGAGGGCAAGGCCTGGTTGGAGGTGATGCAGCTAAAGTTCCTCCCGGTGTCAGTATCCACCGGATGGACGGGAAGGTAGCTCCTGGTGGTCACCCTCTTTCTGTCCGCTAGCACCTCCTGCACAGTTTCATAGAATAACATCAAAAACATTTAGTTACTATTGTCGTATTGTTTTATGTGAAAGTAAATTAAATGTAGATTTAAAAAGCATGGGAAATGAAAGGAGTTGCATTTATTTTTTTCCTGTTTTTTCAATTTTATGTTTTTTTTTACACCCTTTTCCTGTTCTTTCAATTTATCTTTTAGTGTTTTGAATGTATTTACAGCTTTTTCATACAGAAAAGTGAAAAGCTAAGGGCTGCTAATTGCTAATGTAAGCTAATAGTTAGCTAACAGTGGGCAAGCCAAACACTAACAAAACAATATCTGGATTATCGTCAAAGCTGAATGGAAAAAAAAATAAAAATGGTTGTGGCGCCACCTGCATGTGAAAGCCAGATCTGGTCAGAGTTCTAAAGCTAAGCAGGGGCATGGCCTGGTTAGTACTGTGATGGGAGACTTCCGATGGGACGGCTACTGTGCCAAACTGTCCTTAGGCAAGACACTTCCCCAACATTAGAATGAGTCTGGTGTGTGTGTGAATGGTTGGTGGTGGTCAAACAGACTGATGGCACAGACTGTTTGCCTCGCTTCTGTCAGTGTGCCACAGGGCAGATGTGGCTACAATAGTAGTTTATCACCACCGTGTTTGGTGAGAACTAAAACGACAGATTTGTTGGTTACCAGTCATTTCACTACACGTTATTGACCATGTTTTTAAGATTGTATGTGACAAATCAATATTTATCTATTGTTATTATTATTAATACACAAAGACATGAAAGTTTAAATGTGTCACTGTGAAATGCTGGCCTGTCCTCACCGTGACACTGAGAGCGCCCTCTGTAGGCAGCCCGTCCTTCAGCCACTCAATGACGGACGCCGGTTTGGCTCCGCGGGATATGCAGCTCAGGTTGTAGGACTCTCCAGCGTTCAGCAACACCTCGGGGCCCCCGTCAATCACAGGGTCGTCTGGAGGGACTGCAATCAAAAGGATAAAGTACATAAACTGTCTATTTATTGGATTGTGTCAAAAAAAAAAGACACAATAATGATCAAATAGAGCAGTCAAAATTATGGCTCTAGAACTAAAAGGTAGGTACTTGCATTTCAAAAATAAAAAACAAATTTCATAAAAACAATGATGTAGAAATGAAATATATATGGACACGAAAAGTCATGAAAGGCACTAATGTATTTCACCAAAATGGAGAGATCTTCAGCTACAGTCCTAGTTTCTTTGATCCTAGTTTCTTTGGCCCAGGTGGTGGGCGTGGACTTACTGAGCAGAGTGAGTTTGGCGCGGCGGGACCTCAGCGCGGCGTCCGGAGCCTGGCACTCGTACTGGGCGTCGTCAGAGAGGTCAGCTGACAGGATCTCCAGGTTGTACTGCCCCAACTCCTGCACACGGAGAACCCGGTACCTGGGCCACGCTGCAGTAAACAGGTACACACACAGGTACAGCTTCAGTCATGAGTGTCAAGTAATAATGATAATAATAATAATAATAATAATAAATCAGTTTTATACAGCACTTTTCTGGACATCTCTTCACATCATTATTCTTTCACTCCATACACAGTGGTGATAAACTACTACTATAGCCACAGCTGCCCTGGGGGACACTGACGGAAGCGAGGCAACCAGTCTGTGCCATCAGCCCCACCTACCACCATTCACACACACATACAAGACTCATTATGTATGTGTGTGTGTGTATGTACAGTATGTATGCATGTATGTATTTATGTTTGTGTCTATGTATATATATATATATGTATGTATTTATGGAGGCGACAGTAGCTCAGTTGGTAGAGCATTGGCCTTAAGGCCAGAAGGTCGTGGGTTCAATTCCCACCTCTGCACCTTCTCCACTGATGACTGCTGTCGTTGTGTCCTTGGGCAAGACACTTAACCCCACTTTGCCCAAAGCCCCCACTGAAAGATCAAGGCTATGCTCACACTCAGAGAGCAGCCGTCCTCCTGTGGACTCACCACCTGCAGAGGGTCAGTGAGGGGCTGGTGCTATGAGACTTGGGTGGCATCTCTGACTGCCACCCCCCTGACCCAGAAATGGATTAAAGGGAAGAAAATGGATGGATTTATGTGTGCGTGTATGTATGTATGTATTTATGTGTACGTGTATGTATGTATGTATTTATGTGTGCGTGTATGTATGTATTTATGTGTGCGTGTATGTATGTATTTATGTATGTGTGCGTGTATGTATGTATGTATGTGTGCGTGTATGTATGTATGTATGTGTGCGTGTATGTATGTATTTATGTATGTGTGCGTGTATGTATGTATGTATGTGTGCGTGTATGTATGTATGTATGTGTGCGTGTATGTATGTATTTATGTGTGCGTGTATGTATGTATGTATGTATTTATGTGTGCGTGTATGTGTATGTATGTGTGCGTGTATGTATGTATTTATGTGTGCGTGTATGTATGTATGTATGTATTTATGTGTGCGTGTATGTATGTGTGCGTGTATGTATGCATGTATGTATTTATGTGTGCGTGTATGTGTGTATGTACATATACAGTATATGTATGTAGAGGCATATTTTATTCATTTTATTGGAAAAGCCAAATAAACGTTGTGTATTTGTGGTCGCTGCTGGACTCTGGACTGTGGCAGAGGTGAGAGCGGCTGGACTCGGACCTGGACCTGGGCCTGGACCCAGACCCCAATGTGGAAACAGGCCGTCCCGCTGGGATCGTTCAAATGTGTTATTATTCCTCACAGCGGCGTCTTTGAAAAACCTCCCCCAAAGTTTGTAAAGGAAAGGGATTAGGCAAACGCAAAAGCCGGGTTTGTACAAGAGCGAATTATGGACCGAAGAATGAAAAACAAATCCGGATGTAAAGAAGAAAAAAATACAATGAGGTTTTTTAAAAATAATTTTATTTTGTTGTATTTCAAAGCTGGATTATCTCACTTTGAAACCACAAACAACTATAATGTCATTAAATCTGTCTAACTCTGGCGAACCAATGCAGCTTTCAAATTCACCTTCAGTTGTTAGAGGATTTAGAGGTTAGCACGGCTGTCACGGCATGTTATACTTCATTTTAAAGCTAAATTTCACAAAAAACACAACAAAAAGTGATGGAAAATAAGTCAAAAATGGCAAAAAAATTGGCATAATGTGTCTTAATTTTAGCTCATTCTGACCCAGGGGAAAACCTACACAGACATGGGGAGAACATGCAAACCCCACTCAGAAAGGAACTTCCTGATTTTATGGTTATCAAAATACACAAAAATTATCACTTTGTATACAATCGCCTTATTTCCTTCCACTCCAGCCCTATGTGCATACACTCACACACACACACAAACACACACACACACACACACACACACACCTGACCCTACATACATTCACTGATGCAGTCTTAGCATGTACAGCCTCACACAGAGCCTCTCCTCTTCCCTCTCGTCTCCCTTCCCCCACGTGCATCTTCCCAGCTGTGTCCCCCAGGCTCGGACCACCGCACATTCTCCCCAACAGGTGGCGCCCACGCTTGGAGAGAGAGAAAGAGAGAGAGAGAGAGAGAGAGAGAGAGAGAGAGAGGGAGGGAGGAAAGTGAGGTGAATGCCTTTTGACAGGAGCGTTTTGGAGCGTCGGAATCTGTGGCGTAAAATTCAGGCGGCCAGAAACAGAAGCGAGTTGGCAGAGAGAGATAGAGGCATGAGAGAGAGAGAGAGAGGCATGAGAGAGATAAAGACATGAGAGAGAGAGACATGAGAGAGAGAGGCATGAGAGAGAGAGGCATGAGAGAGAGGGGCATGAGAGAGGTTTGGCCACAGCCTCAGCCCCATAACCCTGTATGACACGGGGCTGTGTGTACATTTGAATGTGGTAAATGGACAAGAAGGGCGTGTGTAGAAGCATGTGGCGATTTTGAATGTGTCATCTTTGGAGGATAGAGGGAAATAAGGGGTGTAACAGTGGGTTTACAGGGAGAGGAGGGGTGAGGCGGGGGGAGGAGGGGGGGGGGGGAGCAGAGCAAATATCAACAGGGACAAAGGAGGAAAGCATTGAGGGGAAAATATACAGAGAAGGCAGAAAGACATAGAGGAATGTTTGAGAACAGCAGAAAAAAAATAGGTTAAATTGGTTGGAGCAAAAAGGTACACACACATACAGAGAGAAACACACACGCATAAGACACACATACAGACACAAAGACACACATACACTCACAACCTGCAGACACATACACAGAGACACAGACAAACAGTACAAACACACACTCATAAGACACACATACAGAGACACATACATTCACAACCTGCAGACACACACACAGAGACACAGACAAACAGTACAAACACACACTCATAACATACACATGCAGACCGACACAAAGACATGCACACATGCAGATGCAAAGACACACACTCTCACACACATGCAAATACAGACACACAAGACACACACAAGAGAGAGGCATAAGATAGTGTAAAACTGGTACAGCTCCTCCATGTTTCTCCGTGTCCCCTGTCTCCCCCTCACCTCCGTCACCTCCCTCACCTCCGTCACTCCCCTCACCCCCGTCTCCCCCTCACCTCCGTCACTCCCCTCACCGCCGTCACTCCCCTCACCCCCGTCACTCCCCTCACCTCCGTCACTCCCCTCACCTCCGTCACCTCCCTCACCTCCGTCACTCCCCTCACCCCCCGTCACTCCCCTCACCTCCGTCACTCCCCTCACCCCCGTCTCCCCCCTCACCTCCGTCACTCCCCTCACCTCCGTCACCTCCCTCACCCCCGTCTCCCCCTCAACTCCGTCACTCCCCTCACCTCCGTCACTCCCCTCACCCCCGTCTCCCCCTCACCTCCGTCACTCCCCTCACCTCCGTCACCTCCCTCACCCCTGTCTCCCCCTTACCTCCGTCACTCCCCTCACCCCCGTCACTCCCCTCACCTCCGTCTCCCCCTCACCTCCGTCACTCCCCTCACCTCCGTCACCTCCCTCACCCCCGTCTCCCCCTCACCTCCGTCACTCCCCTCACCTCCGTCACTCCCCTCACCCCCGTCTCCCCCTCACCTCCGTCACTCCCCTCACCTCCGTCACCTCCCTCACCCCTGTCTCCCCCTCACCTCCGTCACTCCCCTCACCCCCGTCACTCCCCTCACCTCCGTCACTCCCCTCACCTCCGTCACCTCCCTCACCCCCGTCACTCCCCTCCCCTCCGTCACCTCCCTCACCCCGTCCCTCCCTCACCCCCGTCACTCCCCTCACCCCCGTCACTCCCCTCACCTCAGTCACTCCCCTCACCTCAGTCTCCCCCCCTCACCCCCATCGGCACTGACAGCCCAGCATGGTCCATCACCGCTGGTCCATACTTATAAACCCTGATGAGCTGAGAATGGATGTGGTGTCAGTGGCTACATCCGTTAACGTCACGTTAGCGTCACGTTAGCGTCATGTCTTTCAATACGGTTCAGATAAAATGGAGTTTTGACATGACAGAGGTGACGACGTGACGCTTCTCAATCAATGTCAGACCAACACGTCCCGGGGATAACGCCGCGGCGGGAGAGCTTGAACTATCAGGCTACATACGAGATCGTATGACACCAAACAGAACACACACATCAGTCTGTTTTAGGGCCGCTGAGACCATATACATATACATTTACATTTACATTTACATTTACATATACACATATACTGCACATATACACATATACTGTCCATAGGAATGTGATGGGTGACCAATCAGGAAGCAGATTGGACATTTTAAATGTCGGATTTATTTTAACGTTTTTTATTTCAGTGATTTCGTTTTTTTGTTTTCTCATGTAGTTATATAACGTTGTTTTTAGTGTTAATTACAATGTTTTTATTATTTCATGTATTATTTAAATGACCAGAAATGCTTTTATTAGTTATGATAATTATTTATTTCAGGACCTGTTTTAGTGTTACTTATTTCAGTTTTTTTTTGTATTTGTTCTGAAGTTTTCACCGGTTTTGATTCAAAAATGTTTTTTTAGGAGACTCAGAATCAAACCCAAAAAGCACAAGTACACTAAGCTATTTTTTCTGACATCTACAATACTACTTAGATACCAAATACTTTTTTTTTTTTTTTTTTACTGTATATGAGTTATTACCCAGTTTGTCGTAATTTTCTAAGCATAGGTTTGTGCAGGTTTCCTCCAGCTGCTCCGGTGTCCCCTACCATGTGACCCCGCTCCTATCTCTGTGTAGACAAAGACAAATGCCCACAATAATTGGCACTGTATAAATAAAGATTACTGACTTACTTACTTATAAAAAACAAAACAAAAACAGTCATAATTTGGAGCTAAACCTAAAACTTACAGCAATCACCTAAACTACATTTTTCAGTTAAATCTGTCGCACACACTTCAGAAAAATGAAATGACATCAAGGACAGCGTTAATGCAAGTGGACATAGCTAACCCCCAAATGTCGCCCTCCTGGACTCACGTCAGACAATATTATGTTAAAATCACCTGCTCTGCTGTTTTTGGGCTGAGAGATAAGACCCTGGCATCATTATTTTGAGCAAATAAGTAGCAAAAGTAGAATATCAAAATGGTAAAGGACAGTAAATATCAATATGGTACATAAAGGACTGCAAATTGCCTCAAATACCTTTTAAATTTACCTTCAAATATTTTTTTGCAATTACATTTGCTAAACATTCCTCTTGCTCCGGCCTCAGTTTCTTGATAGAGCCAGAACAGAATACTTTACTATCGCATTATTCACCAAACTACGACCTGCCCGTTCGACGCTAACTCTTGACGTCACTCACATCTACTGTAACTACAACACCCGCCTCCCGCGCTCTCTGATTGGTCGGATGGAATTCAACCAATGTAATCGGTTACATACAGGAAATAATGATTGACCGGAGAGTACGGATGGATAAGGCCAGGATAGATTAATGTGAGACAAAACTAAATAAACAGGTTTGATGACTTTGATCTGTTTTTGTATTTTGTGTTTTCATTAACAGAATACAGTAAATGAAACGCTTTTAAGAGTGAATGAATAGAATGAATTAAAGTACCAAACAAACACACACAATCAAGGCCTGGGGTAAGTGAGTGCGGCTTTAGTATTATATGAGTAAGTTGGAGGAACTCATCGCTAGCCCATTTCAAAACAGGTACTCCCATATAATATTTTGTGTTGTTTCAAGACCCACAGGGTCTATATTGTGTACTGAAATCCAAAACCAGATTCTGAAAGAATGGACTGTCAACTTTCATCAGAAAAAGAATTTTGTTTCAAGTTTGTGTCGTTCGCCTGTAATCCCCAGTCGAGTAGAGGGAAGTTTTACTGAAATCACCAGTCTCTGACAAAAAACTGAGAAAAAGAGGATGCAACAAGTGCATCGTGTTTCCAAAACATCCAGAGGCAGCGCTGCTGCCACCTGCTGGCTCGGTAAAATATGCTCTAAAGCTAATCCCCATACATATTAGATATAATAGACATCTGAGAACATGAAAATAGTGAAAATCAATTGACTTATTAATGCGTCTTTGACGTGTTTGTACGTCCATGGCAGACAATGACAGCAGTGCAAGGACAATCCCCACATGGTCACACTAACTAAGCTTTCAAATGTCTTATAGTCTCTTTAGTGCGAAGCAGTCATTACAGTTTAATCAATTATGCAAAACAAATGGAAGCAGCAGGCGTAAGAAATATGCTTTTTAAGAGGCGTCGTAAAGAGTACATTATGGGAACATTTTGGTCATAAATGTATTTATAGATTCAGGTTGACCTCAAAGGATGGACTTTATAGATTTCTATTGCTTTACTGTTATATCTAAACACAAATCAATCCTACAACCGAGGCTATAACTTTGAGCTTCTATATGTATTCAGACGGATCAGTCCTCAGGGTTCAAAAGGCTCAGTCCTCAGGGTTCAGAAGACTCGGTCCTCAGAAAACTCACTATTTGGGTTTCAGAAGCATAATTTATTCTGGCGTGAGTGAGGAGGTTGGAGGTATGAGGGGGCCAGGTTGTGAAGAAGAATCTTATATTGGGTGCGTTATGGGACAAGGAGCTAGTGGAGTTGTTTGATGACTGGGATGATGTGGTCTCTGGAGAGGGAGAGCAGGCAAGTTCTTGATATATTGCAGATAGGAAGATGAATGGAAGGGAGACCACAGAGGAGGCTATTGCAGTAGTCCAGTCTGGAGGATAAGGATGTTGGAAGGAGGGCGGAGACGGATAGAGGTGGAAAATCTTTCATTTCAACCTCTTTATTAGTCAGTTTCTGGATTGGAGGGTGGACATTCTCAAACCACCAGCCCCTCACTGTTCCAGGTGGTGGGTCTACAAGAAGATAGCTGCAACAACACAGCCTTGGTCAGCTTCAGGAAAAGAGGGCTTAAGTCTTGCCCAGGGACACAATGACAGCGGACATCAGTGGGACTTGGTGACTTGGAGTCGAGGGGGGATTGAACCCACGACCTTCAGGTTCAAAGACCAAAGCCACTATCGTAAAAGTAGCTCAAAGAGTCGGAAAATCAAATATTAAAATAGATAACCAGACCTGTGTATTACGAACCCAACCGTTATGCTAAAATGTTATGCTAAAATGCTATGCTAATTATGTCTATTTTATCTATTTTAGGGACTAATATTAATCCTATGAATGTGTTTTAACTGATAACACAAATTACTGTTATAAAACGCTCTTGGATAATAGTTAATTTTGTAATAAACAAGAGATTAGGCAAACAAAGCAACATTTTGATTATTGCCTGGAGGAGAACAATAGCGTCGAATAAGAGAAGGCAGATGCAGACAACAGGTGTGAGCGATGGGCCTGGACCAGAAAATGTACTGTCCACATCTGGTGCCAGTTCTGTCGCCGAACACCATCAACAAAGTCGGATGTTTATGTTTAATGTGGTTATTTTGATTAGCATTACTTCTACGGTAATGTCTGTGGGTTTGGCTCATAGTTTGGGATAGGTCCAAAGTAAAAGTGACAAAATAGTTTACAATACAAGAGAGACACCAAAGAGAGACCAGAAAGAGAGAGACAAGAGAGAGACCAGAGAGAGACCAGAGAGAGACCAGAAAGAGAGAGACAAGAGAGAGACCAGAGAGAGACCAGAGAGAGACCAGAAAGAGAGAGACAAGAGAGAGACCAGAGAGAGAGACCAGAAAGAGAGAGACAAGAGAGAGACCAGAGAGAGAGACCAGAAAGAGAGAGCAGAGAGAGACCAGAGAGAGACCAGAGAGAGAACAGAGAGAGACCAGAGAGAGAACAGAGAGAGACCCGAGAGAGACCCGAGAGAGAGACCAGCGAGAGACCAGAGAGAGAACAGAGAGAGACCAGAGAGAGACCCGAGAGAGACCAGAGAGAGAGACCAGAAAGAGAGGGACCAGAGAGAGAGAGACTGGAGAGAGACCAAAGAGAGACCAGAGAGAGACCAGAGAGAGACCAGAGTGAGAACAGAGAGAGACCAGAGAGAGACCAGAGAGAGAATAGAGAGAGAGACCAGAAAGAGAGGGACAAGAGAGAGAGAGAGACTGGAGAGAGACCAGAGAGAGACCAGAGAGAGAGAGACCAGAGAGAGACCTGAAAGAGAGAGACCAAAGAGTGACCAGAGAGAGACCAGAGAGACGAGAGAGAGACCAGAAAGAGACCAGAAAGAGACCTGAGAGAGACCAGAGAAAGACCAGAAAGAGAGACCAGAGAGAAAGACCAGAGATAGACTAGAGAGAAGAGAGAAAAGTCTGGAGAGACCAGAGAGAGACCAGCGAGAGACAGAGAGAGAGACCAGAGACTCCAGAGATAGACCAGTGAGAGACCTGAGAAAGAGACTAGAGAGAGAGAGACCAGAGAGAGACTCCAGAGAGGGACCAGAGAGAGACCAGAGACTCCAGAGAGAAACCTGAGCACACACACGGCGCATGAGAATGACACTATAAAAAAGAACCATTCAAAATCACACACACAAAGAATCAGCAAAACAGCGAGACCACGTCACAGCGAGAGAGACCGTGTCACAGCGAGAGAGACCGTGTCACAGCGAGAGAGACCGTGTCACAGCGAGAGAGACCGTGTCACAGCGAGAGAGACCGTGTCACAGCGAGAGAGACCGTGTCACAGCGAGAGAGACCGTGTCAAAGCGAGAGAGACCGTGTCAAAGCGAGAGAGACCGTGTCACAGCGAGAGAGACCGTGTCACAGCGAGAGAGACCGTGTCAAAGCGAGAGAGACCGTGTCACAGCGAGAGAGACCGTGTCACAGCGAGAGAGACCGCGCAGTGGGAGAGAAGAGGTCTCTGTGGTAGAACGCAGAGGGATTGTCTGTGGACATCTGTGGCAGTTTAATAAACAGCTGTGTGTCTGGGATCAGGAGTGACCTCTGCTGCCTCCGCTCTCCTCTGTTTAGAACAAATATATCTTTAATACTTTCTGTACACGGCTTAAATCTAGTAAATGGTTAAACACTAGGACTCCCAGAGCAGTCAAATTGACGGGTTTTTGTCTTGAAAGCGTACTTACTCGACTCATGTAAATATTTGATATTTCTAAACTTTTTCTGTCTTTTAATACTCTATTTTGGAGTTTTGTCTTTAGAGTTCCATGGGTTATAATGTATTTATTTATATTTTAATTATTCAAAAAAATAACAAGGCAGCAATTACAATGCAAAGGGAAAAAAATCCTCTCTTCCTCCCCACCTCATCCTCTGATCATAGCACATAGTCTCCTCCTCTCCTCTCCTCCTCCCACTCCACATCCTCTCCTCCTCCTCTCCTCTCCTCCTCCCACTCCACATCCTCTTCTCCTCCTCTCCAGCTCTTCTCTCCTCCTCTCCTCCTCCCACTGCACATCCTCTCCTCCTCCCACTCCACATCCTCTTCTCCTCCTCTCCAGCTCTTCTCTCCTCCTCTCCTCCTCCCACTGCACATCCTCTCCTCCTCCCACTCCACATCCTCCCCCCAATCACTCCCTGTATGCAAAGCCAGTCCCCTCCATCGCTCAGTCGTGTCCTTTCCTCGGCGTTCCCTACTCTCCCCTCCTTTCCTGCCCTCCTCTTCTCCCTCCTCTCCTCTTCTCTCTTCCCCTCCTCTGCTCCCTCCTCTGCTCCCCTCCCTCCTCTCCTTTCCTCCCCTCCTCTCCTCTCCTCTCCTCCCTCCTCTCCTGCCCTCCTCTCCTCCCTCCTCTCCTCCCTCCTCTCCTCTCTCCTCTCCTCTCTCCTCTCCTCCCTCCTCTCGTCTGAAATCTAAAATTACAGACACATCCTCAGGAGCCTCCCTAACTCCTGCTCCATGATCTAAAGTGAGATTTTTGGGAGGTGCACATTAAAATGCAAATGGTGCCGGCTTTAATATCAAATCGTTCCACATCCATACATTACGACGGGGCGCGGGAGACAGACTTATAAATAATTGGCCAATCTTACGGAGAGCTAAATTGTGAGTGTGCAACGCTAGGGAAAAGCTAGCTCGGTGATGCTAGACTTGAGAAACTAGGACAACATTTTATATCATAACAGATAGTAATAAGTAACATCTATTACAGGTGGACCATGACTGTCGCCCCCTGCAGGACACTATGGAGAGCAGCTTCAGCGACAGACTGATCCACTCCCGCTGTGTGATGGAGAGGTTCAGCAAGGCCTTTCCTTCCTGCTGCTGTCAGACTGTTCAACGAACAGTGACGACTAACGGACACTGGTCGACCTGACCTCACATGTTAGTATTTTGTACTTGTTTCTCTCTTATGCTTAAATTAGAGATTAAGGATTAGCTTCTTTATCATGCTAAAGATAGAGATTTTAGACTGGCTTCTTTATTATTCTAAAGATAGAGATTTTAGACAGGCTTATTTATTATGCTAAAGATAGAGATTTTAGACAGGCTTCTTTATTATGCTAAAGATAGAGATTTTAGACTGGCTTCTTTATTATGCTAAAGCTAGACACATGTTTTTTTGTACAGTCACAGAACAATACATGAATCACTAAGTGCTGGTCCAGGCTCCGCCCCCTCAGTACGAGTCACGTCTGCGGGCCGTCTGCGCGCTGAGTCATGTGACCATGTGTGGAATGTGCTGCGGCTACACCGTTAGGATTGTTTGTGTGTGTGTGTGTCTGCGTGTATGTATTTTCTTGAATTCATTATGTTATTATTCTTTTGTGTGCCGTATTGTTTATTTTGTGTGATTTTGAGTACTGTGTACTGAGTGTGTGTGTGTGTGTGTGTTTGTGTGTGTGTGTGAGTGTATGTTTGTGTATGTGTGCGGGTGTGTGTGTATGTGTGTTTGTGTGTGTTTGTCTATGTGTGTATGCTTGTGTATAGGTTTTGTCTGCCGTATTGTTCATTTTGTGTAATTTTGAGTACCGTCTTGTGTGTATGTTTGTGTGTGTGTTTGTGTCTGTGTGGGTATGTTTGTGTGTGTGTGTGTTTGTCTCTGTGTGTGTATACTTGTGTATGTGTGTCTGTATGTGTGTGTTTCCATAGTTCTCTATGAATTAGGTTATTATTTTCTGTCTTACTGTAAATAACTTTTTGTGCAATCTTGAGGACCTCCACGAAATCATCTTCCAAACAAAACAAAAAAACTGACTCACACTGACTTGGATTTGTTTAAAAAAGATGCATTGTGATATAAGAAATATGGAAATATGACAGAAATGATAAATCTCTCAGATCTAAAATACAGTGTAATTTGATCCAATGTATGTGTTGTTTTTGGACACAGCAGATCGCAACATTCCTGCTTCCTGGTGGGTTTATGTGAACAGCAGAAAGTGTGTGTGCGTGAGGTTGCATGTTGGTGTGTATGTGTGTGTGTGTGTGTGTGTGTGTTTGTGTGCGTGTGTATGTGTATGTGTGCGGGTGTCTGTGTGCGTGTGTGTCTGTGTGCGCGTGTGTGTGTGTAGCCTCACCCTGCAGGTCCTCGCCGATGCCCAGAGCCAGTCCATCTTTGGTCCACTGAACGATGCCTGAGTAGTTGAAGACCACACAGGACAGAAGGACCCTCTGGCCCCGCACCACCGACTGGTCCGCTGGCTCCTGGGAGAACCTCGCTGTCCACACTGAAGGAGGAGACAGAGGAGGAGAGAGAGGAGGAGACAGAGGGGGAGACGGTTAGGCACTGGTTCAGTGAGGTTTGAACAGCTATGATTGCCACTAGCCTGACTCTCTCCAGACCCTTGTAGTTCCCCCATGCTCCACCAGAGGCGTTTCGCTTCACACACAGGGGTCTGGGATCGAGTGCATAGCAAACTCCTTCAGGAGATCAAAAATAACCGGCCAATCAGGATTGCTGGTCTTACGTCGGGTTTGCACCGCGTTCTCGTGCGTCTCAGCCAAATCAATCCAAGATGGCAGACATAAAGTCTGTGAAATTGACTTTATGTCTTGTTTTCTTTATTTATAGTTATAAAAATGGAAATATATGTTTTTGCAAATGTACTAAAGGTCATAATTGATAGATCATCCACAACCCAAGGAAGTTTATACTATTAAACATAAAGTATTATTGTATTATTATATTAGTATTTTTGTGTTTATGCCAAGTCTCTCTCTTTATACCTGCTAAAAGAATCTACCCACAGGTACAAATAAAGTCATATTGAACCTTGAAAAGAAAGAAAGAAAAGAAACCATCCACTTCTGGGATATTTTGCAGCCTTTGTAAAAACGGTCAAATCTCACACCACAAAGTCTGTTTTTGTAACTTCTTCCACAATCATTAAATGTTCTGTTTTGTGCTTAATTGACTCAATGAGAAATCCCCTCGCAGCCAAACACCACCACTTGTCCTTTCGGATCACACCACGAGCCAGGGGCAGTTGGAGCGAGAGGCATGGACCGAGGAAGAAGAGGGGGAAGAGGAGGAAGAGGAGATAAAGTTGTCAAAACGAGGGAAAATCAGAAGTGGAGGCAGTGGATCATATTGCTGACTCAAGAAGTAGAAGAAGCCCAGAGATCAAACGCGAACAGCTCCAGCCATAGGGTTCTTAAAAACTCCCAAAGAGCATGGACCCTCCTCCCTTCTCCTCCCCCCTCCTCCTCCTCCTCCCTCCTTATGAGTCACCCAGCAGGCATCAGGACAACTACACTGCCTGTCATTGTCTCACTATTGGGGTTTTTTCCCCTTAAAGCAGGACTCGTAAGCTAGCGTTAGCATGTGCGTTTGAGAGATCCCAGTCTAATACCCTTCACTCTCCTTCCTCGTGTTTTTCTGACAATAGCGGGGTATGCTAGTGTCTCGAGAGGCTATAGAGTGGGCCATGGAACCTTTGGAAATGATACAAAATCACGTAATAGGTCAAAATAATGTAAGATTAGAAAGACCTTTTTGCACTTCTTTGATTTTTCGGTATAACACTTTGAGGAGAATGACTTTGTGACAGCAGCTCAGTTGGTAGAGCATTGGCCTTTGAGCCTGAAGGTTGTGGGTACCATTAGAGTGTCATTGTGTCCTTGGGCCAGACACTTAACCCCACTTTGCCTGAAAGATCAAGGTTCCTGGGGAGGCGGTGGCAGCCAGAGCACCATGCTCTGGCTGCCACCACCCCCCCCCCCCGTGACCAGGAAATGGATTAAGGGGAAGAAGATGGATGGATGGATGGACTTTGCATTGTTAATAAAGGATGTAGAGTCTCACACCAACAGCAACTATAGTCACTTTTCATTTCAGTTCTATTTTCCTGACTTTTTGCACACCTACACTGTGAGATCAATAAGTTGTTTATCTTATAATTGTCAGTAATTTTTTGATGAATTCTGCTCTTTTCTTGAATAAAGACATTTCAAACTAACAGCAAATTGGTATGAATAATTCCAAAATGGAGTTGAGGGACGCTAACTGGGTCGTCCTCGCTTATGGGTCTGTAGGATCTGACCACAGACTGTACATTAGGAGTGGACGGATCAAGTGCTAAAGTCACCCTAGAGTTAGCAGAATGTAGGAGACGCTATTTTGAACAAAAGCTAGCTGGAGCCATATTTCTTACATAGACATTTGTTCCAACGGCGTTAGGATAGCGCCATAGCAGGGGCAGACTTGTTGCTAAGGTGGTTGCTACAGGAAGCTGGAGTTTCCGTGGCATCTAATTGGTCAATCCTTATAGGCCTCATATCTGGATTTACAAAGATAATCGCAAAATGTAAACACCCGGATCACAGAGAGAGCTAAACCATGGATTTAAAATGTTGAAATGACGCTAACGGTTACTGAGTTAGACGAGTTTACTTCAACCAATCGTTAATAGTCCAGTCGTTAGCATTTTGACATGATTTTAAAACCACAATTTTGCATATACCTTCATTAGTCATTCTGCATAATTGTGTGAGCAGTACTAGTTGAGTGGCCGGTACCAGTCGCAGAGGACCAGAGGGAGAGGGAGCAGAGCGCTGTGGCTGGTGACACGCTGTAATTAGCTGTCGCTGCAAGACACTCGTACAATAGCGGAGGAGGCGGCCGAGCTGTACGCTTCCATTTTTTCAATTATGTCTGGATAATCGTGCATGGATTTTTGCCTCGTCTCAGATTCTCTCCGTCTCAGATTCTCCCGCTTGTTCTTTCGCAGAATCTGGCGAAGTGGGGACGATATGTAAATCTGACCTTCAAAGTCTGAATTAGCAGCAGGTGCAGGCTTATAAAAACTCCAACCCAAATATGTCAAGAAGAGAGGGACAAGCCAAGGCTGTGCTCTATGCTCTGCACTGTTGCTTCTCTCTGTTCATTGTTACTATACTTTGTCTGTTATTACTTTTTAAGCAGTTTAACGAGTACAAGCTGCTGTGGCTTTAAGATTCAAAACTATCCAGGGAGAAGACCACCAGACTCCACCCATTTCCTCAGGTCTACAGATAAAGACCATAGACTGTAAATATTAACAGACTTAGTCACGCCTATCTCCGCCGTTCAAACCAATGTGCCACCACTTTTTCATTCTATGGGGCTTTTCAAACTGGCCGCGGGGGCTGGAAAATCAGCAGCATTAGCCCCATTCATTTAACGAGTGCATTCTGAAGTCCACAGCGACTAAACTAGACTGGTTCGAACAAATACACGCCCCTCAGCATTGACACATGCATTGACATGGAGCTTTGGACCGAGAATCACCTTTGGACCAAGACCCACTTTTGGACCAAGACCCACTTTTGGACCAAGAGCTACTTTCGAACCCGCCCCCACTGGTCCAGACCAGTCAGACCAGTGGGGGCGGGTCCAGGCTCAAAAATGTCCAAAATGACGTAAATAATGTATGGAAATAGGTCTCCACCCCCTATGGACCAATGGCTCTATGTGTTTTTTATCACTGCATTTCCTGTGTTTAAACTGTTTCAATTCAGTTTATATTAAATGTATTTTTGTGTATCCCTAAATCACAGAGGACTTAACAAAACCATTGAATTATCCAACACAGATTAGAAAATCAAACAGTTCAAACTCAAGAAATGCAATGATAAAAACTAGGTCTGCACAATATTGGAAATTAGAGCGATATTCTACATGAGTGTTTAGTATTGCGATAACGATATTTTTGCGATATTTTTTTCGTTCACCTAATATTGCAATCTGCATTGAAACGTGAGAGACAAATAACAAAAACATTAATGACATTCAAATCCTGTTTTGTTCTCTTTAATGAGGGAAAAATTAAAACATTTAAATAAAACTTTTTTTTTAATCGTGCATATTTTTGATATGGATATAGCACGCACCAATATCGCAATAACAATATTTTTTTGATATATCGTGCAGCCCTAATAAAAACACATAGAGACATTGGTCCATAAGGGGCAAAGACCACTGTACATAAATGTTGATAAATGACCATGTAATGCAAATGTAATGTTTGATTCTCCAATCTGTGTTAGCGAATCGAAAACTTTGTAAAGCCCTCCCAGAATTATGATTATATGACATTGTATATGATGTTGTTAGAGTGAGACTGCTCCTACTTGGTTGCGAAGAAATCCTGCAGCGAAATCGGCCCTTTAAGAACCGGTTTGACAGCCCTGTTTTTAAACCTGCATGATCAAAGTTATCAAAGGGATATTTGTGTAATGAACTCTACGCACACATATATGTAAAACACACATAGTATCTTAACCAGGGCGAAGGCAGCAGTGCTAACCAATTTCCCGCTGTGCTGCCTTCCGCGCAATATACTCGAAAGGACGGATTTCATATTTCATTTTCAAGAAGAAAAATACTGCTCTTTCTGGGCGTTCACAACCGGCATACAAATGATTTCTATGTTTGGTTTGGTTCATTTTTTTGCTATTCTTGGAAAGTGTTGCCCGAGAAATTCTTAAACTGACCGCAAAGATTCTTTCTGGCAGGTTTTATATTTATGATAATACTAAATTTCTCTAGAATAGACAATAGACAAACCTCTTTACCAGGTTTCAATTTTAGTTCTTTAGAAATAAGTAATATTGTGTTTTGTTTGCTTAAAAACTTAGACAAAGTAATTATATAGCAACCATAGACTGTTTATAGATGGACAATACTAACCCGATAGCTCAATGACACCCAATTGGGAAGTGCTCGTGAATGAAGTTTCGCTCCAACTCGCTCTGGCTCCTATTGACCTTCATTCAAAATCAAACTCCTCCAGCTCAGTAACTGTTTCTGTCTCAGTCCCTATTTTGGGCTTAAAATAATAATAATAATAATAACTAGAAACCGTTGCAATGGCTGAAGCCATTGCGATTGACTGCGGAACAGATCTAATGTGGAATTTAGCTGAAAAATCCTTGAAATCCTTGAAACTGTTAAAATACTTTAAACATCTTTGAAACTCCTGAAGTATTTGAAGCTCCTGATATCCTTTAAACTGTTATCCTTTATACTGGTTTTCATGTAAAAACCCCTATTAAGTTCCATTATACTGGTTTACATGTAAAAACCCCTATTAAGTTGCATTATACTGGTTTACATGTAAAAAACCCTATTAAGTTGCATTATACTGGTTTACATGGAAAAATCCCTATTAAGTTGCATTATACTGGTTTACATGTAAAAAACCCTATTAAGTTGCATTATACTGGTTTACATGGAAAAATCCCTATT